CCAATTTATTCAATGATATAATAATAATATATTTATTAAAAGATGTAATGGAAGGTGACTTCAGACGTATCTCTGCAGTCATTTTTCAACTTGACGACTCTGTATATAACAATACAGGGAGAAAAAAACAGCCCTTGCTGAGTTTCTTGCCGGTTCTTCTCAGTACAAGGTCTCCCGCCGCGCCGTAGTTTTGCGAACCGAAGGCGTAGTTTCTTGACCTTCACAAGTGCTTGCAATAGCCTAGACTGAATAAATGACTTTTCATTTCATTTCTTTACTGTTTAAAAATATATATCTACAAAATATCCTCAGAATCCATCGAATATCCAAATAAAAATATAATATCGCCTTCAAAATACGTTGAATATCAATCTGTATCATTCAGTAAGCCCTGAATGTCTTTAGATGCATGAGCAGAATTAAAGGTATACAAATGCACTTCTGTTTCTAAGATTGCGGGACACCCACTAGCGAAGCTATAAATAATTATTTATTAACAAAAACTTGAATGATTTCATAATTTTCACTATGTGGACTACTAATAAAATGACGATGCTTTAATTAATTTCATCAAAATAATTTTAACTTATTTTGCATGATGTACTCTGATGACATTTGGAATTGAAGAGAACCAGCATTTTCTTGCAGTTGCACCTGCTTGTCAAATAGTTCTTTACGCAGCTGCACCTTATAAAACCTTACCCTGATCCAACTGAATGTTATGTGGCTGCAGTCCTCCGAGATAGAGAACTTGATAATCGTCGAAAAATTTTACCTTGCCTATTCATATAAGGCTCAGTTCAGACTTGGTTAAACTAAATCTAAAGAAAAGTGTACTAGAAAAAAATCCACGCGGACCAGGCAGCGGACGGGACTCGAACCCGCATCCTTCGCTATCCGGGCGAATGCACTGACCATTATGCTACCACGGCCCTATTAGCCGCGTCGAAATTTCCTGCCTGGTCCGCGTGGATTTTTTTCTAGTACACTTTTCTTTAGATTTAAACATCTAGCAGTTGAATGCTTAAAAAATAAATAAAATCATAATTGTTTAAACTAATTTCTTCTATCGGCCATAAGACAAACCAGTTTGGCTAGTCTGTACCGGTTTATCCCATCGTCTAAAGGATGAATTGGTTTCTTCTAGTAGAAACTAGTTTGTCCTAAAATCGACGAGTTTGGCCGGTAACATATATCAAAGATAGCTCTAGGATCTCCTCGCTTAGTAGAGTCGTCTTCCCTTATCTGGTATATCGTTATACGCGGTGACTGGACATTTCTGCATTTTGTCATGTACCATTATGTTCTCAGAGTCGAGTGCCTCCATCTCAACACAACTTTAATAAGTTTTAAATAAACCCTAGACGTATTGTGTTTTTTATCAATAACTACAATATCGATTTAACAGCACTTCAAATAAAAAATGATGTCCTTTTGGTTAACAATCTATTCTATTTTCTTACTTTGATTTGTAAATGATCATTACTACTGAAATAAACAGTTATTTTTTGCGATTAATGAACGTAGCAATAAAAAGTCTTACATGTTTTAGTCTATTTGTTTCTTAGGTTTTCGTGCACATCACTCATTAAATAAAACTAGTTTTTTACGGGTTAATGCACGAAACTTTATTTATTTATTGACGTTTCTCTTTCGAAGGTAGCTCGACAAAATTAAATAAAATTTGATTCTGACGACGTAGCCTGTAAAGGCTACGAAACGTCAATAAATAAATAAAGTTTCGTGCATTAACCCGTAAAAAACTAGTTTTATGTTTTAGTCTATTCATGGGTACACGTGGTACATATTTTAAAGGAGACATTTTTTTTTGTTTTTTCGGTGTATGTGTGTGAACCCAACTATAAATTAGCAGAAGAATGATTCATGTCATCTCTATGTATTCAGGTTACTGGATACATTTCCTTTCATTTCGTAGAATATGTAGATACTAAATTAAGGAATATTTTCTCAAGCTGGACTCTGCCTGATCTTTTTATCTGTTCATTACTATTTATTGTATTTTATAGCTTCCTTTTATACTTACTATATTGCACGCTGGCCCATTCCCATCTACATGGAACCAACAATAGAGCTGGTGCGGCTTGTGAAGCGGCTGAAAAAGCTAAAGCATGCAAATACAGGGGTCTAGGCTCCGAATATGATTTTGTCCCATTCGGTGTCGAGACCCTTGGTCCGTGGGGTCCTAGCGCTATAAAGCTTTTTAAGGAAATAGCAAAAAGGTTAGTCGACATCACAGGAGACCGAAGAGCGGGCAGCTACCTCGGACAAAGAATTAGACTAGCTATTCAAAGGGGGAACGCTACCAGTATTTTCGGAACCTTGCCTAAATGGACTCCTTTTAATAATATATTTTAGGTACTATATTTTATTTTTTAAGGTTTTTAGTTTTAGGTTCATTGTTCTAGTATATATTTTTTGTGTGTAATTAAATTAATCAATAAATAAAGGGATATTGAGTGACGTCGTCTTACTATATTATATTATATTCTTATATTTACGTTTATTTATTTATTTTTACAATGCACTAGCCCGCTGTTTCTACTATTCTTATGGTATGGTTTCATTTAGCCAAAGGTTGCCTGGTAGAGATTGCTACCTTAGCAATAAGACCGCCTTTTGTGTTTTTGTTCGTGTGTTTTATGTTCTCTGTATTGTGTGTAAAAGTGCAATAAAGAATATATTCATTCATTCAGTAATATTATAAATGGGAAAGATTTCTTCACGAAGATTTTTTTGCGTGGTTGTAATTGCGTGGTTGAAAACGCTCACGCAAAAAGTATTGAAAGGATTTGGATACAATTTGGTATACAGATAGTTTATGACCAGCCAGTCTGTTCGCTAACTTTTTTGTCATTTACAGGCCCGTATTATAGAAAGATTCTCAGTGATTGATTAGTCTTGAGCATAGTTAGAAAGGGATGTCGCTATATATAGCACATAGCGACATCCCTTTCTAACTGTACTCAAGTAAAGATCAACACTTAGTTGTCATTCTGTAATACGGGCCACAGTGTGTAACTAAAGATAAATTTGCATGTCCTTCGATGCTTTTTGAACAAGGCGTTATAATAAAACAGTAGTGGATCACTCAATATCTCGGTGATTATCACTTCCAGCTATAAAACGCAGTTAGCGTATTGGCCAACTGGAGTTAGACATAATTTTTTACCGGACAAATTTTAGGTTCCTGTGGAATAGTTAAACTAAAGGAATTATTTTTTACTATTTTGATATTTGAAGAAGTTGCGAGCGGCCGCGCTTTATTTATAAAAAAGACCTTTACTTTTTGTAGCATTTTTCTGTTCTCATTAATATTTTAATTTATCATCAACTATGTAACTGGTTAACAATAGCGGAGTTACTTTAATTTGTTTATTGAAGGAACATAAAAAAAAACCTGTAGGATTTAACGTAACAATAAAAAATAAATACTGCGCCTAGCCAAAAACACCAAGCAATTTTAATTTGTTTGCCACCAAATTCGGACATTCTAAACTTTTAAATTTATTTATTCTAATGTTACGGGATTACTGAAATATTTTTTTTCTTTTGGGCATGGGGCTTATTTGACCACTATCCTATACCTACATTTGTTAGGTGATGAATTGAGGAATCATCCAGACGGCCGTGAAAGCCATAAAATGGTCGCAATGCGCACAAAATTAGGCGAACAGAGTCCTAATTTCGAAAGATTTTTTTTACACCCAACTCATATTAAACTTAAGTAAAGTCAAAATTAAAAGTTAAGTAACTAAAGTATGTACTTACCTATATAAGTAGCAAATACTTGCTCCATAATAGTAGGTCACTCTCATTGTAAGTGAACCCCATTACCCTACTATCATTCGCTGCCGATGGTGCAAGAACGGATCCAGAGGGGGGGGGGGGGGGGGTCATGGGGGATCATGACCCCCCCTGGGATGGGTCCATCTGTACCTACTTCACAATCTGTACCCATTGTGACTTGACCACGACTATATGACCCCCCCGTGGCGCCAAAGATGGATCCTCCCTTGCGATGGTGCTAGTAAGGTATTTGAGTTCACAACATGATACATACTGAGAGAGTGCATGTCATAGGATTTATGATTTTTTAAAGTACATTAGCTAGATGAATTTATTATATAATTTATTTATTTTAAATTTGCTTAAAAAACTACCAATAAATTGATATTCCCACAATGTAATTTTATAATTGTGAATGTTTGTTACACAATCACGCAAAAACGAGTGAACAGATTTTGGTGAAATTTCGCAGTAACATAGTCGGATTAACACTTTCTATCACGGTTAAATATTGGATTCCTGTGGGTGTCTGAAAAAATAGCTATAAATTCCGCGGACGAAGTCGCCGGCAAAAGCTAGTAAAATCATATTTAAAACCAAGCAAATTTCACGCTTGCCCACAAGCAATTTCAGTCAGCGTAATTTTAATAGTAAAGACCTACTTTTTAATTAGTAAATCATCAAAATAAATTTATAATATTGTTATCGCAATCCAAATATTTCAATAAATACAATTAAATCGTCTCGATCTATATTTTCTTTCTAAAAAAAAAGAAAAGAAAGAATTGCCTTATGACGTAACATATTGCAGTCCGAATGAAATATTTAATTTGTAGTGGTATCTTAGTAATCTGTGGTTGTAGTAGAACTCAATCATTAAGCTCTTAATAAATATCTTTGGAACATTAAATGATTCTTATTTATCCAGTAATTGTAACACTTTTAAGTAATAATATAAAAAATAGTCAATTATTTTAATTTGGTCTGCTATAAACTTAAAGCATAAGGCCACAAACGATTCGGACTAATTCTCTGACTACTTTAAATTTGAAAATTTCCAACTACCGCCAATTTTACTTGACATTGACTGAACGCACAAACCGTGCATACCATAATAAATAAAAGAAAAAAGAAGAACTACCGCCAAATTAAATCAAAACATAGTCCAACGTCGAATCATCGAAGTTACAGAATTAATGGAATTATTACAAAGTTTTCTTGATACTGATAAGAGTACGCTCAAGCGGAGCAGATAAAATAAATATTATTATCATTGTGGAGACCTTTGAGCTTGACGTGCGTTCTCGTCAATCCTGTTGTGGTTTTATTTATATGCATAAAACAATGTTAAAATGAGTGCGAGGAGAAATCAAAAAGTGTTAGAAGTCGTAACCGGCTGGGAAGCAGTGGAACTTATTTTCAAGTGTTTAATACTAGGTGTTTGGCAAGTTGTTAAAATAACAGTGAAGAGGTTATGGAAAGGACACCGCAGAAAATTACCGAAAGACTTTCCGCCGGTGGAACTCACTGAAGATTCATCAGTGGGAACACACTGTTTTATAAAAATAATGGTGAGTCTTTGAATCACTGACGCTGAAGCATCCTCTAGTTAGAAGATTTGATGCTATAGAAATACGGTGTAGTCTGTTTATGGCTTTTTTAATTAATTAGATCTTTCACATAATTCTATCATGTTATTGAGCTTTCTTTTAAGTTAGTGGTATCTATACTCAGTTCATTGTCAAACAGTTTATAAACTTTTTAATCTGGTAGTTTATATACTGACTTAGAGTAATGTGCAAAGCATATTATTAAAAATAAACCATAACTATTTCTTTGTGTAGTAATTATTGTTTATTGCAATTTTTGCAAACTTATAATTTTTTTTACTCATAGTGATGTAAAAAATAATTTAGTAATTTTATATAAATAATAAAAAACTATCATTTAACAGTCACTTTGAAAATAACCAATATTTTTTTAATAAATAAAGTGATAATTGAATGGTGCAGCAATTGCAATTCTGCCCGTTGTTCTAAAAGTTGTGGGTTTGAGATTATAAAGATATTCGTTTATGTGGTGATAACATTTTTTAATTTCTAAGACATGATTGTTTATTTTAATTGAATTATTTATTATTTAATATCTTGTGTTTTCCTGCGCACTACTCGTTAAGTAAAACACAGTTTCAAAAGGTTTACATTTAATACTCTTGAGAACAGAGCCTATAAAGGATCTGAAACATAGAGGTTTGTACAAAAGTATTACAAAAGCATCTCGAACTCGAACGAAATCTCAAACTCGTTGAAACTGTGTTCTTTTTTTATTAATTTATTTAATTTCAATAAATACCACTAACTTGTTTTGGGGCTAAATAAATCACCACATCATAGGTTATTATTTTTACAGGGTGTTAAATATCATTACATACAGAGTGGTCCGAAGTCAGGCCCTATAGTTCTCATACTAAGTGATGCTCCAGAGACTGAAGACTTGTGGGGTCCAACATGGTCTAGAGTGGTGAAACGTTTAATTGAGAACGGCCACCATGTAGTAACTCTAGACCTGAGAGGCACAGGAGGCAGCGAAGGTGGAGGCAGGAGTGAACTGTCCCCACCAAGGGCCGTTGAAGAGCTGTCCACATTGATAGAGGCTTTGGGGGTGTCTGAGAAGAGACAAGCGGTTGTGATAGGCTTTGGAGTTGGAGGTATGCTCGCTTGGTAAGTTCTTTTATTTAATTTTGGACAATTATCTAATCATCCTTACTTGACTGTTCTATTTTTATGTTTGTCGGATGATCATCACCAGCCTTATAATGTGCCCACTGAAAAAGGCTGGGCCTGTGTCCCAACCTTCCCTAATAAAGTGTGGGCTAAGACTTACCTTGTGGGTCCAGCGTGTATTGCTTAATGCTAACGACTGCACTGCTGATAAAACGATAAAGAAATGCCAATAATCCACCACAAGGGCCCAATGCGAATTGGTGGACGCTAATAACTGCAAATGCAACTAAGATCAAAATGCAAATAAATAATATCAGAGGCTTAAAGAGTCTTTGGAAACTCTGAGAAACTCAAGATTATAAATTTTTAATCACCATTCCTATTACCGGCCACTGCAAAAGTTGCTGAACTTCCACAAACGCAGATCGCTTAAATCTGCGCCATTGAGCTCCTCAGTCTGGTGATTTAGGGCAAAATTAGGGCGAAACAAATTACCCCACCTAAGTGTAAGTGGAGTCCAGTTGGGAGGATAAATGATACAGCAGTCTAATGTGCGGCTCCAGCCATCCTACCTAGAGGGCGTTTCTCTCTGAACAACTCATTTATTGCGCCCTCTTGACCTGACTTCAGCTATGTTCTGACTGACTTCTCCCTCTGGGCCTCTTACCATCTACTTTGCCAGTTAGCCGTTAATTTTCGAGATTAGCGCCTCTCATTCTTTTCTTCTCACAAACACTCCAATTCGTATGGAAAATCCATCAAGTTGAAAATTAAATAAATAAATTTAGTTGTTCATTTAAAAAAGAGAATAATACAAAGTAGAATAATATAAATGTATGTACATATATACCCAGTTGAAGAAATAAATAAATATTTCCAACACTCACACCAATTAGCCTAGCCCCAAAGTAAGCACTGTAAGGCTTGTGTTATGGGATACTAGGGTAACGGATAGAATACATATACTGTACATATATAAGTATATTTTTATTTAGAAATACATATGAAACATCCATGACTGAAGTACAAATGCTCGTATTCATCACACAAACATCTGCCCCCACCGGGATTCGAACCCGGGACCTCTCGAGTCGGCGACACCATGAAACCCGGCGTACAAACCACTCGACCAAGGAGGTCGTCAAATAGAGGAAGAAATAGTTCTACTGCCGCATTTCCAGCGATATTCGCTTGAACTTTTTTCGAAAGTACAACTTTTACCTATAGTGTTATTATCAAGAGCAAGCAATGATTTCGTTAGTGGGAGATTACCATTTAAACTCATAAAAGAATATCACTTTGACTCAACTGACATTGAAGTAGAGTCGATACTACTTTAAATTCGAAGCGTTTTTCACCTGTTTCGCCTGTAGTCGAAAATCAAAAATCATTTATTCAGTCTAGGCTGTTACAAGCACTTGTTAAAGTCGAGAAGCTACGCCATCGGTTCGTAAATCTACGGCGGGAGACCTTGTACTTAAAAGCACCGGAAGAAACTCAACAAGAGCTTATGTTTTTTTTTAAAGCATTTAACTGCTAGATGTTTATCTAAAGAAAGGTTTTACTAGAAAAAAAAAGCACGCGGACCAGGCAGCGTACGGGACTCGAACCCGCACCCTTCGCAATCCGACTCAATCCTCAACAAGACCTTTTATATAGTTTATTTCACAGCATATACACATCTTAATAGACGTGATTGAGCTACCTACAGGGCTGTTAAACAAACATCCTATTGTTATCAGTATTCAGCCGTGCGTGAGGGACAAAGTCCAGGGCTATGCTATGTCTGTGACATGTCTACACTTTATGGTACCAATTAAAGGAATTTATCAGCTTCATTAATATACAATTTACGAGTTCGCAAGTTCGTTAACTTCCGTAAAATGATTGAATAATAAGTATCTTATTTCAGTAGGTAATTACCTATCCTATCACAAAAGCTCGATAAAATATGGCTCAAAATGCCAACTTAAAAATCAAAACAAAAATGTATTCAAACTTTTAAATAAAACAAGCAGTAATCAGTATTATTGAGATAGGGCACAGTAGTTTTTCGGCTCGTATTGAAGCATAGAGAAAAATAATCTTCTAATGTGGAAGAGAAAAGAAAACCGCATTAAATGTTTTTGAAGTTATACTTCTTTAGGCGCGTTATGAAAAAATGATGAGAGTGAAATTTTAAGATGCGCGCGCATCACTGTAACACAAAATTTTTGTGTTTACCGCACATTAAGAAAATCTACCAACAAAATAGAAATAGAATCTCTATTTAGTGGGTGCTAACGACTGCATTGTGAAGGCCTATCAAAAGTATTTATTAATCTGGAACAACGCAACCAAAGCGCGATTCAGGAGACTACAGCGCCATCTCTTGACCATTGGTGTAGTAGAACCAAAAACCACATCTTTATTTTTTGTAATAAAGTAACAGTTATAGGTATTCATATTTATAATATTTATCCACATGTTTCTAGTTTGTATATTCGGAATACGTGTTTGAGTTTCATACAAGTGCAAATCACATGTTCTAATAAATTATATTCAGTAGCGATTTTAATTGAATATTTTGATTATTTATTTATTTTTTCAAATTAAAACTGAACTTTATTGACTGTGTCCTTTTCCAGACTTTTTATTAATTTATTTTAATTAATTATTTGCATGCAATTAAAAACTAATTTTAAACGATGCCAAAGAAGGATAACTTCTCACGCGCCTACATAAGTACACGCACCCATTTTTTTTAATTCTTTAATAGTGTTAAATGGTTTTTGTTTGTGCCTGCTGTAACGTAAGACACGACATTCTAAATAACAGTGTTTTGATGTTGAGTTTTGTAAATGCCTTTACCTACTATTTCTTTAAAGTTGTGTGAATTATTTCGCCCGTATTTCCTGTGCTCCTGAAAAGGTGTTAGGGAAAAAGTTGTATCGGTAAAATATGCTTCCAATTTTTTTGTATCATATAATCATTATCTGGTCCAGGTATCTTGCACACTGCCACAGCTCCCTCATCAGCAAGCTGGCTGTAATAGGCGCGCCGCACCCGAATCTCTACTGGCAATACCCTCCTGCCCCCTTCTGCGAACAAGCTCTGTACTTCACCCAGGTGAGAAAACTTACATTGAATGCGTCGTCTTAATTGGCAACGATCGCACGATGACACGACACGGTGCGTTCTCGTCGTGAGATGATTTTCCATCTCACAGATTTCTTTAAAAGTGTCTTAATAACAGCTCGTAAGCCTTCACACGAGAACAGGCATTGTTTAATAACGACCGTACGAAATATCTGTATATTATCGGCAACGGGAATCACTGCTGAAAGGATGAAGAAGGTTTGGTCTGAAGATTTGGTGACATGTCGTGAAATTGGGATATTTGAGGAAACAGCGCGGCTACGAAAAAAACTTATCGACTGTTGGGCTACAGCATCGCACGATGGGCCTCGTACGATCTATTAGGACACCCCTGTTCAATCATTGCACGACGAGATCGCATCGTATCATCTTACGATCGTGACCAATGAGGGCTACCGTTTTCTGCCTCACCAGATGGCGCCACTGTTGATGAAATCAAAGGTTACATTTAGATCGTATTTTAACACAAAAGAACCATATCCTAAACATAATATGGCCATGCCACAGTGACGCGCAGTTCCGTTTTATTCGGAAAAAATGGGAACATAATCATTTTTCTAAGCTGAAATTTTTAATAACTGACATTCATTGCCACATAACTCATATTTGCCATAATTAAGCCGAATTGTTACCAATTATTCACAACATTATTTTAATTAGAAATAAACCCGCGCCGCGTAGTCAACCAACAAGCAATAACATTTGACATTTCGTAGACCTCACGCTACACTAGCGCCTCTAGCGGCGGATTCATACGCGATAGCCCTCAATAGGACGACGCTTTTGTCCCAATAAAAGTAAAACCAACTTTCTGGCAACAAGTTGTGTACTTCACCCAGGCAAGGAAACGTAGATATAAGTCAACTGTAATACTCTGTGCACAATGTTATTCTTCACCCATTCGTGTTATCTAGTAAACTAAGCTAATTTAGAAGAAAACCGATTTTTTCAGTCAGACACATCCTCAAAATCGAATAGATTAAAAGGGAAAATTCTATTCAGATAATTCAGTCGATATTTTTAGAATAATTCGTTGATTTTATTGTAAGAGGAAAAAAGTAAGTTAGTGTGGGAATAAAACATTTATATAATCCCTATAAATATAATATGAAACAGGACATGAAAATAATGTTTAAACGTACATGAACTGAAAACCGATTTTTGCAGCAGTACGGTACGAAAATAAGGAATTGTTGAAGAAGACTGCTTGAAAAAAAACAACATTTCTTTTTCGCTATAAAATTTAATAAGAAATTAATAGATTAATGTAACTAGCGGATGCCGTGATTCTTAAGCGAACAAAAACATAATGACTCTTGTCCTCTGATCTTCATCCTCAAATAAGACTAAATGTACAAAACATTTAGTAATGAATATCATACGGATTCACTGTAACTTCACGCCGTCGAAATTAAAACGAAAACATTACTAATTAAGATAAAAACGAAGATAATCTACAAACTGTGCCTAATCGATAAATTATTCATCAGAATCATAACGGAACTTTTTTTTTTTGTATATATTTTGGTATCTTTTATCATTTTTGTTTCTATGTGCGTATATTATAATGGTATAGGTTTTTAAAAAATTAAAAGAAACTCATTATATCAATAACAACTATATCAATTTATTTTTAAACAAATGCATACTCCACTTATTTTGATGAATTTATTTGACCTCCTCACTTGTCCTTAATCAATCAAACTTGACCCTATAGATTATTATAGCGGCCAAAATAAACCTACAATGAAAGAACTTCCATGTCCATTATTTAAAAGAAAATCAAATAAGATATATTTTGGCTGCACAATTCAAAATGTTTGAAAAACTAAATCTCGTGTTAGGTACTTACGAGCATAATATCTACATTAATTATGTAGTGTCAATGATATCAGAGACTTATCTTACTTACCTCTTCAAATATTTTTTCAATTCTGAGATGGATTTGCACGATCTTAATGCTTCCACACATAACTACGAATTCGCTTTGCATCGCAAATATCTGCATGGCTCGCACGAATGCACCGCAAGAACTTCCGAACTGATTCGAATCGCGCATATCTGCGCCATTTTTGTCCGCTCTGAGACTTCCCTTGTACGATCGCTTTTGTAGACATGGTGATAATATATTCAAAACACTTCAAATGAAAATATGCTCATTCTAAAATAATAAAAATTAAATTCGCCTTCTGTGCTCAAACCATAATATTTTCTAGTAAAATAGTTCTTATCAGCGTTCATAATCGTAATAAGTGGATGAACCCAAAATTTTCTTTTTCTTCTATACCTATTTAACAATAACAGCATTGCAACAATATTTTGCGATCCATGACACTAATACTTTAACAGGTCCAATACGACTGACTTCCGTTGATGGTACGAGTATGGTCACCTTAGCCAAAGCTTTACCGCACGAAATCACATCGCAGCAATTCGCATCGCAAGTTCCTGTTTTGTATGGGACCCCTTACCTTAGGATCTTACTTAATTGATCATTTGTTAGGTAACGTCATTTTCTCACATTATTCTTACAATACAGCTATAAATAAGGGATAATCTAACTGTATTCAATGGACACTGTTATTTAATTAATTGGCTTAATTAGTAATGACACCATGATTAATTATAAGTAATCGGAAGACGCACATTGCGAATAAGTAGTTAACAAGCGAATAATCAACCAGTAGCACGCGATAAGCGAAAACGATTCCTCATTGCGGTAGGAAATTTCGTATTATATTTAGTGTGATTCAGATCACGAAAGAAATATGGAGGACTTTTTGTCGGGATCGGGAAGCTTCACTTTAGCAGTTTTGTTTTTCTTGTTAAAACTTGTGTTATGGCGGATGTTAGTGTCTTATAATGGTGGATTTATTAACCACTAAGGCCCACTTGCACGTTCAAGGGTTAATTTATTTACCTCCGAGTTAACTATTAAACTGGGGTTAAAAAAATATTTTTTCTTGCACTGCCAAGAGTTAACACTAAAGCTTAGGTTAAATAATAAAATAATTAACCCGCCATAGTTGGAGGGTTAAATTGCTAACTCGAGATTTAAAACGTAAAAATTGTTATTATAGGCTGTGTTGTTTGTTTTTATAGAGATAACATTTTATTTTATTTATTTCTGAATGGTGGATGAATTTTTGTTTTCTGATGATGACGAAAAAATTGTCGACTATAATATAAGTAGGTACATATTTTTTGACCGATATATCCTGTCAAGCTTTTTGTTTTTGAAGAAGAGTAGCGCCGTATTTTTTTTTATTTTCAATAATATTTATATATTTGTATAAAATATCACATAGCAGTAAACTGTCACTACTTGTAAAATTCGGGGCACGTAAAGGAGATTTCTTCTTCATTTTACAAAATATAACCGCACGAAATTGTTGTCACAAAATACAAACTTACGAGACAGATAGTTACTTTAAAAACACCATGCAATCGGTATACAAACATCTATTTGACAGACAAAATACAGGACGCCATTCAACTTAAACGCCCAAAAACACCAAGTCTTTTCAAATTTGACATTACGAAAGAGACATATGCAAGATACTGTTGTGTGAAAGAGAGAACAATACTTATGTCATTCATCATTCTCTCTTTTTATCGGGTTAGTAAACCCTGCATTATTCTCTGTTCGTGCAAGATAAAGTCTGAGTTAAGAAAATGTTATATTAACTTTGAGTTAGTAAACTCGAAGTTATTTTGATATCTCAAGATTTACGTGCAAGTGGGCCTTAGTGTTCGGGAACATACACAAATGTTGGCAAGTGAAACACAATAGCGGAAAGTGTCTTTCAACGTTCCCTCAAGAAGTCCACGGGGAGGTTCCAGTAAATCCCCACACTGAAACATAGGGAAAGGGGGATTGACTTGACTGACACTTACTTTGACTTGATTTATTACTTTGTCCACGAGTGCTATTTGTAACACTTGACATTGGCTAAATGCACAAGCCGTGAAAAGCTATTTAGAAAAAAAAAGAACTATGGATTACCAAGCGATCTGAAAATACTGATTTTGTGAATATTGAATATTTCTTGAGACCGTCAGTTTGGTCTGAGTAAACAGGACAGGTTTTCCATACGTCTTATTGTTCATAATTATCTAGACGATGCTTGGACGAATAAATCTGCCAATACTTGATCCTGATTATGTCCAATGGACAAGATTTCCTTATAATAATTTCAGCTACGTGGCAGGACTACCAAAATACGTTAAGATACGATAAATCGAGTTACCGACATTACTGTCAAACTACAATGAAGTTGATAAAAAGCTTTATCATATCATGCTTCGAAACCTTGGTGCTCATGAAAAGGGGTCTGGAAATGTCGTTTTTGATGCAGCCCATTAAGCCTTCCTAGATCACACACAAGCCACATCTGGTCTGACAAAGTGACTTAAATACACTTTATTCAAATTGAATAAGAAAGTCGCAGCCGACTGCGATCTACAGCATTTAAACTCGAGCATGGAGCATACACTACTCCCTTCAACGAGTAAAGAAAGTACTAACACCCATTAGTTTCATTGTAAAAAGTGAAACAGGTTTAGGTAATATTACAATAGGGAATTAAATTGAAGAAAACTTTCTTTATAGCACAGATTTGGCATGATAAAGATTAACTTCATCATCATCAGCCATTGTTGTCCCCACTGCTGGAGCATTGGAGCATAGACCTTCCATAGACATAGATGGAATAGGGAGATAGGTCCATGACTCACCACGTGGGTCCAGTGCGGATTGGTGGGTGCTAATGACTGCAGATGCAGCCGGACCAACGGCTTAACGTCCCTTACTAAACACGGTGGAGCTCAAAATAATAAGTTTTTGGTCACCCATCCAATGACCAACCATTGCGAGAGTTGCTTAACTTGCGCGATCGCAGGCCGAACTCGCTAACCACCTGCGCCATTGGGCTCCTCAGTGACAGTCATAGTTATAATACGCGCCACGAAAGATGAGACTTGGCGCACCACGTGGTTTAATATGCGCAGGAGACGATTCAAAGTTCTTTTTAGCGGTATGAGGTCTGAGGGGGGAAGGGACCGGGCGCCATAGGGGTGGCGGAAAGAGTATGGGAGATGCGGCACGACGCTCTTCAAGTCTCAACTTCCGTAGCGCGTACAGAACCCTTAGCATGAACCAATATCGAATTCGAATAGTTAGCGAGTGCAAAACGTCATTGTCAAATTTCGTATGGAAACTTGAACAGCAGCGCCACAACGGACGTAACGAGAACTAAAAATCAATACACATTTGACAATGATATTTCGAACTCGCAAACTATTCGAAGTCGGTATTGGTTCGTGCTGTACTGTAGCCCTAGCACGAACCACTATCGAATTCGAATAGTTTGCGAGTGCTAAATGTCAATTTCAAATTTTGTATGGAAACTTGAACAGCAGCGCCACAAAGTATGTAACGAGAACTGAAAATCAATACACATTTGACAATGACATTTCGAACTCGTAAACGTTACGAATTCGATAATGGTTCCTGCTAGGGGTACTGTACTCTCAATTCACTCGTTACAAATTACAGCACGCAGCACCATGATGCATATAATTTGATTGAAGTCATTCAAATTCTATAGTGGCCGTACTTCCCGGAGCGGTGGTTAGCGGAGGGCGAGCTGAGAGGTAGCGAAGAAGGACGCTGGGCCAGCTCGCGTGCCTGCGATTGGACAGGACCACTCAACTACGTCAGAGGTTAGTTTATTATTGGTGTGGATTCTGGAATGATTCTCTATATTCAATCTGACAACGGGTAACATTACTCGCTTTTGGATTACTCGTCCGGATGACCTGTCATTTTCCAATCCTCGACTTAACGCGATCATAGAACTATATTTGCAATAATTGCAGGCGCTGCTTGGTGGCGGATCAGAAAGAACCACCGCATATCGCAGCCAACGTTACTGGTGGGCGCTAAAGACAGCGCCCCCCAGTTAGTTTCCAGCGCACATTACTGCAGCAATTCCACCTTCAAGATGATCAACAAACCTCACCCTTCGGACATAGAGTTGCCTGCCGCTGTATTAGACTTCCTTATATGTGAGTGTTTAATACACATTTTAAAAGTCGTATAACATGGTGGTATTTTCAGCCCACTCGGAAAAGTAATGGTCTTTAACGGGGAGACAGTTAGATCTTATATGATGATGAAGTGTTTCTATTGGTGAGTAATGTTTCAGAGCTCCAAGGGTTTGGGTTGGGTTTAGACCAGTAAGGGCTGGACTGAAATATTTTATCTACCAGCAATCTTCGCAGCTGGACTCAGGCTATAAGTGCTTAACGAAGTTATGAACTTGGGTCTTGGCTTATACATCGTATCATATAAATATAGGTAGTTATGTGTATCACATATAGTATCTTGACCTTTTTATTCGCGGTAACCTAATATTCTATTGTGAATTTTTACTATCAAAATATTGTTACTTATAAGGAGGTAATGTTTATTAACATACAGCGTGTAAAAGACAATAATAATGATCCATCGAGGTTTAAAAACCGCATGTGGTCAACGATAACTTTAAAGACTTCACAAAAACAACTGCTTAACTACAAATTATCGTATAAATTCAATTTACTATAACCTTTTCGATAATATACATCCTATCTGGTGACTTGCACAGTGTTCAAAAAACAATTGACACGTAGACAATGTATGTTATTTGAATATAAGCATAAGTCTTGTTAAATGGAAAATATATTTGTTATTTGTATTATCTTTATTTACAATACAAAAAAGTTACATTATAAAAACGACTTTATCGCGTTTTAAATACGGTATATTTATCATAATGGCACGTGGTTTTAATCATTTTACACTTACATAATTGGATATGTCTTTATTCATTTCACTCTTACAGTCTATTTTAAAATTGATAAGATACTAATTAAATTACTTCACTTTATATCTTTCCTAAAATGATAAAGGGCCTAAAGTTAAAGCAACAAAATTAAAAATGAACTTGGCCTAATATATATGACCTCTTCAGAACCAATGCAAGGTCTTAGGAAAAAACGTAATGCGTTCTGGGATCATCTAAACATTGGTCAATAAGCGATCATGCTTCGCACCAGTGGATTGATAATGAAATCATAACACACAGAAACGTGCCGGGTACGTGGTCAGCAACACTTATTTATTAAATAAAGTTTTGTTAATTAAGGATATTGAGATTATCTCATATAGAGGAGTGTGTAGACTGTTTGGGAACGATAAAAGTGGCCAGCCAGCCAGAAACTTATATTTCCACCCAATTTATTTCTGCGTTTAAAGTAGGTAATTTTTAACATACTCAAAAAATGCATTTGCGAAGGTTGTATACATTGCTGGCAAAATTTAAAATGACGGTACGTACAGCGGAGCGCGCTGTAAATTTTTTTACGCACACTCCCATACATAGTATTCCGTGCGTATTCTTTTCGTTTTTTTTTAATTTCGATCGAACCTCCTCGAAAGCGCTTTGAGTCTATACCAATGTCTCACTTTAATACAAAAAAGAAAAAAGACGAAAGATGTAGTTCTTATTTTAACCACCCACAGGTGGCGCCATTTGGAAATGCGCCCCATTTTCTTATTAGAAAAAAATTTGCTAATTTGTGTGGGGCAAATTTTTGTTTAATGAATACAAGCATTTGTACTCGTTTATATGTCTATAAATTATACTTATGTATTATTTTATGTATACTATCCGTTACCCTAATATTCCCACAACACAAGCAAGCCTTACAGTGCTTTGGGATTAGGCTAATATTATAAGGATGATGACCAACTTTTTTCTACGTCTATCAGATAGATTATAATAATATAATCTTTTATCTACAAAATAAAATCTTTTATTAATATTTACTTTTATATTACAGAGATATATTGATTTGAAAATCGCATGACGTCACGTCTTGGTACAATTACTTAGAAGTGACGTCACGAGACCCACTTCCAAACTCTGATGCGCTTTATCATTGCATTTTTTTTTTGGTTGATTGACAAAATATAAAATATGTGTCCATTATTTTTGATAATCTAACTAACGGACTAAATAGAATTGCGTTTATTTGACCACGCCATCACCCCTAATGGTGTGATTGTTAATAAATATTTATTTATTTCATTTGAAATTGTTGTCGAGTGTACCTACTTCTAGAATGCAGTTACTAACAGTCAATTCTCGCTGACTTTCAATAAAAATAACTTGGCAACGTGTGATATCGGTTATGATCCTCGTATCAGTGAGCCTGAGTTTTAATGCAAAACAGCTTCATTTTAAAACAAAACATGCGCGATCTCACGTAGTAAACAACCGACCGGACGTTTAGTTAGATACCTACTTAGTGCTATATTATGCAACGTTTATATCCACTAATGAATAGCAAAGTTAACACAGGGTTGCTAGGTCTCCCGAATACACAGGTTTTCTTATTTTTCTAAATGTCTATTGTATGTACCCTTAGCACGCACCATTATCGAATTCGTTATAGATAAAAAGAATAAAGATGTTTTCCTTATATAAAAAAACCTTACCCAAGGATAATACCTTGCCTTGATTGCTAAATAAACAACAGTAAAAAATTAAAAAAAAAGGTTCGGGTTTTTGCTTGCATACATGTACTGTTTTTCCTGTTACGACTCCAGAATTTTGGAAATCGGACCTGGCAACACTGAGTTTATATGTAGGAGATGCCTTTGAAGAACACTTATCTACTTAAGTTTTAATTTAAAAATATTTTGTAACCCACAATGTATTCGACTGACGGACTCTGTATCCAGGTCAAGAATAAATTAAAAAAAAATGTAGGAGATGCGTTCAAAATATAATAGGTATTTTAACCTACAGTTTAGGCAGGGTTTGGAGCAACGGCAGAAGAACTGTGTGTTTTCGTCGAAATTTTTTATCACATTCGACAAAACTGGAATATATTGCCTCCAGTCTATGATGTTTTATATATTTAAATATGAAACGTATAATATATTATACGTCATTGCCTCCAGTAGTGTTTCCAAACCTATACGAATCGAAAACCTTTTAATAAGAGTTTATTTCTTCCTTAAAGGCCGGCATCACATTTGTGTCACTTCTGGTGTTGCAAATGTCTACAGGAAACTATGATCACTTACCATCAAGTGAACCGTCTGCTCGTGTGCCTATAATAAAAGAAATAACACTTTTCTTATGGTGTTGTGTTTATGGCTTTCAGATCCCCACGGGGTGGAGGATGGTAGAGGAATCAAAGTAGGCAATGCACCACTGATACTCTGCCCCCCCTAGCATGAGCACCGCGATATGATATAATTCGAGTTTGACGGTTAGACGCGATAAAAAACATGATATAATGTAAATTGTGGTACTTATGCTACGGGGACTGGTATCGCTAAAATCTGTAGGTTATGATATGGTACTATGGTACACGTTTAAGCAGGCGGGCCTTTATATTTTGTTTGTCACCACTTTTCCTAGCTTGGAATAACGTCAGATACGACAAATTAATTAATGTTAAATAAAAAATTTAGCTGTATCAAAAATTATTAAAGAGTGTTTTAATTGAATAATTAGAGGATAATTGAACAACAACAGTAATGATTCATTTCGGATATAGCCGTATCTGTGTAGTGTTTGTAATTAAGTTATAAAACGCGCGATTACATGAGGGTGGTACAAAGATCATTGTTGCAATTATTATTTTTTCTATTTAAAGCTCAATCACGCACGTGTATTGGTATTACTAACATGATATAAATTTACAAGTACAACAAGGCTTTTCACTTGGCTATTCGTATTTTCTAATTACAACTTTGACAGTAATATCTCCTTTTCATTCATATAAAGCATGTTTAGGATGATGTAAAATAAATCCACATTCCCCACAAATAATAGATAAAAACATGGAGGAAATAATCACACGCCTTCTCAAGAGATGGCGCCTCGCTCACAACGTATGGAAGCCTACATCACGCAAGTGAATTTCGGAAGCTAACACTCCGTTTATGCAATGCCCGACCAACATCAGTTCGGCGGGGGCGCCCGAGCTACCATCACCCAGCTCGGAGGAAAATCTTTCCCTTTGGCCTTCCTACAAATTCATCATGGCATATTATAATTATTTAAGAATCATTTGTTAGCCGCCTTCTGTACCCTTGGTACGAGTTTTACAATTACGCTCGCACTCGTACTAAGGGTAATGATTTTATTGTTTTCGTTTCAATACAAATAAACAGTGTTTAAATTCTATCATTAAATCATTTGCTTCTTATTAAATTTTATGTATATTTGGTTACTTTTTACCAAAATGGATATAGAAACATAATTTACAATTACGAAAACTATGATAGCTTTCGTGAGCTCAAACTCGTACTAAGGGTACTGGATATGATAGGAGGATAAGGACATACTCACTGCTGTCAAAGTTACAAATAACAAATACGAATAGCTAGACTAATTTGTGTGAGTATTAAAATATTTATAATATATATTAAACTACCAAACCAGTGAACCAAATGTTCACCAAAAAAAAAATGTATTTAATTAATTGAGAACTTCGGAGATTTTGTGTGGTTTCGTTTGAAATTCGTGATTTCTCGAAAACCGGAAGTGCTACGTTACTCAAATCCGGTTTGTAGTCTTATCAGACTATTCTTAACTTATAACTTAAATATTCTCTTTATCTATCTCTTACGGTTAGGCCGCTGAAACAGCACCACGGACGGACGGACTTGTCTAATAGATAAGAGATATTTATTTATAGAACTCGGAAAAAGAATTTATTTCACAGAATCTCATTTCAGGCGCTGGATTGTTAAGTCAGCTTATTATATAAATAAAACTAGTTTTAACTGGTTAATGCACGAACTTTATTTATTTATTGACGTTTCTTTTCGCAGCCTTTTCAGGTCTGCACCGTCAGAATAATCTTTCATTATTCAGACGATGCAGACCTGAAAAGGCTGCTAAACGTCAATAAATAATTTTTAATGAGTGATATGCGCGAAAACTTAAGAAACAAATAAGCTTATTATATAGCTTATATATATTATGTTTTTTAAACATTGAAAACTGATGCCAATATTCGTTAACTATGCATTATGAAATTATGGACAAATCGGTTTTTAATGCAAAGTTAGTTCTAAGGGCCATTTACACCAATATTCTTAAATCAAATTTAAGCTTAAGACATCACTTTTTGTTACCTGATTGTTAGTCAGCTCGTTTGCCCATATACTACTTCTGCTTTTTATTAACCCAGGTCCGGCAGAAGAGAAGGCCCCCGAAGAAATAGTTCCCCGCGGCTTAGTGGGTCGGATGCTGGGCGTAGTCGCCGGCCGCGGACGAGACCTCACCGCGAGACTAGTTCTACCGACTCAAGCGTAGAAATATCGTGAGTGAAACATCATCTTAAGCCTATTTTTTTATTGATGTGTAACAGCTTTCCTCTCGCTTTCGTGTAATTTGTGGGAGTGATTCCGTGAAGTGGGACGGAAGTGTGTAACAGGAATTTGGGAAGCGCGCGCTATTTGATTTGATTTTAGAACATAATGTTCGAATGGCTTATTCCTTTTGTAGTAGGTTTTATTTCTTTTTTTACTAATAAAAGGTGAGGTTTCAAATGTTACACATCATACGCGAGCGACTACTATAAGGCTCGCCTCGTTTTTTTATTTATTTGACATGGAATGTATAAAAAATAAACATTAATTCAGGCCCGAGGAGCTCGATGGCGCAAGTGGTTAGCGCGTTCGGCTGCGATCGTTGAAGTTAAGCAACTTTCGCAGTGGTCGGTCATTGGATGGGTGACCAAAAATTTACTATCCCGAGCTGCTCCGTGCTTCGGAAGGCACGTTAAGCCGTTGGTCCCGGCTGCATCTGCAGTCGTTAGCACCCACCAATTCGAACTGGGCCCGCGTGGTAGGTCATGGCCCAGTCTCCCTATTCCATCCATAGGGAAGGCCTGTGCTCCAGCAGTGGGGGCATTAGTGGGCTGATGATGATGATGATTCAGGCCCATTTGCAGTAAATTTGCTAAATCGCAATTCAACTAAAACTAGATGAAATCCAAGGAAAAATTACAAAATGTCAATATCAATTTGACACCATTGTATGTGTTTAATCTAGTTTTACTTAAATTGAGATTTAGCACAATTCCTGCAAGTTGGCCTTGAACTCGCCAAACTGTTACGTTTGATGGCGAGATGCGCTCATTTTAATACACTTATACTATTTGATCTACCTAACCAACAAACAGCAACAAAAATTGTGTTTGTGCAGATAAGTGGGTGCTAACGACTGCAGATGACTGAGAGAAATTTAAGAAATGGGTATTTTGAAAAAAAAAGCTATTACTGTCGCACATCAAATAGCGTGCGATAGGGACAGTACAATTTGTTTTTGCGGGACCGTCTTCCATATGAAAATTCTATTGCGAATCCCAGATGTTTCAAATTTATTTAACGCTAGTGACTTTGAAAGTTTAAAACATTACCAATTCTTTTCTCTCACAGATACTATATATCTTCGCGTATGGGCTCGACCACTACTTATTATTGGGGAGAATGGAGTTAGTTATAGCAACAACTCTTTGAAGCCCTAAACTTTGATTTTAGGGGTGTCTTTTAGAGATTGAATTAAAAAATACAAAGCATGAAAGCTGCTGGTTAAAGTAATAAAAGGTTGAAAGCTTTTTTTTACCTACATTTTTACACCTATTGACTGCAGAGCACTATCATCACTAATGCTATAAGTATACCGATCTAATTAAAAGTCTTTTCTAATTAATTCAAATATAAAAGCATCGATCACATTGAACGAGTTTGCTTATTCTTAACTCATGGAATGAGCTTCTTGCCCATGAAAACTAAGCTTTACTGTCATTGGCCGGATTGTATTGTAGTCGTTACTGCGACCAATAACAACAAATTGCAAATTCTTGTATGACGCAGTTTTCCGTCCTTGGCTTTTGTAAGCGATCGTGTGATAAATAAAGAAAGCGCTACACTAACTTATTTTCATGAACAGCTTCTAACTGGCAAATTAATTTACTTCTAAATATAATGCTATTCAGACTTTATGACGGTTGTGAAGTTAGCAACGAGCACGTGTAGTTTATCTGGCACATTATTTGTGAATACGCTCTTTGGAGCTTTATCAGCAAATGGCGAAACAGGCCCTTATTATGCCGGCACTTCGCTTGGCTATTCGTATTTGCTATTTGTAAACTTAATAACAGTTTGTTCTTATCATCTTTATATATATAATTCTTCTGTGAGTGTGTATGTCACTGAACTTCTCTTAAACGACTGGACCGATTTTGATGAAATTTTTTGTGTGTGTTCAAGGGGATCTGAGAATGGTTTAGATTCACAATTTTGTCCGCTGGACAACCCCTATTTTTTTAGGGCGGTACGAAGTTCGCTGGGTCAGCTAGTCTATATATATAAAAATCAATTGCTGTTCGTTAGTCTCGCTAAAACTCGAGAACGGCTGAACGGATTTATGTTATCTTGGTCTTGAAATGTTCGTGGACGTCTAGGGAAGGTTTAAAATGTGAGAAAACTAATTATATAAATAAATTCTTTGTTTATAATACAAGCCTGAGAACAAAAACTATAGTCTACTTGCACTACAGCTCTACACCGAAGCGAAGCGAGGGCGGGCCACTGTGTTTTATAAAGAACAGACTGATGTCAAGTTTACAAATAGCAAACACGAATAGCCAAGTTAAGTGTTGGAATTACATTGTAACTCGCCCAGTGTAAACACAATCATATTAGCTAACTAGTAGATTGTAAATAATCTACGAGAAAAGTTGAATGGGCGACTTAACTCGCTACTTACAGACTAGTGGACTTGTTAGATAAATAAACTAACATTGTGTCATCATAGTTCTTGTGAGCTGCGAGTACCTCATTATTTAGTTTAAATCTACAAAATTTCGATGGCATTCGTTCAAAAGCGAATTGAGAAATAGATCGCTATATGAACTGCGCACTAGCTTTAAAATCGCTGGCAAGTAGTAAGTAATCTCGCTCAACGTAATCGAAGCTTTAAATAAAAGATGGTTGTGTTTAAGAGTGTAGTAATAGTCATGTGCCTATAGGATTCAATCTCCAGTAAACTCTGGAATGAGGGGCGCCAGGTGGCAGCACTGAGACGAAAGGTCTACTCATCCGTCAAATCACATATATGGACGTCAATATAAAAGCTCGCTCGATTTATTCGCGCCAAAAACTTAATACATAAGACCTCTTGTCACAATGGCGCTAAATGGTGGCTTAATTTTTACTAAACACCCTCATCACACTAATATTATAAAGGCGAAAGTTTGTGAGTGTGTATGTTTGTTACTTCTTCACGTCTAAACGGCTGGAGCGATTTTAATAAAATTTGGTATGGAGTTAGCTGGCATCCTGGATTAACACATAGTCTACTTTTTACTGCGGGAAAATATCTCTAAAAACCGCGGATAACACCGCGTGCCACAGCTAGTTAGATCATAAGAGAAACTGTACCTATTACCTAGAAACGACATAGAGAAAACGCCGAGACGACGAGAATAAGCCTGTCTTTTATTGGAGATTTATTGAACTAGCCTTCAATAGTACAGTCAAAAATTGTTAACCGACAGAGTCAAATTTAACCGAAGAGGCACTGAAAGCCATTTTCGTAGCACAAATGTATCCCCACTGATATCACCTTGAATGTAAGATTAATGGTTTAGTAACAGTTATAAAACGACAATACTGGTGTCAATTCTGGCATGATTCTCTAAACTTAAAACTAAATTTAACATCAGTCTCTCCTTTTCATTCAGTATAGAGAATGCCAAGGATGCCAAATTTAAGTTTAGGTATAGAGAATCATGCCAGAATCGACACCACTGTGTCGGTTTGTCGTTGGCGCTGTTTTAATCGCTGGAGGCTGCTATGTATAGAAAGTGTTATTAATTACGTCCATAACTTTGCATTCAGGTGGAATAGCATTTATTTTTAATTCAAAATATTGAATTATCTCCTATTGATTTTCAGAAATAATTCTAAAAGGATTTGTTTTGTTTTTTATTATAAAAATACCTTTTGATGAAGTAACGATTAATAGATATCATTTTATTGTTCTTTCGTTCCTTTTTGTTAGAAATGTTACCAGTTTACAAAGTTATCTTAGTTTGTATAAAAATATATTTTTACTATTATGTCAACAAGATAAAGCCAATTGCGATGTAATAAGTAAGTCAACTGTTTCATAATTTTATTGAAAGACTGCTATAAAATACTTTGTAACGCAAAGTTCAAGATTCTCTGTCGAAGATGAAAGTTAAAAGAATTATTATTTATATCCGATATTATTGTAATTTATTATTATTTTCTATTTGCATGTAATATGGTTATTATCTCATAAGTTTATTATAGCAATAAGGATATATTTTAAATAATTATTAATTTATATTTTTATATAATGATTTTATAATACAATTCCAAAAGGTTACTTTTTATAAATAAAACTAAATCAACAAGTGCAAACGCTTCTTTTAATATGCAATATGCCCACAAAAAGCTAACCATTTATAAATTTTCACTATCAATATATTATATTCACAAAATGTCAATAGATTTCAAAATCATCTACAAACGGTCTACAGTAAAGATGCGCATTAGAACTGCGCAAATCAAAGGAAGATATTTATTTTTATCACATTAAATAGTTTATCTACTTATAGTCTCTACATTAGGTCTAAAGTCGCATTGAGATTGAGATGAAAAAACACGTCCACTCAAAAAGAACTGATACGTTCTCTCTCTTCTGAAGAATGAAAGAGATAGTATATATTTTTTAAACATCAAAACTGAGGCCAATATTCGTAATACACTGTTTACTATGCATTATATGTTTATGGATTAATCGATCTTTAATGCAAAGTTAAGTAGTTCTAAGGGCCATTTGCACCAACATTCTTAGCAAAGTTAAGTAGTTTTAAGGGTCATTTGCACCAACATTCTTAAATCAAATTTAAGCTTAAGACATCACTCTTTGTCAGCTGTTTGAAGGCAGTAGAGATAGAATGATGTTTAAACATTATTATGCAATCAAAATACATTTAAGAATAAGCGACACATTTTCTTTAATAAAATGATACATTTAATAAATTTATTTTTCATCAAAGTTCAATGCAACGTCAGACTAAAGCAATTTAAATATTAGTCATACCATTCCATTAAACCTCTATTTGTCTTCTATTTAGTTAAACAAGAGCTTAACATTCCAATTCAAATAATAAACCGATTAAAAATTCACAAAAATGATGATACGGTTAAATTTGAATGTAAGTAGTAATAACATTGCCACTTGAAACAAAAATATTATTCCATTAATAATAATCAAATTAAAATTTACACTTGAATTTTGATCAATTTTAAATGAGAGAAAAGCAAAAACACAACGAAGAGTCAGAAAAGTCATCGAAAGAAAAAATCAAGTGCACTTTTCTCCTAACTATAATGTCAAAATGGAATCTGGCAGAATCATTATGAAGACTAGAAGTAAGGCGGTTTTACATTTTGTAAAGATCAGTCGAGTTCAGACACAATACTATAGAAGAATGTCGAAAGCACATAAACCTTACAACAAGAAGGTTGAACAATATGTTATTCATAATTTACTAAGATATATGTAACATACAGTGTATTTCATAAACAACGTGTAAAAGAAATAACGCAATCCTTGAAAGTAGTTTGGTTGGAATTGGCTTCTGAATAGATTACGATAAAAAAATATCTAAAAAGAATTGAGAAAAAATACCATTAATTATTAATAAACAAAAGAATATGATACATAATGCAAGGCGATAAGCACTATTTTTAACGCAACGTTACAAGAAACAATTTGACTAACATTGAAATAAATGGAAATTACTAGAACTGAATCAATTTGTATATTTTTGTAACAAACTACCTACTTTCAGGGTGTACGTTATTTCTGAAAGACGTTGCATATTTTGGAACGAGACATAAATCATCATAATTCTTTATGGCATGAACATATTACCCGAGTAAAAATAGATTTGGCACATTATTATCAGTTCCTTTAGTTTCACAAGACAAAATTCTTAAGCCTTCAGTAGTTTCACAAGACAAAATTCCTAAGCCTTCAGAAGCAAAGACTCGCGAGAAACTTAAAAATAAATAACTACAAAATACTATATCACAACTTAGCGGCTAAAATTATACAACTTAAGTAATGGCACTAATTTAGTGTAAGTATTCGTTCACGACGTATGGTGATACATATTTTACAAAATAACAAAAGTCCGTTAGATCTCATACTCATATTCGACTTGAGTTAAGAAAAAAAATAAAACTCCTACTAAAACAAAAATTAAGTAATATTCACGATAATATGTATCATCAAAACGTGAACCTATATATCCAATATACAACATGGCAATGCCACAAATAAAATTTATAAATGCATTGAAGCGCCAATCGTTACAGTCCCATTATTCACTAACGATCGTAAATGGTTCCGAATTAGATTATGAATAAATTTTATATTCTGGGTCAGACCGCAATTTCTAAGGAAAATTCGCGTCATGTGCTCCTTCTGCGTATATTTCCAGATCAAAATCATAATTATTGTCACCGGTTCATATTGTTAGAACACGTACATAGATAAGAAAAAGAAGGGCAAATAATAGAAATCGCAGCTGTATCCGATTACCGATCGTTGTAAATAAAAGGATGAGAAACAGTAAGATGTGATAAAGCGTAGGAGGCTTTCACAACTTTCCGTTTCTATTACAACAAATACATCTACACTCATTGAAAGCAGCAGTGCTATTCTGTAAGAACAAACTTCATAACTCTTCACAGAATCCGCGTAGTGATTTGAAATTAAAATACGATTTTTCAAATAAATTTCAAATCAGACCGGCGAATTCCACGGTGAAAAGTAAGTATATCCTTACAGAATATCACTGTAGTAGTAGCTCCACACGACACACTAGCTAGACCGTAGTCTCCCCTCGGTTCTCCACATCAGAAATGGCCTCGCTCACACAACTGTCACTGTCAGGTTTCAGGGTGACGTCACTGTTCACTGTCACATCCAAGCCCACTTCCTTCCGGTGCGTTCTGTCCTTGTCCCTACTAGTTATCTGCGTGTACAACTCGTCGAGATCACTCGCGAACGATACCGGACTACTGTCCCTATTCACTTCGGGACAACTTATCGCCGGAGTCGGCACGTATTTGCCTAACTTCGGATTGCTCTTTATCGTTTTACGCCACCCGGGGTCAAAGTTCACGTACTGACTCTCGGTGGTTGATACGTCTTCGTTGCTGAAACTGATTTCGTTCGGACACATGGAAGACGGCGACGGAGCGTACAGCCCGTGGCTGCGTATACTCACTTCGGACATCTGATAGTTGGGGCAGTAAATGTCGCTTTCGTTTTCGAAACCTTGCTCGCTAGCATTCGTACTGCAAGTCTCGAAGTCGTACGTATTTTTCGCCATGAAGAACGCGTCTTTGTCCTCGTCCAATTTCTCTTTAGAGCCGGCGATATCGTGATCAGGATTCTGTAATAGATTGTCCATCTCTCCTAAACCAACGTCCCCGAGATTCTGGGGCGTGCTAGATCGATTTATCTCCTCGCTATTCATTGTGCATTCCTCGGAAATATCCTGCAAAGACTTGTCTATGGTGTCTTTGCTTTCTTGATTTTTATTCGGTTGTAAGTAATCTATGTATTGGCCGAAGCTCTCTGTGTCTGTGATCTCGTTTGTAGAACATAAGGCACTGTGCGTCTCCTGGAAAGATGTCATTTCGGAATGCGTGTTCAAGGTTTGATCGGAGCAAGTGTGGGGCATTTCCGACGCGGAACTGTATTCTAAACTGCATTGTTGTGATATCGTACGCATTTCTGGCTGTTCCGCGTGACTTTGCAGGCATTCTTCGGAAACGCTACTCCTTTGCCCGTTAAAAGTTTTTGGCACATTAGCTTTAACAATCTGGTGTTGTGGCACCTGCGTCTCGGGGACGTTTGTGTAAATATTCATTACTTGTGCTCTACCAGTCTTAGGATCGTCAGTTTTGTTCCACGACTTCCTGTCCATGGAATAGTTCTTGTAGTCTTTAGAATCTTCTTCGAGTAAATTGGGATTTAGAACGTTACGAGTCTCCTTGATTCCATTATTAGATCTTTCCACATGCAAGTTGGTATTATTCACTTTTGAACCTGCATTTATGATGTTTGCTACGCCACTGTAAGCCTCTTTAGTCGGTAATGGTAAGGATATATGCGAGTCGTTGTCAAAGTCTCGTCTTGTAGGTAACTCGAGACAATTTCTTTTCATGTTCTGTCGCTGTTTTTTAAAGAATTTTTTGGCGACGTTCATTTGGTTGGGGTTGTAAAATATTTCGGGGCCCATGGTGGCGCTGTCGGGGTACGTCATCATGGAATTGTTAGATCGATACTGCTGTCTGTGCAACACTACCAGGTTGATGTTAGGTGTTTTCCCATTAGTATTTTTCAACATGTCCTTTTGCAAAGTTTGCCCGTTCAATTCGGCACCACATTTATAAGTGCCGCTGTTGTTGGTCTTAGAGTTGGTTCTATTGGAGCTTCTACTGCCAGATCGCGATCTGTTATCATTAGGTATGCCGTTAACGACAGGCCCAGTGGTGGCCTGATTCGAGGGTAAATTCTGTTGATTTGCATCAAATACACTCCTGTTTCTGCAACACTGTTTACTCTTTTGCAAATAACAGTGCATCATGGACCATTGGGCTCTGACGTCACTTCTCGCTATGCCGTAGAAGAACAGTATGAAAGTGCCCAAAACCGTAGCGCACACAGCGTAAATAATACTGCAAATGTCTTCCTGATACGGTAAATATTCAGGTAAAGGTCTGTAAACGGCTATGGCTCCACAGGACCAGACTGACATGTACAAGCAAAGAACGATGACTTGAGCTCTCAGTTGTATAATGGGGGTATGTTCGACATCTTCAATTTCAGAATCCACAGTGGACTTGAGACTGCGTCTCTCGTTGCCATCTGCAGTCTGATTCGGTTCCCACATTTCTAGATCAACGTTTTCCGTCGCTTGAGTACCTTCCGATAGTTGGACGTTCATATTCCTTATAGTGCACCTAATCAGCAGGAACAGCACCAATAGAAACATTAAAAGGATACCCCCCGGAACGAATAGAGCGCTCAAAGCTGGTGCAGTGCTCAGAAAACATTGCGAATAACCTGCATAATCTTTTAAATTCACGGCTCCTGAAATCCCGCAAATAATCAAAGCTATTCCCCATCCTACTAAATACAAGCCCAATATAGGCTTCTGAACTGGAACGTCGGGTGGAATTTCATCGTCGGGCGTTCTAACTGGATTGTGAGTCTTTGTCACCCATTTGTACATATTGCTAGCGGAAACACACATCCATAATAAGCACGAAAGAGATAGATAGTGAATCAGGAGTCCTAGTATCTGGCAGAGTTTCACGTCCTCCGTTTGGTATATGCCTAAGGTGTATAGGAAGCAGAGGAGACCTATGGCTATCCAGGTATTTATTAGGGCATGTTTGCTTTTCTTGGCCATTTGTATGGCTGGGTAACACATTATGTATGTAAGAGTGGCGCAACTCACGCATCCGATGAGTATGAGACTGCCGACGTAGACCGCCGGGTGAGAAACTTTGAACCTGTGAAAAATAATACTTTTGAACTATGTTTTTTTGACGTGACAACGTCTTAAATTAGGTTGCGGCTGGGAGTCACTTATGAAAAAGTGTAACGCTCGGTAACGTTACGATGAGTTTAAGTTTACATGTACAATGTTTTAGTAAACAAAATATATTTCTATAGTTAAAATTTGTGCGATTCTTATTTTCATTCAATTCCTTGTTCCTATTGTGCAATTTAATTATATTCATATCAATAAATATTCTACCGAGAAAAAGACGTTGTCACGTAAAATCTTCGCCCGTAAAACCGACTTTACAGGCAACCATTTTTTTTCTAGAGATATGTCGAAACATTAATTTACAGACGATTCCTTTGAAAGACAAGGGTAAATAGAGTATTTGACAAGTTTTGGAAAACGATCTCACGTTACTTACTATAATAAATATAGAGTCCATAAAAAGTGTATATTCATCATTCTTGTGTATTTCAGTAAAAATAACTGAATCAAAAACTCAATTTTCAAGTTGCCGTGAAAACGTTTCTCTGGGCAACATGGCGTCTCACTGGGGTGTGACGTCATTTTAGGCTCCGCCAATCCCAGGCGTTTTCAATCACGTGACAATAGATATGAAAACTATTATCTTTTTCGTGGGTTTTTATTAAAATTATGAATATTTTTTTCTGCAATAAAAACCCCTGCCAATATTCATTCTAAATACAGATGCTAACAATTAGCACTTTATTTTTAATACTGTCAAATACCCTATTGTAGTTATTAATGATATATATTTTTTGCTAAATGTCGGCACTTGACACGACTGTTCGTATTTACTATTTGTAAAATTGACAAGTCTTCCCTCTTTACTCCATATAGAGTATGATAAGGACAACATGCTGTTAAAATGACAAGTAGCAAATACGAATTGCCATATGAATTGCCAGCAAAACATCAGATTTCATTGTTGTCAGACGCACTCATATCATCAATAAATAAAAAAGTGTGCAAAAACGATCCAAAGTCCTTTCCCGGGACTCAAACTATATCTGTACCAAATTTCATCTAAATCGGTTCAGCGATTTAAGCGTAAAGAGGTAACAGATAGAGAGACAGACACTCGCATTTATGATATCAGTATGGATCTAACAATAGTCTAATATAATGGTAAATAAACTTTTCCATTATTATTACCTTGCTCCGTCAGTTCTCGCCCCGTATATGCCGGTCTCAACGTTCTGGAGAAGACCAACGTAAGCCAGTTTGTTACAGCTAATTATGACCATTTCCGATACCACGTGCGACACAGTGCAATCTGGGAAAAGGTAAAACATTATTCACGTGAAGAATAACTTACAATGAAGTTCACGTACGTTTTATGAGTACGAATAAAAAAAATATTAATTACCATTTCATTATGTTGTATGTAATTAAAATAAAGAATTGTACATACATACATAAATGAACCCTGAATACGTCGTGTAATTAAAGAAATGGATAGACATGCCAGAGGCAAAATTAATGAACTATGTTATGTTTAAAGAACATATTGTTGTCGATTCTGTCATGATTCTCTAAACTTAAAACTAAATTTAATATAAATCTCTCCTTTTCATTTTGTATAGAGAAAGACAAGGATACACTGTTGTCAAATTTATTTTTTAGGTTTACAGAATCAAGCCAGAATCGATACCATTGTAGTCTATTTTTGGTGATAAATTAAGTTATTCATTCATACATGAAATCGAGATATTAATATAGTCGCGAACAATTTGGAAAAAAAAACATCTAGATTCGCCGCGGCCGTCGCTCGATGTACTCGCAATCCGAAGTACCTAAATGCGAAGGCCGAGTGTGGCGGTTCACTCAAATATGAACTTTAGCACTGGGGCGTAAAGGTGAAAGTACAATGACAGTTGCCAACATGGTTACAACTCATGTTCGCTACCTGCATTTATGTACTCGTAGGCACTAGGGAATTCTCATTTGAACTGTACCCTTAGCACGAACCGAAACGAAATTTGAACAGCGCCAGCGTAACGAGAATTAAAAATCTTCCATACAAAACCTCATGACATTTGACGGGTATCGAGACCGTATTCAACTATTCAAATTCGATATTCGTTCGTGCCAAGGATATTGGACTTACATGGAACGCGTAGGTTGGCGTATACCTATATAACAGCGCCTGTCACCGAGCAGGGACAGTTTACTTTCAAGCCGATAACACTTGTGTTTCAACAGCGATTTCGGTCCCCTGTGGTGGTCTAGAGGCTCCAAACGGAGAGGAGACTCCCCCCGTGGGGAGATGCCATCCGCCTGGAATATCTCTAGAGGCACTCGTCAATACCCGAGGTCTCCTTAGGATCTCGTCGTCCCCAAACCCGGTGACGCTGTAAAGGTCACTGCCCCCACTGCGTACATTATAGGCTCCAGCAACGCCCATTGCTAAGACATGTATAACTGCACTATATCTTATATATAAAATTCTCGTGTCGCGGTGTTTGTGGTTAAACTCCTCCGGAACGGCTTTCCCGATTCTCATGAAATTTTGTGTGCATATTGGGTAGGTCTGAGAATCGGACAACATCTATTTTTCATCCCCCTAAATGTTAAGGGTAATCCACCGCTAAATTTTTTTTTTTCAATTTTCGATATTTTTTTTATTTTTTTTTTATGATACAGCATTAAACACATATAACCCTGAATTTTCAAGTATTTACAATAAACCCCTATTTTTTTTATGGCGGTACGAAGTTCGCTGGGACAGCTAGTAATCTAAATAATCCCTCACCTGAAGAGTTGTCCGTCCACCGCCTGGTGGTGGGGTCCCACACGGCGGCGCGCCCCTCCCCTCCCCCCGCGCCCCCACCACCGGCGCCCCCGTGACCCCCACCAGCGCCCCCCCCGCGTACAGTCACAATCACAGGCTCCAGCAACGCGCCTCGCCCGGATACGCTGTCTGTACGACAATAATACGTCATCATAAGAATCTTCGATCGTATTAACACACATTACGCCAATTTGTCGTAATATAAATCATTGATTTGTATGAACGTATTGAATCTTGTCGATGTTAATAAATAAATAAACGGCACACGTTTACATAAACTACATAATAATTAATATTCAAATAACGTCTTAAATTTGGGAAAAATGAAATAATCGCCCTACTAAATTTAGCATTGCTATTTACCGCTAAAAAGTCTTCTGAGAACTATTTCCGAAGACCTAACAGAAAAAACACACAACACTTTCGTAGAGCCCTGAAACGATCAAATTTGTTTGTCAAAATTAATGCGTTTTTATAAAAAAATTAATCGTTTAAGGGTATGTTTGATGCGTTTGACCAACGAATAAGAACGTGAAACGTGAAGGTTGTCAAACAAATTTGATCGTTTACAGGCTTAGATTAAAACAAGAAGAGAAGATACGGCACTCGCGGCTCAAGTGATCCGCTTAAATTGTGGTGCATGACCACAATTCGCTTTAGTCACAATTGGAAATTCAAACACGCTGCTTGTGCATTAAATAAATAAATATTTCCAACACTCACACCAATTAGCCTAGCCCCAAAGTAAGCACTGTACGGATTGTATTATGCGATACTAGGTTAACAGATAGAATACATATACAGTACATAATATATAAGTATATTTATATAGAAATATGTATTTAATATGTATTAAACATCCATGACTGGAGAACAAATGTTCGAATTCATCACACAAACATATGCCCCCACCGGGATTCGAACCCGGGACCTCTCTAGTCGGCGACACCATGAAACCCGGCGTACAAACCACAAATATAACATATTGCGTATATTCTATGTTATAAAATTAAATCAATGTTTTCGATGCTTTTATAAAGAACAGAAATAGTTCAAAATCAAATAAAAAATACCTCGGCAACACATTCCATTCATAAAACTATAATAGTTATTTATTATACAAGAGTGGAAAGTTCCTTTTTAACCGCGTGCTCGATTTGGATGACCGAGCAAGCGAAGGATTCTAAAGTTGAATCACGAGCGCAGCGAGTGATTCTAAATTAGAATCCTGAGCGTCAGCGAGGGAAACAAACGAGCACAAGGTGAAAAATCTTTCCACTCGAGTGCAATACGTAACTTTTCATCCCACCTCAGCGAGGAAATGACAAAATGAAAAAGAAAACAATTTATAATGACAAAATATTTAAGCAATAAAACGTGAAAAACTAGAATGGCGCGAAGCACGCAAATAAAACAAAGAAACCAAGAAGGTTCCAAATTTAAATTTTTTCACAATTTAAAAAGTTCTAATCATAAATTTGGCACCATAGAGGTTACATTAAATAGGTTTAATGACGTTTTGAATTTACAATTATATTGAGTACTCATTATATGTGATGTTCTAAATTCAAATCTACTTTGCCGCTCAAGCGAATAAAATAGAATTTTCCAGCCAGATTTCGAAGCGCAAAATTACACTTTCCGAGGTGGTGGGATGAAAAAACATTTTTTCCTCAAAAGCACGCTTTGTTGTGAATGTTATTCACATAATCGCTTTTGTTATCGAGAAAAAGACAACAAGCTCTGACGCGGACTCGCCGTTTCGCACGCGCTGTGTTAAAGCTTACAGTAACCCTAGCACGAACCAATATCGAATTTGTATCATTTGTGAGTCCGAAATGTCATTGTGTACTGATTTTTAGTTCTTTTCACGTACTTTATGCCGCTGTTGCCATACAAAATTTGACATTGACATTTCGGTTTGCAAACTATTCGATATCGATAATGGTTCGTACTAGGGGTACAGTTCTGTCTCGCTCGATCGATTTAATGTTTAATTACAGACATGTGCATATGTACAATAGTTAGAGCGAGCATATTTTATTTGATGTTATGAGCATCCGTATGAGCGTACCATATCTTCCCTTTTTGTTTTAATCTATATTTACAGGGCCTTTTGTGCTACTATGATAAGAACTAATTTGGTAAAATAAAAATCAAAAATTTCTTACCCAATTGAAATCCCACGACGGGCGAGGTGATCTCCACATTCATGTCCTCCCTTTTAGTACTCCGTCCGTAATAATCCTTCGATCTATGATTCCGATATTGTGTGTCGTGTTCGTTAACTATTGGTAGTTGAGGAAAAAGCGCTGCATCTTCATACATAGTCACTATTAGATCATGAGGTTTGGCTGGGAGTTGCAGCATTCCCGCTTCCGTAGGTCTGTATAGAAGAGATGTGGGGATCTGGAATGGAGGTATAATATTTTATAAGTGTGTGTGGTAAGATTGTTAATCAGCAGGGTCTAGAATTTTATCAGTGGCCTTTTTGAGTTTTTTAAGTTTGATAATAATAGTCAGTGGCCTGAGAGATTAGTTTAAATAATAGTATGCAGTAATTTTACTTTCATTTTAAAGATTTTCACATCTAATGGACGACATGCATACACGGCACAGCTAATAATAATAATAATAATAATAAATATATCTTTATTCAAATAAGGTCATACATTGCTTAATAATACTAATAACAATATAAAGTACAAAAATAATGGATGCCTGAACTAGGTTACAGTTAAAATTGTACCTGTATTTTAGGCTTTATTACTGGATTTATTACAGCTGTATTACTGGATTTAATATGTAAATGTATCCCTAGGATCTATCCCATAACGCAAGCCTTACAGTGCTTACTTTGGGGCTAGGCTAATTGGTGTGAGTGTTGAAAATATTTATTATTACTTATATTTACCTTGGGTCTAGGCCAACTGATTTGAATGTAAAAAAGATTCTTTGAGAAAACTTTAAAAAAATTAGTGTAGATACCTGTACGCTGGCATGGATGGAAGCATGCGGTAATGTGAGCAGCGGAGCGACAGTGCGGTTAGTAGAGGTGCAGTGTAGTCGCGCGGGTTTAACTACCCAAACGCAAGTTACGCCACTAAATCCTTCACGTACTGGGAACCGTTCCACAGCCAGGTTGCGCTGAACAAACCGACAATACTAATTAATATAAATTCTAATGCGAAAGTGTGTCTGTCTTTCTGTCTGTTACCTCTTCACACTTAAAATGCTAAAGTTTGCGTCCTTTTTTCAAATTATTTTTTTACATTTTTGTTTGCAAATGTGTATCTATAAAAAGCCTAATTTAAAAGACATCTATTAAAAGCCTAATTTAAAGGAATTAGCACAAGACTCTTGTAGATAAAGTTTTAAACATTTAAATTCAGCCTTTTATAGAACAAATTCAAGATCACGCATTCAAATCCTGTTCAGTGATCTTGGACAAGAAAATATATTTCAGTAAGATTTATATTATATTGTATTTGATTGATTATATTATCATAAGAAGTTTGTTTCTGTGGGAATTTACTGGAGAACAATAGCCCTAAACAGATCTGAGTGGAGAAGATTAGCAACAGCATTTCTTCAAAGATACTAACATCAACTATACATCCTGTAGAGGCTGGGGGAGACCTTGTGTCACTGACACGCTACATTCATCACATAAAAAAAATCAAATTTTTAATCATTGTTTAAAAACTGATATCTTTAATAAAGGCTTTTTTATAAATTTCTTATATCATTAGAAGTATGATTTTTTTTTACCTATCCATTTATTATCTCTTTTTCATTTACTATGTTAAGCAGGTCTGCAAAATTCAGTAAAGTTTAAGCCTTGTAAATAAGAATCCTTACCTTTTGTCCTTGCACATTGCCGATGTAAGCAGATATTTCTTCAACAGCTCGTGCCATGTCTGTGCACGCGCCATACTGAGCCTCAGCTTGAGTCAATACAGACATAGTTATGTTCATTACTGAGCTTATCACATCCAGTAACTTCGAACCTAATGGAACAGAGTTAATAAATTGAGTTTAGACTGATTTTCTGTTATTTACAACAAGCAAACCTGGATTTTTTACTAAAGTCAATGAGATCGATGGTGGTTAAAAACATAAACAGTTCCTTAAGTACCAAAGAGAATGCTATTCATAGTACAAGACATTTAATTTATTCCAACTTAAATTTTCACAAACCTTATATTATAAATGTGATTGTAAGTTTGTTACTCAATAGATAGACTGTTATTGAATAGATTTAGATAAATTTTGGTATACATATAGTTAATGACCTGGACTGAGACTCTCTTTGGAAATTCAATCATTAAAAATAAATATACTTACCCAAATCTTTCTCTTCTTTTATATATTGCATGTAATTTCGTATAGCCTGAGCAATAAACATGACATCGTCAGGATCGGTTATCTCTGCCAGAGGGTAAGTTTTCTCCTGTATCAGCATTGATAATCTCTCTGTAGCATTCAGTGCTGAATACTGCACCAAACTTACATTCAACAGAGCAAATTGTTGAAGTAGTTTAGTAACATTGCTGATGTATGAACATTCTGTGGTGTTTGCTTCTCCCCAGGTTGCATTTGCATGACAATACCGATATGCCATGCCCTCACCGCTACGGCAAGGCACAACAGCTGTATGATTTAACAGCAATTGTGGCCAGGAGTACAACCCTTTATTATTCAATGTGTGATTTGTCATACAATATTCTGTTTTATTTGACAACACTAACACCTGGACTGTATGATTATACCTTATATGATTAGAGTCCATGTACACACAAGTCCAATTCCCCATATGATGGTTTGTTATATTTGGAAAGAAAACTGTTGTTTCAGCTAAACCGTCCTCTAACATTTCACTATTTGTCACATTCACATCACATACCTCTAGCATCGGATGCACCCATTTTAATTCGTATTTTGCTATCACAGAAGCAAATGGAGCATTACATGACAGCGCAAGAGTGTCCCCCTCGAAAACAACTTGGTCATAATTTGGTTTTACGATCAGTGAACTTGTTGGCAACACACTACCACAAGCTGACAAGTCTAAAAATATCTTCAGCTTTCGTACAGTTTTGTTGACCATGTTCTCAGGAAATGCACATTTGGGATTATTAACAAGTTTTACTGATGTGTTGCGAGACCAATCACCAACCCAAAGTAATTCACAATCACATATCAGTGGGTTGTCAGTAATATCTCTGAAAAAAGAGAATTAAGTACTTGTACTGAGATAACAAACACAATTCTATGTTCATAAGCCCATAACATGAATTATTTTTAGACCAGATTTTACTTTAGTACCTATAGGTTTTGTAATAATAAATAGGGGTGTTAGAAGTGAGTTGACAAGACTTGTTTTTTTTAAATATTTAAGCAATGTAAAATCTGCTAATAACAAATACTCACAGCTGTTTTAAGCCTATCAGGTAATCAAATGTTCCGACAGCAAGCATGGATATGTGATTCTGTGCCAGCATCAGCCTCTCCAGGTTGACAAGCCCCTTGAACATTTCCTTGTAAACATTGCTGATCTGGTTATTAGACAAGTCCAGTCTCTGAAGTGATGTCATGTTGTAAAATGCATCTGACTCAACTAGGCTTATTTGATTTTTACTAAGATCTCTGAAATAACCAAAAATATATATTGATTAAATACTACTGAAATTTTACAAAAAAAATATATAGTGACTTAGTTTAAACTACATAAAGAGTTATTTACGCTTATTGTCTTGGAGCCCACATTTAAAATACTTACAGTTTCTGTAAATTTGGTAAATGTAGTTCTCGTGATAATGTAGAAATGGCATTGCCAGATAAATTTCTGTAATAAAAAACGACAATAGTGAAATTTAAAATATACATTGATATCATAAATATAAACAAATCGTGGCGGCATACTTACAAGCTGACTACATTGTTATAAACTTTGCTCAAATCAATTTCTTTGAGTTCTGTGATTTGTGCTGGGCTACCTCCACACTTCAGCCTCAGGAACTCTCCCGGCAGTGGTTCCGTGGACGCCCCATCCCCAGCCTTGTTACTTTTACAGGTACAAAGAGATGGACAATAACCCTGAGCTATTTCCAAACCCAGAATCGTCACAATTATCACTATTATCCACTTCATGATGCTTGTTTCTAATAAAACTGCAATTAAAACTGTGGCACTCAGCCAAATACGAGAGATAATCACATTTTCAACAATTTCTGCTTATTGTCAATGACAAAACTCATATAATGAACAATAAGGGCCTGACATTATTTATTTATCACTGCTGATTTTAAACTTTGTTTAAAACACTACATAAAATTCTTATTTTAAGTAAATCATAAAAATAAACAACAGGGAAACAATACACAAGTACAATCCGACATTTGTAAATTTTTGACAGTTGTTTTTTTAACAGCACCACCAGTGTTTCCACTTTAATGATTTCCTTTCCCCATGCCTCAATTCAGATTTCCCCTTCTTAGGACATTTTTCCCCTCAAAAATTATTCTGCTGTAGTTTTTAGATTTGGCACTAGTGTAGTAACTAAAGAAAAAAAGGTCTTAATCTGCACGTGTTGACACAGTTTCTTTTATACGGCAATACTCTAGTCCACGGTATAGTCCGTAAAAATTTTGTTCCGTGCCGCATTATTTTAGGCTAAGCTTTACCCATAATTTCCCGCAGATTCCCTTTCTTTTTCTTTCATATCTTTCCCCTTTTTCTTTCCCTCTGAACCCTAATTTCCCCTTAAAAGGGGAATGTCCCCTCATCGTGGAAACACTGAGCACCACCACAGACCTACCATTTCAATGGTTGCACATTGAAAACCGATGAACACCGCAACATAATGTTTACTTACTGTTGGTTCGTGTATCAGTACCTTATTATGTTATGTAAGCACGCACTTCTGCATGCACTTCAGATGGATTTTGACAGTAAGTTGTCCTTGTCATATTTTTTATGGAGTGAAAAGGAGAGCTGTGGTCAAGTTTTTAAATAGCAATAAAGAGTAGCTACGTGTAGTGCCGGCATAAAATGGACAAAGTAAAGTTTACAGACAGGGCTGTATGCTCTCAGAATTTTTTGCCCGTCCCAACAGTGGCAAATTAACCAAAAAAAAAGTAGTGTCATTAAAGTTTGCTAGTGTAGTCTATGGGTGCGGCCAGAGTGCACTCAGATTCAGACTCAGATTCAGATTTCGAAAACAAGCGCGAGAAATAAACAGTGTAGTCTAAGCAGGTTGCCTGCTTTTTCTCGCGCTTTGTTTTCTGAGTCTGAATCTGAATCTAAATCAGGAGTGCAATCTGGCCGTACCCTTCGACTACACTGTTTATTTCTCGCGCTTGTTTTCGAAATCTGAATCTGAGTCTGAATCTGAGTGCACTCTGGCCGCACCCATAGGGTCTAAGCAGGTTGCTTGCTTTTTCTCGCGCTTTGTTTTCTGAGTCTGAATCTAAATCTGAATCAGGAGTGCAATCTGGCCGTAACCTTCGACTACACTGTTTACTCTGGCCGCACCCTATGGGTGCGGCCAGAGTGCACTCAGATTCAGAGTCAGATTCAGATTCTGAAAACAAGCGCGAGAAATAAACAGTGTAGTCTAAGCAGGTTGCCTGCTTTTTCTCGCGCTTTGTTTTCTGAGTCCGAATCTGAATCTGAATCAGGAGTGCAATCTGGCCGTACCCTTCGACTACACTGTTTATTTCTCGCGCTTGTTTTCAGAATCTGAATATGACTCTGAATCTGAGTGCACTCTGTGGGTCAATTATGCTTCAGTAATAAAATTCTAATGTGATGTCAATATGATGTTGATGCCAAGTTGACATTGTTTTTATATGGTATTATGAAACATTCCTATGTCACATCAAGATCATATCAATATCATATCCTGTATCACATTTTTGACGTTTATGCGATACTATTTTAAGTCAAAAAGTTGAACGTAATACGCATTTAAGTTGATATCATTTTATAGAGTTGATCATCATCATAGCATAAGTTGATGTCATTTTGATATCGCATTTTTCGGAGAGCATAATACGTAATGTGAAATAGACATCAAAACAATATCACAATAGGCTAGTTGACCCTTTTTGGAAAAAGGTTTTAAATGGTTAATAAATGTTATAGTAGACCGAAAAAAAATGTATTGTATTTTTTTGAGACCTAGAAAGCTACAAACCTATAATTTTAAAATAGACTTTTCATGGACATACAAAAACGCTATCGGCCATTTTAGTCTATAGATTATCTATGCTATGACATTAACTGCAGTAAACAAAAACTCGTAAACACGTAGAAAATAACTTATTTGAGTTTATAATAAAAAAAAACATGATTTCTAATAAATACCACGAAAAATAAAGTAATTATCATTATTGTATTGCACGAGAATATAAAAACACATCCTTTAAGACTCCAGGAAAGTTGTGGATTAAAGTGCCGAAAGAAATTTAACCTACGCAACTTTATTACACTTATTCATATGTTGTATCAGTTTTATGTTTATTGCTACATTGTAATACTAAATACACTGTACTTAAATAGATGCCTTGTCGTTTCTCTGCTCCGCAGAGCAGAAATCGGGATTTAGTGCAATAAATTCACCAACCATCAATGCGTCAATTCTTGGCAAATTTGTGCTTTCTGTTTTCACAAAGCCGGCATCCATAATTAGTTTTTTCAAAAAAAAAAACAGTAAACGGAAACTTTTCTAAAGTTAAAAGATAAATTTAGTCAGACGAAAGAATTCACCCACAGTAACACGCGAATGACATTTAGTTGTTTACCATAAGAGACGTCACAATCATGGCGGATGTGGCGAACAGCGTTTTTAGTGTTTAAAAAATATAGACTAAAAAATATTTTTTAAAATTAATTTTCTACAGCAATCTTCTGCTTTTATGAAGTGAAATCAATATATTTAGGTTCCTTAGACCAAATACTTTAAGAAATAAACATTTATTTAATACAATTCGACATGAGTCAACTAGCCTATTAGCGAGCATAATTGGCCTGCTGGCCGCACCCTATGGTAGGAGTCATCGGAAATGAGAAAGCTGATACGTTAGCCAGAACCATTTTAAATCGAAGCAATGATGACGTTGACTTTAAAAATGTTGCCATACCTTTTTCAGATTTATTACCCAAACTAAAACTTTTGTTAAAACAAGATTGGTTGATTAATTGGCATCAAACGCTAGTAATAAAAGGAAAATGGTATCATAAAATTAATAATGTAATTGGTCAACATCCATGGTTTACAAAATCTAAAGAATACCATAGTCGGAAATTTTATACGACCATCACACGCTTGAGAATTGGACATGGACGTTTTAATTCACATTTATATAGAATGAATATAATTACATCTCCGTTATGCACAAACTGTAATTTAAATAAAGATCAAACACTAAACCATATATTTTTTGAATGTACAGCATATAATATACAAAGACTTGTTTTAGCTGACAATTTAATTAAATTATATAAAACTAATAATGAAATCCCGCGCGACATTCAAGACATTGTTATGAATCCAAAATCATACAAATATCTATATATTTTTTTAGTTTCCATAGATATGGAACTTTAAAAAATTTCATGACTTTAAACAAATAAGATTGAAAGAAAGAAGATTCAAATTGAAAGAAGATTCAAAATCGGATTTGAAAATTTGGGGGAAACAATAAGTACCTAAACTGAAAATGGATTAGAAAGACTATTTAGGACAAATATCTTATGATTAAAGAAGTGGCTTCGGCCTTATAGAAAAAAGAAACAAAAAAAAATCCTTTAAATGAAGACTATGGCTGCATGGCTCTGCCTTTGCCTTTCCCAAGATGGGAAAAAAGATATTAAAAAAAAAAATGTAGTCTATGGTTCGGTTCGTTTGAAAAATAATATTTGAAACTTTAACCGTTCCTTCGTAGAAGTCTACGCGGAACAAGTCTTTATTTCTCAGTTTAAATGTTATTATTATTGTTAATATTGGTGCTATAGTATTAATTAGCTATAATGCTTGATCGATATTCTGACAATGACCAGTCCAAAAGGGATATACCATCCTTCATAGAACCTAGGCCGCCGCTGATATCTAATCCCTTCATGCGCCCTCGACCTCAAAAGGGCACAAATTTACTAGAATTATTTGAAGAAGACTCGGAACTTGAAGAGCCGGAATTAGTTCAAGTTTATTTGCGACTGAAGCCTCATCTAAGTGCCACTACCGACTTGTACGAAGTGAAATCTGATAGGTGCCTCATTACTTCTGTGGACACTGCTACTGCTGGACATGGCAGAAGAACACAACATAATGTATCAAAAATGTACACATTTTCACACATATTTGACCAAAATGCTTCACAAAAAGTAAGTTTTTTATTCTACATTATCTTCAAAAGTATTTTTACATTATCAAATCTTAACTGCTATATATTTATTGTAGGAGATTTTTGAAAAAGTCGTCAAAGACAACTTGAAGAAGTTACCAGATGGCCATAGTTTCACACTGTTAACATATGGTGCCTCAGGATCAGGAAAGACTTATACTCTAATGGGGACTGTAGCGTCCCCAGGACTTGTGCCTCGATCTTTAGAGTGTGTCTTTCAAGTGGTTGATGCTGCACAGCAACCATTATTCAAGCCAGCTGATGGAGGTGCAGAGAAGCTGAATTACGCTGAGCAAGACTATGAATTGAAAGTATGTTGTTTGCTTTGATTCTTAACCCTTCAATTGCGGGAAAGCCTCCACCTAAAACACCCCCCGCTTGCGGAACGATTGCGCGGCCGCAGCGCGCGCTCGACGCGGTTTGAAATTTATTCAATAACTTTAATAAATCGTTCGGTCGACATGCAGCAAAATAATTTATTTCAATTATAGATAGTCAATGTACCTTCTTTTTTAGTAATTTCCTATATAAATTGTTTCAACCTTTTTATTTTTAACAGGAAACATAGACAAAATCAATTTCGCACCTTAGGTGGCATAAACGCGATTTGAATAAATTATACGAATACTTGTGCTTTTCATTGATAACCTTTTCAAAGTTGAATAACTAAACAATAGATTTTTGCAAAAAAATAATATACTGTTGTAATATAATGTTGTTAATAAACTGTTTTAAAAATTACTTTTTAGTTGCGAGCTCCCCGATACTCGATTTTAAAATCGTCGTACTAACGGTTGTTTGGTCATAAGAACGACTTCACCGCAATGAGTGAATGGTTTATTCATCTGGGTATAAAATTCAAAAGACTTTGAACTGTATTGCATTGTATTTATTCCCAAAATTGCAAAAAATTGAATGCGGGTGACGAGCGAGCAGATCTACACTTGCCCAAACGGACTTAACTCACGAAGGCGTGCAGCGCTGCACTACAGCAATTGAAGGGTTAAATCTTATGATAAGTTTATTGGGACATTAGCTTTTCAAAATGTATTTTAAAAAGTATATTTATAACTTTCCTTTTTTAAACATAATCAGTAAGATAATAGATAGTGAAATAAGAAGTTTGTATTATATTGTGCGCATTGCACTATGGAATACTGCTGTTTTTCAAATATTTACAACTGAAGTATTTTTTTTACAGTGGGTGAAAAGATTGAGGCATGTCTCAGCACCACTTAGGGACAAGTATCGCAGAATGAGTGCAGGACTTTGCAATGATTTTACTGTCAGTTCATTGGATCTATCAAATAGAACCAGACATTATGTTTGGGTAAGTTACTTGTTTAATAAGAATTTCCATCTATTCATTCATTTTAACGGACATTTGATAAAAATTATGTTTCTGTTAATTTAATTTTATTTTACAGGTATCGTTTGTAGAAATATACAATGAGGGCATTTATGATTTATTAGCAGTATCAGACAGAAGCAATGCTTCCAAACTTCGCATTCGAGAAGATTCTAATGGACATGTGTATGTGAAGGTAATTATGTGATTATGAAGCATTTAATTTACAAATAATATTTAAATTCTGATAATCATAATTTAGCTTTATAATTATCTCATAAAGTTCACAGCCACAAAACTTGATAGATAAATTAAATAAATATTGAAAAAAGAATTGAAGATTTTCAGTATACATAAATATGTGCATTGTTATCACAGTGAAAACTGATTACTTAAACTAAAACCCTTGATATAGCAATAAAGAAAAGGTTAGCCTCTCAAATATCATTTATTTTTGTTAGGGTGCAAGTCAAGCATTTGTAAGATCCGGGTCTGAAGCATACGACGTGATGGCAGCAGGGAAGCATCAGCTTCAAGTAGCTGCTACCGGAGTCCATGCACATTCATCGCGATCCCATTGTATATTCACAATCACCATGTTGACAGAGACTGGTAAGATAATAGGCATTTGACAATATAAAAATTAAGTTCCAATTATTGGCATGTGTATTTAAAAATATTGAGAGCAATATCACTACCCTGACAAAATAAACTAGTTGTCAATTTTACTAAAAATCATGAAATAGAAAAGTATCTTTTGATGTGACAGAAAATGCCTAATATTGGCGAGGTCTAAAATTATGTCACCTGCTTATAAACATGTTGTTGAAGTGACATTACTTCATACTGCTGGACGTTTTAATAAGAGCCGCCTGACGTCACCTGCCTGTAAGACGCCATATTTTCTAGAAAAACGTTTCTGTGGCATATTTATAAACATAATATTTATTTTCATTCTTTTAATGATGTAATTATAGATATGGAGTCACTGCCATTCCGGTGTTAATTAATCCTAAGTTAGTTTCGGCAGGGGCGTAATAAAAGCAACTCTTCTTAATTATTAAAATCTTTTTTTTTGTCACTACATATAAAATATTTCCCTTTACATAGCCTGTCTAAATTTCTTCACTTTTTTTTAAATATCAATATTTAAACCCTGCCCCGCGCCGCCGATGGACAGCACTGGCAGGGTCGCCATGCAGCGTTGGCGGTTCGGGGCGTTAAATAATACAACTGCCTGCGGTTTAAGAGAGCATTTATTTGATATGCAAAGCTTTATATATTAGGAGAGATGCCTGTGTGAGCATATGTCTAGTTCAGTCTTTGGTCCTGGCTGCATTTGTAGTTGTTAGCACCCACCAATTCGCACCAGGCCTGCGGATTGCTGGATTAGGGTCCAATCTTCCTATTCCAATCATAGTAAGTACATCTTTGAATGAAACACACGTCCACGTCACGACACTATATATTTTTCCGAACAAGTGAATAGTAAAAAACAATGTGACTAGCACTGCCGAGTACGTTACGTAGTACCTAGTTAAACGTAGGTATAACGCATGAGTTGTAAGCAAGTGCAGATTGACATCTTGCACTTTCACCTTTACTTCGCACGGCATTAGACTCATATTAGAATGAATTGCTTGACTCAAACCTTTATCGCGATCATTCACATCGTTGTTCTGGTAAAATCTGTTTCAAGTGTTCTCAAGGTTTTAATTGGAGAGCGATTGTGACAATATAAAAACCTTCCATTTACCTAAACATCTCAACAGTAAAGTAACTATACTTCCCATGATACTAGACGCGCGCATCACCGAGTCCAGGGCCATCAACTCCTCTCTGCATGTGTATAGATATGTCTGCATATGTTGACCGTTGATGAGTGCCATCGTCTCGTATAGATAGTGGAGTGCGTACATCATGCGTCCGGCTATGCGACCTGGCGGGATGTGAGCGGGCCCGGCACACTCGTAACATGGCCGAGTCCTGGGCCATCAACTCCTCTCTGCATGTGTATAGATATGTCTGCATATGTTTACCGTTGATGAGTTCCATCGTCTCGTATAGATAGTGGAGTGCGTACATCATGCGTCCGGCTATGCGACCTGGCGGGATGTGAGCGGGCCCGGCACACTCGTAACATGGCCGAGTCCTGGGCCATCAACTCCTCTCTGCATGTGTATAGATATGTCTGCATATGTTTACCGTTGATGAGTGCCATCGTCTCGTATAGATAGTGGAGTGCGTACATCATGCGTCCGGCTATGCGACCTGGCGGGATGTGAGCGGGCCCGGCACACTCGTAACATGGCCGAGTCCTGGGCCATCAACTCCTCTCTGCATGTGTATAGATATGTCTGCATATGTTTACCGTTGATGAGTGCCATCGTCTCGTATAGATAGTGGAGTGCGTACATCATGCGTCCGGCTATGCGACCTGGCGGGATGTGAGCGGGCCCGGCACACTCGTAACATGGCCGAGTCTTGGGCAGAAATCAGAAATCAATATATCTTTATTCAAATTGGATGTATAGTACAACACTTTTGAATCGTCCAAACATTTTTTTTTTTCCCTACCACTCGTTATTGGACATATTTTTTAGCTGCGGAGAAAAACGAGCGAAAAAAACTCCACAACATTAAAAGCATAATGTAACAACATTTACAAATCATTATGTTGTTACAACGTCAATACAATCATGATTTATTTACTATAGAAAACCTGTTGAAATGATTGGAACAGTTCAAACCCAAGCATTTTTGTCTGTAATATAATCAGACACTTTGTAATAAGCTTTTTTATTAATAAGTGCTTTTTTTATACTATCTTTGAATTTATTTATGCTTAACTCTTGGATATTGCTTGGGACTTTATTGTATAAGCGAACACAAAGACCTTTAAATGAATTATTGATTTTGTGAAGCCTAGTAGCAGGTAAAGTTAGTTTATTTTTGTTTCTTGTATTAAGTGTGTGAACATCACTGTTTTTAAGAAACAAATTAATATTTTTTCTTACAAGTAATAAATTTTCGTAAATGTATTGTGATGCGACCGTCATTATACCAAATTCTTTAAACCTATCTCTTAAGGAATCCTTAACTTTAAGATTATAAATTGATCGAATAGCTCTCTTCTGCAGCACAAAAATAGTTTGAATGTCGGCGGCGTTTCCCCACAATAAAATTCCGTACGACATTACACTATGGAAATAACTAAAGTATACTAATCTGGCCGTATCTACATCCGTTAACTGGCGTATCTTCATTACGGCATATGCTGCAGAACTAAGTCTATTTGACAATTTATCAATATGTGGGCCCCATTGAAGCTTAGAATCTAAAGTAATCCCTAAGAATACTGTGGTGTCTACAAGAGGGCCATCAACTCCTCTCTGCATGTGTATAGATATGTCTGCATATGTTTACCGTTGATGAGTGCCATCGTCTCGTATAGATAGTGGAGTGCGTACATCATGCGTCCGGCTATGCGACCTGGCGGGATGTGAGCGGGCCCGGCACACTCGTAACATGGCCGAGTCCTGGGCCATCAACTCCTCTCTGCATGTGTATAGATATGTCTGCATATGTTGACCGTTGATGAGTGCCATCGTCTCGTATAGATAGTGGAGTGCGTACATCATGCGTCCGGCTATGCGACCTGGCGGGATGTGAGCGGGCCCGGCACACTCGTAACATGGCCGAGTCCTGGGCCATCAACTCCTCTCTGCATGTGTATAGATATGTCTGCATATGTTTACCGTTGATGAGTGCCATCGTCTCGTATAGATAGTGGAGTGCGTACATCATGCGTCCGGCTATGCGACCTGGCGGGATGTGAGCGGGCCCGGCACACTCGTAACATGGCCGAGTCCTGGGCCATCAACTCCTCTCTGCATGTGTATAGATATGTCTGCATATGTTGACCGTTGATGAGTGCCATCGTCTCGTATAGATAGTGGAGTGCGTACATCATGCGTCCGGCTATGCGACCTGGCGGGATGTGAGCGGGCCCGGCACACTCGTAACATGGCCGAGTCCTGGGCCATCAACTCCTCTCTGCATGTGTATAGATATGTCTGCATATGTTGACCGTTGATGAGTGCCATCGTCTCGTATAGATAGTGGAGTGCGTACATCATGCGTCCGGCTATGCGACCTGGCGGGATGTGAGCGGGCCCGGCACACTCGTAACATGGCCGAGTCCTGGGCCATCAACTCCTCTCTGCATGTGTATAGATATGTCTGCATATGTTGACCGTTGATGAGTGCCATCGTCTCGTATAGATAGTGGAGTGCGTACATCATGCGTCCGGCTATGCGACCTGGCGGGATGTGAGCGGGCCCGGCACACTCGTAACATGGCCGAGTCCTGGGCCATCAACTCCTCTCTGCATGTGTATAGATATGTCTGCATATGTTGACCGTTGATGAGTGCCATCGTCTCGTATAGATAGTGGAGTGCGTACATCATGCGTCCGGCTATGCGACCTGGCGGGTTGTGAGCGGGCCCGGCACACTCGTAACACGGGGGCACGCATGGCCGAATCGAGAGCCATCAACTCATCGCTGCATGTGTTGGAGAGATGTCTGCATACGCTGAGGAGACGACAGCGGAATCGGCCCGGGGCTTGCGTGCCGTACAGGTGAGATTTATCTTTATCTAATATATCTATATATATAAAACTCAAAGGTGACTGACTGACTGACATAGTGATCTATCAACGCACAGCTCAAACCACTGGACGCATCGGGCTGAAATTTGGCATGCAGGTAGATGTTATGACGTAGGCATCCGCTAAGAAAGGATTTTGATAAATTCTACTCCCAAGGGGATAAAATAGGGAATGAAAGTTTGTATGAAACTTTGTCAATTTTAAACCGATCGGGCAGGTTACTGATTGCATGCAGGTATAAGAAGAATCCTAGATGAATGTCATTGTGTATAATACAACCCTGAAAACAAAAACTGTAGTCTACACTACAGCTCTACACCGAAGCGAGGCCGAGGGCGGGCCGTAATAATAAAAATACCTGTTCAAAATCTGTTTTATTATATGAAATGTGTGTGTGAAAACAAGAGGAATTAAACATATATAAGTAGACTACGGATTTTTTTTTAAATAGAACAGAAGGAATGTTTTTAGTTTGTTTAAAATTAGCGATAAGATTTTAAACAGTTGCTTTCGATTACTCCTTTCTCTTTTATTTCTTCCTGTTGTAATTGTTTAGTTAGTTTCAGTGCATGTTGCACAATCGATAAGTTCTAAGTTAGTTACTTCTAACATAAAGGTGCCTTCAGATTACGCTATATTATATAAAATTATCTTATAACTCATGGCACGAAAACGCGCACCATACATTTACATAGAACACGTTTATACCACGCTATTTCCTTATTTTCTGGGCTTGCTATAAATATTGCGTTATATTCGGATCTTTAGAACTTTAATTATAGATTGTGAAACAGGTCCTCAGTGTATTTATTTAGCATTGTGATGTGATTACTACCAACCATGTACCTTGTTGTTTGCGATCTCTCAGTTACTGAGTTACTCTGTCTGTAATCATTGCACTTACGATAGTGCTGAAATATCGAGGACACAGTAAACAAGGCACATGGTAGCAAACCCGCTAATTACTTTAAACTTAGTGATTGACACTTCCGGACACATCTATCGGGCCACCTAGCATTTTAGGTTTTGACGGTCCCTAGCTAAAAATAAATGTTACAATAAGCAAATAGTTATTGCTCATCATTATCATCTCAGCAGTACGACAACCACCACTGAGCATAGGCCTCCCCCAAAGATCTACAAATCGATCAGTCCTTTCCCACGCGCATCCATCGGCTTCCCGCGATCTTCACCAGATCGTCGCACAGTGGGCGGAAACGATCAAAACTACGCGCGAGGCAGTAAATCTAATCCAAATGAAATCATATTTTTTTTAAATACTCGTAATTATCTCTGCTTTCTTGTAGCACTGCGGAAATTCACTTTTTAGGGGTAAAAACCACCCCTATCAAGCCCTAAGCAAGCTAAACCACCAGGGGGTCATTCGCCTAACGGAAATGGTTTGGAAAACGCTAACGCTTACAATTTCATTTTGTTATTTCTAGCCGCCTGAGGTTTTCAAATGCCTCGCGCTCTTTTTTTTCTTTTGCATTGGTAATAACAATATTAAAGAAAATGAGCGTGAGGTATTTGAAAACCTTCGGCGGCCAGAAATAACAAAATAAAATCGAAAGCGTTAGCTTTTTCCAAAGCATTTCCATTAGGCGAATGGCCCCCAGATTCTGGGTAAAACGAGTTCGATCGACTACATATTTATAAGGAAACTTGCAGTCCCAGCGAACTTCGTACCGCCATAAAAATAGGGGCAGGAGGTAGAAGAGAAAAATTAGGGTTGTATGTATTTTTAATAGCACATTATAAAAAAATAAATATGTCCAAAAAAACTTTAGGGGTGTGTAACCTTGTAGTGTTCTATAAATTTCCTGGGATAACATTCCTTCTAACCCATATGAGAACTCTACGTAACAATAACCAATAGTTTGAATTATGGCGCGAAGGCACATTGTAGGTTTCAGAACACTACGTTACAGATGGACAACCATTACCACTTAAGGATATAAAAAATAAATAGTTGCCGATTCTCAGACCCACGGAATATGCATATAAAATTTCATAAAAATCGGTCATATCGTTTCGGAGGAGTATGGTGGTAACTAACATTGTGACACGAGATTTTTATAAAATAAGATTAGTCCAGTCAACAAGTTCAAAAACGTGAAAAATAGAGATAAAGCTCCTAAAAATATGAGCAATAGCTCATTGGATTCGGAACGACCTCTAGAAAAATGAGTTTTGAGGATTTTACTGCACGTAAAAAATTTCAATTGTTATTAACAAAATAAGATGAAAAAAAAGACGTATTTACGTTTTTGTTAATAACTCATAAACTATTAATATTTACGATATTTGGAAAAAAGGTCCTTAAAGAGGAGGAAATTTCCGAAAAAAAAGTCCCAGCTCCCGGAACTCTACCTCTATTATTTATAATTTTAATTTAACGCTGAAAATAGGGCTCCGCGCAGCCATTACGGCATGGGCGCACTGCCGTTAAAGACAGTTTCTTACATAAAATTATTTTTTATAGTAACAAATATGAATTTAAAAATTTAAATAAATTATGGTGTCATCCAGATACTTGAAAGAATATATTACCGTTGGAAAAAAAAAATTAAATTAATTTTTCAAAAAGTTATGCAATTGTTAATTAACGAATTTTTTTCCTATCTCGCTAGCTTAGCTTCGCTTAGCTCTAGAAAAAAAATATAACGGTAGTTAGAATTTGTTTATAACAAATTGTTAAGTTAACAAACAATGAAATTATTGATAAAAAAATTTTTTTTTTCTATTTACCTATAAAGAAATGCCAATTATGATTTTTAAAGAGAAAATCATTCCTTAACTAATTATTTAAACAATCGAAATATAAAAAAAACGATTATAAACAATAAAAAAATTTATTTAAGAAATTTTTTTTTTTTAAAAATCATTATTTTGCCAAGACAACATAATGGTAAAAAAAAAAATCTTTAAATATTAAACTTGTCTATTTGTTTATAAACAATTTCTTAACAAATGATGTAAAAAAAATTTCCGATGTTACTTAATGCCATTGTTGGATAAGAAAGCAGCAATAATATAACATTTGTTTAAAAAAAAATTTTTAATAATATTTCTTAGACTTTTCATTTCTTGTTAACTTTAAAAAATTGTTATAAACAAAATAATTAACTTTAATAAAATTTTATCGCGGGACCTTGTTAAGTATATATATAAGAAGAGCTCCACAGAGCCAAAAGTTATAGGTTTATTATTTAAATTTTTATGTCGACATTTATGAAAACGGAGATAGGAAAAAAATTCGTTAATTAACAATTGCATAACTTTTTGAAAAATTAATTTAAATTTTTTTTTCCAACGGTAATATATTCTTTCAAGTATCTGGATGACACCATAATTTATTTAAATTTTTAAATTCATATTTGTTACTATAAAAAAATAATTTTATGTAAGAAACTGTCTTTAACGGCAGTGCGCCCATGCCGTAATGGCTGCGCGGAGCCCTATTTTCAGCGTTAAATTAAAATTATAAATAATAGAGGTAGAGTTCCGGGAGCTGGTACTTTTTTTTCGGAAATTTCCTCCTCTTTAAGGTCCTTTTTTCCAAATATCGTAAATATTAATAGTTTATGAGTTATTAACAAAAACGTAAATACGTCTTTTTTTTCATCTTATTTTGTTAATAACAATTGCAATTTTTTACGTGCAGTAAAATCCTCAAAACTCATTTTTCTAGAGGTCGTTCCGAATCCAATGAGCTATTGCTCATATTTTTAGGAGCTTTATCTCTATTTTTCACGTTTTTGAACTTGTTGACTGGACTAGATATATATTTTTAAACAGATAGGCCTACCTTAACCCCGATACACATTATTCCCACATTGCCATTACAATTTTACCCAGAATCTGGTGGTTTAGCCTGCTTTGGGCTTGCTAGTGGTAGTTTTTACCCCTAAAAAATCAATTTCCGCAGTGCTACAAGAAAGCAGACACAATTAAGAGTATTTAAAAAAAATATGGTTTCATTTGGATTAGATTTACTGCCTCGCGCGTAGTTTTGATCGTTTCCGCCCACTGTGCGTCGGTCCACCGGAGGGGGCCTTCTCCCGAACATCGTCCGGTGCGTGATCGCCTTTCGAGATCCTATCCGCCCCAACGGTCATCGTTTCTTCTCGCTATATGTCCCGCCCACTGCCAACTGAGCAATCCTTTGAGCGATGTCGGTTATTTTAGTTCTCCTGCTGATTTCCTCATTTCTGATTCTATTACGCAAGGAAATACCAAGCATCGCTCTCTCCATTATAATTATTAGCTACTCTATATTAGAGCTTACTTATTAACCATCTCTTAGTGTGTTTTTAAAATTATATTGCTCAATCATAAACATATATTTTTGCTACAGACAGTTGAAACTTATAACACTAAGTTGGCCGATTAATGTGTCCGCAAGAATATTTCCTATTTATTTCATCCCATTCATTTACTATGTCGTAGGGAGTCGAAACTGACTCGTCTACTAGGCGCTGGGCTATCAGGTGCCCGCGGTGAATCCGTAGCAATGGTTGTAACCCTGAACCCAGCCCCAGAGTATGCGCACGAGACCAAGCACGTGCTGCAACTGGCCGCCGTAGCGAGAGACATACGTAAGTCTAAATATCTACTATGACTTATTACTATCAGACCATCAGCGGTGAATCTGTAGCGACGGTGGTGACATTAAACCCAGCCCCGGAGTACGCGCACGAGACCAAGCACGTGCTGCAACTGACCGCCGTAGCGAGAGACATACGTGAGTCTGAATATCTACTATGACTCAATAATGTCAGACTATCAGCGGTGAATCTATAGTGATGGTGGTGCTATTAAACCCAGCCCCGGAGTACGCGCACGAGACCAAGCACGTGCTGCAACTAGCCGCCGTAGCGAGAGACATACGTGAGTCTGAATATCTACTATGACTTATTACTATCAGACCATCAGCGGTGAATCTATAGCGATGGTGGTGATATTAAACCCAGCCCCGGAATACGCGCACGAGACCAAGCACGTGCTGCAACTGACCGCCGTAGCGAGAGACATACGTGAGTCTAAATATCTACTGTGACTCATTACTATCGGACCATCAGCGGTGAATCTATAGCGATGGTGGTGATATTAAACCCAGCCCCGGAATACGCGCACGAGACCAAGCACGTGCTGCAACTGACCGCCGTAGCGAGAGACATACGTGAGTCTATATATCTACTATGACTCATTACTATCAGACCATCAGCGGTGAATCTATAGTGATGGTGGTGCTATTAAACCCAGCCCCGGAGTACGCGCACGAGACCAAGCACGTGCTGCAACTGGCCGCCGTAGCGAGGGACATACGTGAGTCTATATATTTACTCTAACTCATTACTATCAAACCATCAGCAGTGAATCTGTAGCGATGGTGGTGACATTAAACCCAGCACCGGAGTACGCGCCCAAAACCAAGCAATGGGCCGCGAGAGACATACGTGAGTCTTTATTATCTTGCAGTATAATAAGAAGCTTGGTTAAAATCCGTGGATATAGTAAATCAACATTTCCTTTTATCAAAAATTCTAAAAGTAACACCAGGCATCGTAGCATAACTAGCCACTAGTACAATTTTACAAAAACTGTTCTGTTCAATTACCGGTCTTATGTAACAAATAAATGAAATGGCGCATAGTAGCGGAGACGCTGAGAATTTTAATGATAAATTTGCTCGTTACAGAATGGTTATTTCTTACCTTCAGGGGGCCAATCGCCTAACGGAAATGCTTTGGGAAACGCTAACGCTTACGATTTTATATTGTTATTTCTAGCCGCCTGAGGTTTTCGAATACCTCACGCTAATTTTTTTTAATATTGTTATTACCAATGCAAAAGAAAAAGAAAGAGCGCGAGGCATTTGAATACCTCAGGCGGCTAGAAATAACAAAATAAAATCGTAGGGTGAGCGTTTTCCAAAGCATTACCGTTAGGCGAATGGCCCCCTGGTATTTCATAATGTTTTCCGAAATCCCTTTCGAGCCTAACGTGATTTATGTACGATCCTTTATATCATATTGATGAAATAAGTGATTACCATCATCTATTGATCAGCTTCGAGGAGCTCGATGGCGGTTTACTTTGTTCGGCTGCGAACGTTGCAAGTCAAGCAAATTTCGAAGTGGTCGGTCATTGGATGGGTGACAAAAAAATTACTATCCCGAGTTCCTCCGTGCTTCGGAAGGCACGTTAAGCCCGGCTGCATCTGCAGTTGTTAGCACCCACCAATCCGCACTGGGCCCGGTCATGGCCCAAACTTCCTATTCCATCCACAGGGTAGGCCTGTACCCCAGCTGTGAGGACATTAATAGGCTGATGATGATGATGATCAGCTTCTAATAATAAATATTTCCAACAGAGGTGAACAGTACCATATCGGAAAGTACCCTCGAGAGCACCAGTACACAGGACACCACTGACGTCACTATGGACTTGATGCGACTGAGATCAGTCAACGAACGGATACACTTCGAACTAGTGCAGTAAGTTTCATAATTATATTCCACTAGCTGTGCCCTGCGGTCAGGGCCGAATCTACCATATGGCTTTTTGGGCTTCAGCCCAGGGGGGCAATCGCCTAACGGAAATGCTTTGGAAAACGCTAACGCTTACGATTTTATTTTGTTATTTCTAGCCGCTTGAGGTATTCAAATGCCTCGCGCTCTTTCTTTTTCTTTTGCATTGGTAATAACAATATTAAAAAAAATGAGCGTGAGGTATTCGAAAACCTCAGGCGGCTAGAAATAACAATATAAAATCGTAAGCGTTAGCGTTTCCCAAAGCATTTCCGTTAGGCGATTGGGCCCCTGGGATTCAAGGGGCCCTAAAAATACATTGTTGAATATAACTCCATTGATATTACTCCTATAATGGGAGGAGCAAATTAAAGAATTTGCCATTTCTGCACTTTGTAGGTAATAATTTGTCCATTTATTAACGATTGTATATCACTAAGGCATAATATGTTATAATCTCTTATCTATTAGACAAGTCCGTCCGTCCGTCCGTCTGTGGTGCTGTTTCAGCGGCCAAACCGTAAGAGATAGATAAAGAGAATATTTAAGTTATAAGTTAAGAATAGTCTGATAAGACTACAACCCGGATTTGAGTAACGTAGCACTTCCGGTTTTCGAGAAATCACGAATTTCAAACGAAACCACACAAAATCTCCGAAGTTCTCAATTAATTAAATACATTTTTTTTTTAAATCAGGTTTTGGTGAACATTTGGTTCACTTGTTTGCTAGTATATTATAATTTAAATTAAATAGTTTACTGTCTCATTTTTTCTATACTTTGAGTAATAAGGTGGGCCCCTAAGTAGCCCAGGGCCCCCTAAACTCACGGTCCGGCCCTGCCTGCGGTGTTACCCGCAGTTTAGTAGGGATATTTTCCCGCAGTAAAACGTAGCCTATGTGTTAATCCAGGGTGTCAGCTAACTCCATACCAAATTTTATTAATATCACTCCAGCCGTTAGGACGTGAAGAAGTTACAAACATACACACTCACAAATTTTCGCCTTTATAACATTAGTGTGATTAGATAGGGAATATCATATCGATACCTCGGCACTCGAAGAGCGTCGACGCCAAAAGTAGACCTAAAACAATTAAGTGTTTTCATAAACGTAACTATATTGTTATTCGTATACTTATGTTGTTACAAAAACAAAGATGCATTGAAAGCATTGCCCAAAAAATTGTTTGAAGTATCTAAAATTAACTTTTGACATTTGCATCGTTTAATCCTCAGGGTATAAATATATTCTGCCTAAATTGGAGTTCATTTTCTGCCTATATTAGAGCCAATTATTCACCTGAATTTAGCAACAAAAATTCTAAAGTAATAAGTAAAAGCACTGCTCTCTCATCCTATGAATATTATAATAGGGTATTTGACAGTATTAAAAATAAAGTGCCGATTGTTAGCATCTGTGTTTAGATTGAATATCGGCAGGGGTTTTTACTATTTTTACAAAAAAAAAACATAATTTTACTAAAAACCCTCGAAAAAGATAATAGTTTTCTTATCTATTGTCGCGTGATGAAAAACTAGGGATTGGTGGAGCCTAAAATGACGTCACACGCAAGTAAACTTCCGGTTAAAGTGACATTACATTGTATCGTTTGACGTCACACACTAGTAAGACGCCATATTGTCTAGAGAAACGTTTTCGCGGCAACTTGAAAATGTAGTTTTTGATTTGGTTATTTTTACTGAAATACACAACAGAATGATAAATATCCACTTTTTACGGACTCCATAAACATTAGTCAATAACGTAAGATCGTTGCCTAAAACTTGTCAAATACTCTATTGTGAAAGTTGTATGTATGTAACTTAATTACACAAAAACTACGTTTATGACCTGGAAAGAGACATAGGATACTTTTTATCCTGGAAAAGTGTAAGGTTTCTGGAGGATTCTCAAAAAACCAAAGTTAACGCGGACGAAGTCACGAGTGCCTGCTAGTTCATAATAATGATTAATTTGGATAAAAAAAAGCATATTCCTCGAGTGCAAGAACCGAACTATTATTTCCACTTAGGGCTCAAGCTCTCAACAAAGAACTGTTGGCAGCAAAAGAGGAGAAGCAGCAGGAAACAGCGAACATGATGCAGGAGCTGGTGGAAGAAGCTAAAGATATGACGCGACAGTACTACGAGGCCCAGATTCAATCGCTAAGGGCTGAGGTAATTAATCTATACATATTGTTTCGTGTCGGGATGGGGTTCGAAATTATATGCCAGTTCACGCTTGACAGTTCTTTATTCACCACACAGTCCACACAATTAACACACAATGTTAATTACAAAACACTCACTAAACACTGTATTTCACTATACAAGTCTCTAAACATCAACATTTGATCGCCTTTGGATTCGCTCCGAAATCGCTGTTGAAACTCAACTGTCTCTGCGCGCCGCCAATCGCGCTTATATATGCCGATCGACGCATTCTAGAAAGTACCTGTTAAATTGAGAATTAGCTAGCACCTGCGAGTACAAAGTACCTACTTATACCTACGCAGGTAACGCGCATAACTTGTAAACAAGTGCAGATGTCGTTGCACTTTCTGCCTTACGCCGCACTGCATAAGGCTCATTTTAGAATGAGCCGCATTACTCGACCTCTATCGCTACCCGCAGTGCTCTGGCACATTCGATCTCTAGCACTTTCGCGGTTCGGTTTCGAGAGCGTTTGTGACAATATAATAAAATGGTATGAAAGTCAAAACTGTACATTGAATTTTTTTTTTAAAAGAATACCTAAGGTGTGATCTACAATCGATACCGAAGCCAAAAATATAGTTTTTATTTTTTTTGTCTGTTTGCCTGTATGTATGTCCGGGATGAACTCAAAAAGTACTGCATGGATTTACTTCAAATTTGGCACGTATATTATTAAAAAGTCGAGTCAACATATAGGCTACATATTATCACGAAACTCCACCCCTAAGGGGATTACTACCGGGATTGGAAGTTTGTATGCAAGTCCTATGTTTTTGAAGTAAGAGACTTGAAATTTAACATGGTGTAGAGGTGTACTAATAATGTATTTTTAGAAATATACCCCCTTTTGGGATCAAAAAGTATGTGCAAATAACTAACTCCACGCGTACGAAGTCTCAGGCGGCAGCTAGTTATAACAGTATTTATAAATATAAATAATTCCAACACCAATTAGCCTAACCCCAAAGCATGCACTGTAAGAATAGGGGAGACGATGGGGTTTTGTAATAATTGGGCCTTTGGTGCGAAGTTAATAATAATTTTTTATCGTACACAGATGAAAGATATGGCGGAAGAATATGAAAGCCGTTTGAGTAAAGCCACATACGCGACATCAAACAATGGCACACCTTCGCGATCTCTCGAAAAGAAGGTAAATATAATCTACTTATTATTTGGAAGCGTACGTAATGAGGAAGTAAAAAAGAGAGACGGTGGGAAAGACGGTAATGTTGTCAAAATTTACAGTAATGCCAAGAAAGAGAGACGGTGTGAAAGACAATAATGGTGTTAAAATTGACAGAGATTCCAAGAAAGAGAGACGGTGTGAAAGACAGTAATGTTGTTAAAATTGACAGAGATGCCAAGTAAGAGAGATGGTGTGAAAGACAGTAATGGTGTTAAAATTTACAGAGATGCCAAGAAAAAGAGATGGTGTGAAAGACAGTAATGTTGTTAAAATTGACAGAGATTCCAAGAAAGAGAGACGGTGTGAAAGCCAGTGTTGTTGTCAAAATTGACAGAGATACCAAGAAAGAGAGCTGTGTGAAAGACAGTAATATTGTTAAAATTTACAGAGATGCCAAGAAAGAGAGATGGTGTGAAAGACAGTAATGTTGTTAAAATTGACAGATTCCGTAAAGAGAGACGGTGTGAAAGATAGTGTTGTTGTCAAAATTGACAGAGATGCCAAGAGAGCGGTGTGAAAGACAGTAATGGTGTTAAAATTGACAGAGATGCCAAGAAAGAGAGATGGTGTGAATGACAGTAATGTTGTTAAAATTTAAAAAGATGCCAAGTAAGAGAGATGGTGTGAATGACAGTAATGTTGTTAAAATTGACATTAAAGCTGGGTACAGATTGGTGCAATGCAACATGAAATGTAATATTCTGCCTTACATTGCATGTTCCCTGCTGCCTTGGACGTGTGGCTACATTGACTACGAATCATTCGAGAACATCTTTTCCCGCATTTCGTTACAAACACTAGCCCTCGTCACTCTTCTCTTTCACCGCCATGATCGTTGCGCATGCGAACGAAACGAACGCCCGTCCACGGCTGAGTCCTGCGCACACTGCGCGCCCCTTTGTGTTCGTACCAAAAACGGACAATTCTCGGATCGAGCCGCGCACGAGTTGTAAGGCATTGTCCTAATACAACGCGATAACGCGATCATCGCGCGTTTTAACGACGCGACCATCGCGTGATCGCGAACTGGGTGTCCTAATAGAACGCGAATACGGAACGGGTTAGTCCTGCCACTCTCCCCGCTTCCTATCAACGCGACGCGATCATCGCGCGAACTTCAGTTAGGACACCTATTCATCGTTAATAGGTTTGATTGCGCGTTCGATAGATTTTTAAACATTTTAGTCGCGCGAATCCATCGCGCGATCGCCGATTAGGACACCTATTCTAGATCAATATGTTTGATCGTCGACTCGTACGATGATCGCATCGCTCATTCGCGTTATCGCGTTGTATTAGGACAATGCCTAACGCTCGGAGCGTGCGCGACCCAGGCGCAGTTTGTGCGCGCGAGGCGTCCAAACCATGAGCATTTGTTACAGGGTATGTTACCTTGCATGAAACATTGCAGCAATGTGGACGTCAAATTCTTGCATTGCATGTTGCATTACATGTTGCATTGCACGTTGCATTGCACCAATCTGTACCCACCTTTAATGCCAAGTAATAGAGACGGTGTGAAAGACTCAAATATACGACGCGATAGTGGTAGGATGTAGAAATCGAGGAAGGCCAAGACTCACCTACCACGATCAAATTGATCGCATTTTGAAGTAAGGTGACGTCAGGCACCTTAAAAACTGGCCCTGTGTGTTACAGTAATCAATATGAATGAAGCAAAGATATTAAATACCCTAGATACACCACGAGCACTCAAAATGTGTCCCAATCAAGAAGTGCTTGAACTCCACTCAAGCACTTCATGGTTCACAGTCACGCGCGGATCGTTGAAAAGTCAACATGCCGCAGATCTCAGTGAAAAAAATGCTTATAGTAAGTAAGTGTCGTTAATTCGACAGGTGTATCTAATCAATATTTATTGCTTTAACCCATTTGAAGCAAATTTTGTTCCAATACTTACTATAAACTGATTTAATATAAAATATTTGTGATATTCAAATGCATGGCTGACTATACGTCGCCGTATAGCCGTCTCTTTTCCTCGCGGTCCGTACCTGCTATATTGCTAACAGCGCATTCGGAATTGCGCGTAGAGTCAAAAAAATAAGGTCTATATTCTTCCGCATATAGCAGTAAGTCGTAAAATTTTACGATCTTGCATTTCGAACTGTCGTAAGTCTGTGACGCATGCGTTTTAATCTTAATTTACCTTATACAGTACGCAGTAAAGGTCATTTGCAATGTTTAAATAATGCCTTATTTTGTTTTTGACCATCTTACGAAGCTCCGGAGATCGGATGGATTGTCCAATGTACCTTTTGGATAGGTTTCGGCCACGATTTTGATCGTGTTGTTGTATCTAGGGTATTTAATATCGTTGGAATGAAGCGAAAGATTATTTTTATATATATTTCCAACACTACAGTAATTAAATCTAAAGAAAAGTTTACTAGAAAAAAATCCACGCGGACCAGGCAGCGGACGGGACTCGAACCCGCACCTTTCGCAATCCGGGCGAATGCACTGACCATTATGCTACCACGGCCCTATTCGCCGCGTCGAAATTTACCTAGCCTTAAGCTGCAAGGCAGCGCCATCTCTTCGCATTGTAGGTAACCCACAATGTCAAATGAATACTTTTTCAAGTATTAAACATTTGAAAGAAGAAATAGCAATTATAGCGTTTTTACCCGGCTGCGCAATGCAAGAGCGCGAAGCGCGACGCGCAGACAGGGTTATGTGTTTAACAGTCTATACATGTATGTTTGTTCCTTTGTGGCACACTAGAGACCAAACGCCTGGACCGATTTTGATGATTCATACATCAATCGATTTGTCTCAATCATGGGAGTGCTACTAAAGATATGATAGTAATCAAAATTCAATATGGGCAAAATTAGGCGCCATATTGTGACGAAGTAAAAAAAATAAGTTGACAAAATATGTCGAGTGAGGTATCACTGTCTAGATAATCAAAAATCATATTTAGGTTCCTAACACCATTTTTCAGTTTATATGATTGTTTAGGATCTACAACGCTTTAAAGTTGTATATTAACCACTTACGCTTTTAATTTCAATCTTACGTTTGTGTGGATCTTTGTTACTCTTTCACCTAAAATATACTGAATTGATTTTAATGAAACTTAACAGTAATATAGCTCATATATGATAATTACATATATATAATAATTTATGTAGTTATTGAGTATATTGGCCAATAAGTGTCACATAAGACGGAAAAAAATGTCCCATCTGCTAGCCATTTTGGCCTGCACTGCAAAAACAATAAAAGTTACATGAATGTAATGTAGAGTGAAAATGTATCTCTTAAATAGTTCTAAAAAAAGCTCCGTGACACCATATATCTATTTTTAATGTGTAAGTCATTACCGCTAAAATAGTGAATCAAAACTAAAATATTATTTGATATCTATTTCTAAAATGCACATTTTGTATTAACAAATCATTTTTTATCAAAACAAATACTTTAATCGCTTTTGATATTTAAAGACGATAAACTTTGCTTTTTACACTATGTCATATCGACAAATATTTAAAAAAAAGGTAAATTTAAAAAATCAAAAAACCCGACTGCTTAATTATACTTCAAATAAAAACTGAAAAGAAAAAAACAAGCCCAGTAGTCTATAATTCTGTTAATAAGGAACAAAGCTACTTTAGCAGTCGGGACCCACTGTTGAAAAATATTATGTATTCTTGAATATATTTGAAGTATAATTAAGCAGTCGGGTTTAATGATTTTTTAAATTTACCTTTTTTTTTTAAGCATTTAACTGCTAGATGTTTAAATCTAAAGAAAAGTTTACTAGAAAAAATGTTTAATACTTGAAAAAGTATTCATTTGACATTGTGGGTTACCTACAATGCGAAGAGATGGCGCTGCCTTGCAGCTTAAGGCTAGGAAAATTTCGACGCGGCGAATAGGGCCGTGGTAGCATAATGGTCAGTGCATTCGCCCGGATAGCGAAAGGTGCTGGTTCGAGTCCCGTCCGCTGCCTGGTCCGCGTGGATTTTTTCTAGTAAACTTTTCTTTAGATTTAAACATCTAGCAGTTAAATGCTTAAAAAATAAATAAAAACACTAGTAATTAGTCTAGCCCCGAAGTAAGCACTGTAGGCTTTTGTTACGAGATACTAGAGTAACGGAGAATACATATACTGATACACATATATGTATAATTAGAAATACATATTAAACATCCATGACTGTACTGCGTGGAGTTCTTCAAAAAGAGGTTTTTACTAACATAAAAACCACCCGATTTTTTTTTACACTTAAAATTCTTTAAAGAACTCTACGCTGTACAATCTCTAGAAAAATATTTAATAGCTAGTTAATAATAATATCTATACTTGCTACTGAAAAGAATGTATTAACATTAAAGCCCCTTGTATGATTATTGATCACTTGCGAATCATAAAATTTAAAAGATTTTCTTGGCATAATGATGATTGTATAAAAAATGATCAAACGTTATTGTTTACAGGTTGCGCAGTTGATGACAGAAATGGCCATATTAGAGGTAAATAGACTTCAGCTCACATCCAGAGACCTTACTTAATTTTCAAGTATAATTTTAATAAGCTGTCACTTTGGTTGTTGAATAGCAATAAAATATGACAAACTTAGACTTTTAAATGAGACCTTCGATTTCTGTCCAGTTTTGAATCTTGGTACAAATTATCTTAAAAATCATCCATCTTAAAATATACTTAAAAAGATTCAATCATCATCAAAATCTCAATATATTCAATAGAAATCTGTGAAAATACAAATTAAAATATTTGAAAAAGGGTATCTGCATTTAAAGAAACATTTTTACCTAGACGCATTTGTCATTGACTGACAGATGACAGCTACTACTATTGGATTAAATTCATTTTCTTGATTGTGGTTTGTGATTGGCATTATCAAAAATCACGTGACTGTTTTCGTCACATTGTAACTATGGATATGACTGTGACATTCAATCGCCTTAATACACAGCCTTTTAACTAAAAACTAACCTTTTAGAATTTATTTTTTTATGATTTCCATAGCTAATTTTAAATAAGTTAAAGACGCACATTTACATTTTTTTTATTTATTTCCAATGGATACATTGTCCTTATGCCATTTACAATAATATTTTATCTGTTTTACGACCTTTTTATGTGGTACAAGTGGTCATAAATTCTATTTATATATTTTTTTATGAAGAGCAATACTGAAAATAGGCTCAGCGTGGACAAGGTGCTTGGCAGACGACAATTTTACAATTTTATTTATTTTTAACCAATTTCTATAACCGTAATATAATGGAGAGTTTCATTAATAATACAATAAAATTAAATGAAAATAATATAATCACTTCCTGCCATTAGTTATCTAATGTCACATGATCGAAAACAGTCATGTCAGCAAAAACTGCTATGATTTACCGAACTCACTTTATGCATGTGACGTCAAATTTTTTGCGGCATATTTAAAGAATAGATGTTTATTTTCAATTTTATTTATTGGTGTATGAACAGAACAGAAAATGTATCTACTCAGTGTCTAGACATCGTATTGGTAATATAATGACTTCGAATATTATAGCTTGTTGCGAAAATTACTTCTTTGTGCTTATTTACCTTTTTTCACCGCGGTGTTAAAAATTGATTTAAAGAATACTGATACAAAATTATAATGATTCAAAAGTTCTAGGATATTTAAGCTTCTTGCATTGTATAGTTTTATTTATAAAAATGTCTGTCTATGTTAAGCCAAATTCCCATACAAAGTGGGCATTGCCCTTAGCGTATTTTTCTACTCATTAATGCATAACTTGAGGTACAAGATTGGGCAGAGTTGTATGGAGAAAAGAATGGATCCTTTATTGACGTCTCAGTGCGATCGTTCATATGATAGTTACTTTTATACTAATGATAGTTAATAATGGTGTCGATTCTGGCATGATTCTCTAAACCTAATTACAAACAAGGATACACCAACAAGGATGTATCCTTGTCATTTTCTATACAGAATGAAAAGGAGAGACTGATGTTAAATTTAGCTTCAAGTTTAGAGAATCACGCCAGAATCGACACCAATGTAGATATTGTAATGATGTAATATTGATCATTTAGGAGAAATTGACAGCAGAACGTTTGGCTCGGGCCCGCGCTGAGGAAGAAGTACAACATCTTAGAGCGTGTATTGAAGAGAGAGATGGTATGATAATATAAAGTACTGTACTCTTAACATTATAATTTTTAAGAAAAAAAATCTAATAACATTTCATATTAAACTAGTACCCCACCTTCGCTTCGCTTCAGTCCAGACTATAGTTTTTGTTCTAGTTAATGCCTATGACACTCACAAACGTGGCTTTATATTGGTAAAATAACTATCGAAATCGGGTCAATAGATCTAGGGATAACCTCTCCCCCCCCCCCCCCTAACCCGACTACAAGTTCACAAACTTTACCTCTTCATAATATCGGTATAGATTACAATGTTTAAAATTCGATTGAAAAATATATTAATAATAAAAATTTTGTTCCAGAAAAAGCTTTTGAAGAGGAGGCTTCGAATGACCGCGAAGATGTAATATCTCTTTGTGATAGTGATCGTGACAGCGATGAAGAAGTAAACGATCCTTGTAACGAAAGTCTTGAACCTACTTTCAAAAAGGAGGACATTAACAGATCTCGCCTTGTTACAACATGCGTCGACAATAACAGCTTACATTACGATTCCACCGAACACAGTTTTCATGATAACACCGAACAAACAAAAGAAAATTTTGGAAGTAACAGTGTCTTACACAGTTCTCATGTTACATTCAAAGATAATGATAAGTCTTCGGAAGAAATTAACGAAAAAGATAATAGCACAAAAAAAATGAATCTTGATAATTTACGTCAGGAAAGTTATGACAACAATGAGACTGCTTCAACAGCAGAAGTAGAAGAATATTCTAGTATTGCTATTGACAATGACGTAAAACTTACTGAGAATGCAAATGATAGTACGAACAAATGTGATAATTTGAAAATCAATACAGATGTGTTTATAAACGTCGCTAATAATAAAGAAATTTTAAATAGTCCTTGTTTTGAAAAGGAATCTATAGAAGCGCATGCAGTTAAAGAGTTAGAAAATGATAAAGTCGTATCTAAGTCTATAGTTAGAGGCACATATTTTGTAAGTGATGCGAACATCAATTCAGAACCTGAAACTTTCGAAGAGGACTTATTAAAAAGAATTCCCATGAAAGTTGAGAAAAATGAGAGTGTAGATACGATATCAATAAAGGTTTCAGAAACAATAGTAACCAAAATAATTAAGTCCGTAGAAGCTACGCATGTACGCAATACTTCATTGGCCCAGTTTGAACAATTAGAAAAGGCTGCAAATTATTGTGACAATACTAAAATTGGATGCAATGACTTTGGAAATGTTAAGATTTTAAAGGAAAAGAGAACTTATTTCGACGATAATCCATTAGATATTGTAAAAATGAAAATAATCAAAAGTCCAAAAGCGAATAAAGACAAGAAGACATACTTCGATAACATAGATGAGAACACTGAAATTTCTGTAAGTAAAAAAGCAAAGGATACTTTAAGAGATGTAAATAAGCAACTAGATGACCCCAGATCACCTTCTATTGTCAAAGACGAAGTTCTGAACGATTATAAACCCAGTACACTTAAGATTTTATTAGGAGAAAATCTAACAAGACAACCTGACGTGATTACGTCTGTACATACAAATAACCTAATATACAAAAAGCATGATTCTATTGATATTTTCGAAGGTCTGGATTCCCCTCATTCGAAAGTTAAAAATACTGAATCACACGATATAGTTGAAAACGCGATAAAATCAATCAAAAAGCTTGTTTCTGAACAGAAATCTGCTAGCAAGGCAAATATTAAAAATGACATCAATCTTCAGCAGCCGCTTATACCGGAAGAGTCAATACAGAAATTTAACGATATTTGTTTAACAGACAGAACAGTTAAACATGACCGAGCAAAAGTAACGACAAAATCATCAAATGAAGGAGTTATTTCTCTAAATGAGACGAAAGCTGAATCAAATCAGGATAACACAATTGAAGAATTTGAGAATATTTATAAAGATATTACAGCTCCAAGAGCTACAGAATTTGATTTGCTCATTACTCAAGAAACTTCTATTGTAACAAACGAGGCGAAAGAGACCAAAACTTCCGTCGAAGAAACAAAATATAAATTGAGAAATAAATCTCATACTAAGGATTTGAGATTCGCAGATAAGGTTAACACAGATGAAACTGAGGAAGTGTTATTGGAGAGCCATGCTAAATGTGAAAGCAACATGAAACCTACTAAAAGAAGTCTACGCTTACGAAGAAGAAAGAATCAAATCGAAACAGAAGATAAATCGGATCAAGAAAAAGACATTAAGCTTAAGGACATTGTGAATTTGCAGAAAGAGTTCTCCGACGTTTGTCTCGATGTTCCCGCGCCTGTGAAAGAAGTTAGAGATATAGAGTCGCCTAAAAAGACTGATGGAGAAGATGAAAACCTTCCGCCTTTGCTGGGAATACAAAGCTGCCCTTCTAAGAGGTAAGTTAAAATATTTAGTTGATGTGTGTATGTAGAAATATATATAGAGCTGGCCAAGGATTTTATCTTAAACTTCCGCGTTGTAATTTTTAAGCAATATTTATGCCTATGTCAAAATGAAAAAGAAAAATCAATAAACAAGTCAACTAAAACTTTCAAGTGAGATGGTTCAAGTTTCAAGGTATATAAAACCATAATACCCCGCGCAAATGTTTCGTGGCTCATAATTTAAAGAATAAATAACAAAAGTATTCATTATGAAATTAATTTGCTTGCTGGTTAATAGAATGAAAGTGTGGAACCAAGCTTGATTTTGAAACCGGGCGGGTTTATGAATAGATAGTTTATAATAGTTCGGCATTAATGAGGGCTATCGCGTATGAATCCGCCGCTAGAGGCGCTTGTGTAGCGTGAGGTCTCCGAAATGTCAAATGTTATTGGTTGTGGGTTGACTACGCGGGTTTATTTCTAATTAAAATAATGTTGTGAATATTTAGTAATAACTCGGCTTAATTATAGCAAATATGAGCTACGTGGCATTGAATGTCAGTTATTTAAAAGCGGAGCTAAGAAAAATAATTATGTCCTCCTTTTTGTCGTACAAAACGGAGCTGCGCAACACTGTGGTATGGCCAATTATGTTTAGAATACGGTTCTTTTGTATTAAAATATGATTTAAATGTATACTTTGATTTCACGCGCGTATTAATAAACATTAAAAGTTACAATTCAGGACCTCACTCAACAGTGGCGCCATCTGGTGAGACAAAAAACGGTAGCCCTCATTATCAGACTACAGTGGAATTTGACAGTAGTCTGCCGCTAATAATGCCGATTCGCTTTATAATATCCCGTTTCGGTGGTCATGCTAGAGGGGCTGATGCAATTTTTAATCAAATCCTATTATTCTGATCGTGATGTAATAAATAGTGTAAGTATTATTATTTTTTTTATTTCATCACATGCCCAAATAATTATGATGAGATTCGTCTAATCTAAAGGTAAGCGTACCGCTTTACAATGGTACAAATAAATCTTCTAGAAATAAATGCACGCAACACCATCTGAGTTAAATTACTTTTCTCTAAAAACTTTGATTCCTTATTTAACTTGCATGCGCGTCTGTCGTAATAGCTTATAAATAAACTTTAATTTACAGGTAAAGTTATCAAAAACTGACAGATTTCGCCATTCTGTTGCTCCCACGCTGCTGTTAAAAAATGATGATACTAGTAAATATTTTTTAAACAAACTCGATCACTAATAATTAATCACAATGTTAGAAAATGTTTTCATGTTAGGTAATGTTAGTTAACATTTCTAAACCAAAATTTTAGTTAACAAATTGTAAAAAATAAGATATTTGTTTGTAAATTCCATCAATATATGTGGCACTATCCGTTTCTCTAGATTTTAACGTTTGGCACATCCATATATAAACTAATCCAATGAGCAAATTTCTTCTATTTTCGTATGATGGCAGTTTTGGGTTACGTGCTAGGCATCTGCCTCAGAACGTAATCCAAAACTGATAGCCAATGTCATGTTTACAAATGTTATAAATTTTTGTAAACACTTTCCATCCATGTAGGAACCCTCAATATATCTATCAATTCCTTACCGAATGTAACTTTTATTTGTTAGTAAATGTATTAGAGTTAGAAAATGTTCATCAACATTTCTTAACAGCAGTGTGGAGCCCAATTTTAAAGCTAACTTGGGGTTCATCTTCATAACAGCTTGATATTAGATTCACAATCTATAGAGAAAATTGAAATTTTATCTGCTATCTGTACATAATGTATTAATTAAGCAATTACATCTGCATGATCTTTGTTAATTTAACGTAATTTTAAATAAACATCTATTTTAGGATAAGACGAGAGAGAGTACCTCGAGATGACCCACAGTTTGAAGAATTCAAGAAGTGGAGTATGATCGACTGGGAATTTGAATTGGAGCAAGATATAGTGCAAAGCTGGTGTGCCGAGTCCAATGTTAAGTTCAAGAGAACACGTAACTATTTAGACAGACCATGCTGGCTATATGATGAAGTATGGAAATTACGTGAAGCCAGAATAAAAGCCCGTCGTACTTTGCAGAGGTGCAAACGCCGAAAAACACGCAAGGAGGGTGAAGAAGAAATGCTATATGCAGCGTTTAGAGAAGCTGATAAAGCATCAAAGTTAGCTATAAACAAATCAAAATTCGAAGCGTGGAAAAAGTTTTTATCTAAAAGCTATAAAGAAAATGTTTCTGGACATAGCGAGAATTAGTTAATTACAAAGTAATTCAAATGCGATAGCACTCCAATAGTAGTATTAAGTTAGAGTATAAAACGTAGATACAGTAAAACCCGTTTAAGACGATTTCACAGGGACTCAACCAAAAGCGTGTCTAAGGGTGCGGCCAGAGTGCACTCAGATTCAGATTCAGATTCTGAAAACAAGCGCGAGAAATAAACAGTGTAGTCTAAGCAGGTTGCCTGCTTTTTCTCGCGCTTTGTTTTCTGAGTCTGAATCTGAATCTGAATCAGGAGTGCACTCTGGCCGTACCCTTCGACAAAACTGTTTATTTCTCGCGCTTGTTTTCGGAATCTGAATCTGAATCTGAGTGCACTCTGGCCGCACCCTTAAGCGGGAAAGCGTATTATTTGGGATTGCGGGATAGGGAAATTTCGAATGTAGGTATTGAGGTATTAAATGTACAATATTTAAGAATTATGTATGTCATAAAAAATGTAGTGTATTATTATTTATTATTACAATGTTTAAATTAATCACTTATATTAGTTTGTCAAAAAGATTTTGAGGCATTAGCAATTACAAGAATTTCAACATTATTTAACTTTTGCAGTGCGTGTACGCTTTCTTAAATCTTTAACTGCTGATAATGCCTGGGCGTCTGACAAAATCGGAGTTGACTAATCTTCTTCTTGATTACAATCACTTTCTTGTATTTTATTCAGGCTCATTGAATTTTATGCTGCTTCAAGAGGTAATATACCTATGTGGTACGTGTTGGCGATTCAGGCGTATTAAACGGGATGAAGAATCGTATTAAACGTTAAGAAATGTATGAAAACATGTCTCAAGTTGCAAGGACTGACGCAAAATGGCGTATTATACGAGAAATCGTATTAAGCGTGATCGTATTAAACGGATTCTACTGTATAAGAAAATTTTATACTTTTGTATAGAAATACATTAGAACAGAAATTTGATTTGAATTAGATTATTTTTTAAATTATCCAATATATTAAAATATATTTCCAAATAAGCTGGATTCAACTGTATGTATCGAACAGCTGCACCAGTTCCTTATAATTAGCGCCTATAAAGAAAATAAATCGAAAATTCGCAGAAATTAAATTCTATCTCTATCGCATATCATGTCAGAAATATTGTGCTAGAGGAACAGGACGCTTTCCATCGTTATTTCCGATTCGTTTATATTGTCACATTTACACTAGTCCGCCGGGACAGGCACGAAATATAGTGATTAGGTATATCATGGTGCCAGAGCTGGCATGCCGGTAATGGCCCCATTACATTTGGTCGTTAGCCCGAATACTAGTGCCAATGGAATTTGTATAAACGGCTAAGTGTAAATGATCTGAGTCAGTACGCTTGTATTCGGGTATTTTTCATTTCGGTTACCCCATACCGTCGACCCGTATTCAGTGTAAATATTGCTTCGGGTGCCCGAATTCCAGTAGTGTCTCGTGCACAGACCAAGCTATAAGATTGACACCATCTATTGCATTTGGCACTCGGCCACGATCATGGCTATGGCCGCAACCTTGGTGGCAGATGATCTTCTTCTTGCAACGGGCGTTTCCGTGACTCGACGTCCCTATGGCGCCTGTTTCGCGTGAGGAGGGTGTTTAGCCGGAATCACTCCAGCCAGCCCAGCTCCGTCAGGAACGCCCCCAGGGCCTTCACATTGGTGACTGCCTTTTGGAGATTTCCCGGTGAGCCGAGGTGGCAGATGATAAGGTTGGACTACGGCCAAGTCTGCAGTCACAGTCACGACTGGTCGCGAGTCATTTTATTGAGTTGCAGAACAATACGAAGCATGTTCACTCTCGAACTGTCCGCATGAGACTGAGAACGGCTGGTCGCGGTCGCAAATTTAGTGCGCGGGCGCTCATAGCAAACTAAATACGCAACGATCAGTCGTACCATCCCGGTGTGCGGCCAAGTGCGCGAAGTTCATATCGTTTCTTTACTTAATCTGGTCGATGTAGCTACCGAGTGCGCGAGGTGCCTTAATGTGAACCTGCCAAGAATGTTGATTCCATATTTAATAGAATAAAGACTTGATGAAGAATTGTGTTGGTTGAAAGTTGTATATTTATTGCCAAAACATTTTGTGCTATTTCATAATAGTTGGCATTAGGTTATGCTACCTGCATTTATTTGCAACGTGATCAAATTACAAAAACAATTAGGCTGTGATTTAGAAAAAATTAAAACAAAGTTGTGGTAACAATGAAAAAGTATCTTCTATAAATACAAAATGTAATTTAATTAACATCTTGTTTTATTTCATGACTTTTTATCTCACCCTATTTCACATAAACGACAGGTAAATAGAAAAACTTTGCATATTTACAAATACAAAGTTTTTCTATTTACCAAAAACGTCCTTACATTTTTCTTTTGAAGGAATGGTCATTAGGCCGGTAAATGTTAGTAGTATAAACAAAGTTAAATAATTCTCATCCCAATTAGCTGCGTTAAAAGAAGTCTAAGCATTTTCTCAAATAATCAGGAAATTGAAAATTTTGGAAAATCCAAAAGTGCACGCCTCACATTCACAAATCAGAAACCCAGTAAATAAATTCCATTAATATCTTTAAAGCGGTTATCAGTTCAATCATAATAAGAAACGGGGTTCATCCTCATTATAAGTGGATATTAATTCGAAAGGATTTATTACAATTAATTGCGTATATTTTTCTAAAACGTGCAGACAAACAAGTGCACAAACCAACGGACAGCAGTACTAATAATTTTTTAACTACATTTTTTTGTTATATATATACTAAAAAAATTAAAAAATACGCTGACTTTATAATTTAATATGTCTAGTTTTCAAAACACCCCTTTTTTTATTGATATAGTGTCTAACTTGGGAGATAAGAGCGATTTTATATTGTAAAATCGTCACATAGCGGCCTATCGAGAGTAAAGCACTCGCACATGCTTACGCGTTGTGAGACGCGCAATAATACTCGCTTTTCTTTAGAAATTTAATTTATCAGGTATGCACAGCTACATCAGAAAATTACAATCCACTAAATGAGGTGCGCTCGCGCATACGCGGCGAGGATCCCCCTTGACATCTGTCAGTTCATTTTGACAGCTAGTGCTGCCGAAAGTTGAGCTAAACAATAAGAACGTGGCTTATCAATTGAAACTCTGTTATTTCGTCTGACAGTTCTGTCTTGTCAAAATTTTCAAGCTGATTTGCTGATAAATGTTGTTGCAGACGACCGGAAGCCCAAGCACAAATTTTGACAGCTCCGTAAAGTATCGTAATCGTCAAAGTTTTCTATGAAAACTAAGTAGGACCCCTATCTTTTTCCATACGAAATTTGCCGTTTCCGTTACTACACAGAGCTGTCAAAATCTTTTGCTTGGAACACTGTTCTACATAGGAAAGTCTCTGGTGCTTTGATCAAACGTTTGTCTAAATTCAAACTATTGTTTTACAGCGTGACCCGCAGCCGCCGTAAGTTGTTCACGCCGAGGGCCGAGCCACTGGACGAGGGCGAAGCGCCCGAAGACAGCGGCGAGAGGCTTTACGTGCCGCGACCTTCCTACCACAGAGCTAGGGCTCGACGCAAGCTGTGAACAAACCACTTTTTTATGAGACCATAGACAGAATGGATTGAGCGTAACTTAATCTACTGTGAAATAAAACTCTGTAGATAATTGTCGACGCTCCCCTACCATCTCTAAAGTATAACTGAGGGAAACGAAGCGATCGGGTGGCCTCGTAGAATAATAATTTACATAGAAGGATGGACGCTTAGACAAAAATTGTTTGGCTAGATCGATGCTGTTCTAACCAAAGCGCAGTCAAACGAGTGTAAGTGAGACAGTGGATCACACTTTATTCTACTTGTCTTCAAAGTTGTCCAAGATTTGATAGTACTTTTCGGTTACCCGTCAAATATTTGGCTATTGAAAAGCGTTCAAAAGAGAAACTTTGTTTGTTTCAAATGTTGACTGTTTTATTTTCACATTGAATTAGTGAGTTATAAACGTATTCTTATTATTTTAATTAAAATTTTAGCGTCAAAACATTGTTGTCAAACGATGTGACGAAAGAAAAGTGCAATATCTATCTCTTTCCTACATAACGGGTTAATTGGTAAAAGGACGGGCCGAAAGAATATTTTTGCTATTCTAGCGTTCCTTCTATTTAAATTATTATTCTAAGACCCTTAAGATCGCTCCCAACTCTGAGATCGATATTGAGTACGATCTTGATATGTTGTTTGTATCAAAACAGTATCTCGAGAGTTGAAAGCGACCTATTAATACGGGCCTACGGGCGTTCCATAGTTTGTCTACGTATTAACTCTTTTTATCTCTTTCTAGAGCGAGTGTCGCGCAGTCTATTCTCTATTGTCTATGGATGGGACTAAACACAGTACTGGATACTAGTAAAATCCGCGATTCCAACTCTATTTTCAAATAGCGTCCGTGTCCGTTGTCAGATGATTATATCGCCGAAATTGACTGTTCCATAAAAACCAAGAACTGTATACCTAACAATAATTACTAAGCTTATGAACTCTGCATTGTAAAATTTAAATTATTATAAAAATGTTCAATGTGCATAGTGATGGTTACATTGAGACTTCTTTAATTATTATTGTAAATTGTATTGATTTATTATTGAAATATATTGACAAAGGAATATTTTACCTACCGAGTTGTTTTGTGTTTTTCTCTACAAAATATTTCTATATAAATATATATGTATTCTATCCGTTACCTTAGCACCATCCCATAACACAAGACCTATAATGCTTACTTTGGGACTAGGCACGGACCTGAAAAAAAGACGGACGTAACCCCGTCTGATCATGAGTGAAGCATGCTAATGGCCGCCCGTCGCCGCGTGTGTATGTTTTGAGGGTTGTCAGATAAATCATCAATTTCCGAACTTTTCAAATCTCGCAAGCTAAAACATTGTTAACATTATGTTACCAAATCTATATTATCATAACGGGATATTTACCACGTGTTTTACTCGTTGTGAGCTCCCGATATTTTAGCCATTTAAACGGTTGCACTTCAGAAATATAATGTCATTTTTATGAACACAGAAATAGAAAAGAAAACACTTGTTACGTATAAAGAAATTTAATGCTTACTTATAAACATACCCCTCTTTCCCATCGATAGGGGCCCACCTCAAATCAAATACAAACTGTTAGATCACCAAACGAGGGTATAACGATAAGGGCTCCATTATCCTAATATGCCCAATAGGGCAAAGACGACACTGCTTATAAATATTGGTGTCTCAATATTAAGTATGAGGTTTATAATATATGTCATCGGAATATAATACATTCTGTAAGTTCATCAATTTTCTAGTAAATATATCAACTTTCAACAAGAATGTAAACGATAGATAAAATATATTAAGTATCTTACGGAAACATTTTCGTAAATTGATCAAATTACCGAGCTTAGCCGTAAAATAAAAATAATACGTTAGGCGATGAACAAAAATTTTACATAGAGCTACAAAAAGTTTTATAGTGGACTTGAACAAACCAGTGAAAAGTCCGAATGGACCGAATAATAATTAAAAAATGTGACGAAGGTATAACTGTACTTCCAGGGCCCAAGAGGTGATACTTGTTTTTTTTTTGCAGAAAAGGTCTCTTTTAACAGGGTTATTTTTCTGGCATTTCGCTGGCCGCTACCGCGGCACGCTCGCTTTGCTCGCTCAGCTCGCGCGTTATGGTCACAACACTGACCTAACCTAACCTAGTGTGAAGTATCACCGCTTGGGCACTGGAAGTACAGTTTAGCCTTATAGGCACTTATACAGTCACCTTGTGTATGAAAATATTTGCATACCTCTGTGAGGTAGAATATGATGAACTTAAACAATGTATTTAGGATATCTGAATGTAAGGTGTACCACATCCCTGCAAATGAAGTGTATCTTATCCGAATCAAATAAGCCAGACAAGATAAGGCACATGCACTTATTACTGCAGCATGTAAGTTTAATTATTTATTTGGTAAGTCTGATCGTACGTAAGTCTATGGCGGCAAGTACCGAAGTCGCTAATGGCGACCAACCAAAAAGTTGTGTACTATTTTGCGTAAGTAAATTTAAATGACGTAAAATTAAACTCTGTTCTGGGATTGGTCACAGTACTTAGAATTTTACGTTGATAGACTTGAAATTTTAAGATAGTTTATTAATTTACCGCGAGATGTCGTAAATTGATTACCTAATTTACAAAAATGTCCCCTTATATAATACATTTTATCTCTCATTTATATACTTACGAAAGTTGATAAATTTACTAGAGAATTGATAAACCTAGGTACGCAATGTATCATATTCCGGTGACATATATACATTTATAAAAATAAAATAATCAGCGCCATTAGGGCTAATTCAGAACGTATTATTAAAAAAAATATTAATATATAAATATACCAATAATGTTAGTGGTTATCCGCCCGGACAGCGGAACACGCAGATTTAAGTCCTACATGAAACCTTAACTTAGACAATATTCTAGTCTCTTTATATATTATGGATTTAGTTTAATTTACCTTCTTATACAGAAAACAATCACCACAATACAATATCATAATGATGTAACCGATTAATTATAAATTAAGTTTTATTTATTATTTTAGGAAAGATATCAATGTTTTCAGTTTAGTCAAAAACTGCATCCGCCTTATTCAAAAACACGGACGAAAGTTAGTCTTGGTTTCATCCTAATGTTGTCTCCGTCTCTTTTTTAGCAAACAAAAGCGACATCGTCGGTTTTAGTCCAGGCTTAACTTTAGTATACGTTTGGTTATATGGCAGTATAATATGTTTTTAGCATTCAAACTAATGAAATAAAACTATTATAATATAGTCTTTTATGTATTTATTTCCAGCATTATCTATATTTTCTTCAGTCTTAGTGGTAGTCTACTAAGATTGTGACATTTGTTTACTTACCAAAAATTATGCTTTGAATTTTATACAAATATCGAGTATTTAAAATGTAAGATCAATACACCATCAATACACATAATTGTTAACATCCCTAGCTGTCAAATGTCAATGCAAATAAAGTGTCAAAGTGACAGAGGCGAGGCGACGTAAAACGTAATTGTTTGCATTGTGTTGCTACCGCAGATGTTGTTTTAATTAGAAAAAATAAATTATTACTGAAGCAAACACAAATAAAGAGGTAAAATGACAACTAATACGCGTGCAGCAGTTTCCCAAATATTACGCAGTAAAGATGAAGGTGGCGAGGAAGAAGATGAGCCAAAAAAGAAGTCGAGAGAAGATTGGAGGAAGGCCAAAGAACTCGAAGAAGCACGAAAAGCTGGAACAGCCCCCGCTGCTGTCGATGAAACAGGTTAGAATCGTAATCAGAATTTTATTTGTGATATAGGTTACGTGTTTACAAAGCATAAGTATGTCTTAGTACCATTACTGTAAGAAATAGGTGGTAGTAATAAGGAGTTGGAGTTTAATATTAAGAGAAACATATTAAAATAGATACAATCCAAAGTGCAAGCTAGTGAGGATGACAGCAAAGAAGTCAAGGAAACCAAAGATTAACATAAGTCAATATAAAATTGTGTTATAAAATATCTCACGGCGTATTGGTAACAATAACATCTTGCCACCAATATTCCACCTTGGATATGGTATACAAATAAAGATTGTTTCGAGTAAAATGCATTATTATTTTGAATGAAGTTAATTGAGTAACAAATTCTTTTGACCAAACAAATTAGCAGTTTTCATACAAATTGTTTGTTAGTCATTTATGCCTCCAAAGAGGGGAAATAATAATTTATTAAAACAATACATGAGTACCTACATTTAAATAACAAAGTCTTAAAAACTACTTGATGACTAAAATTTATGATTAGTTAATTATAACATTAAAATATCTTACACTTTCAGGCAAGGACATAAACCCACATATTCCTCAGTATATATCTTCTGCACCATGGTATTATGGCACGAGTGGCCCCACACTTAAACATCAGCGGCCCCAAGAAGACAGAGAGGCACAATTTACAAAGTTGGACACTTATTACCACAAAGGAGTTGATACTGTAAGTAATTCACTAAATAATATTTATACAAGGTATATCTATAAAATGTACTATAAATGTAATGTAATATAAATGTAATAATATAAAATGGTAATAATTAATGAAAATACTAACATGTTCAATTCATTTATTTGCATTACAAATTAATACAATTAATAAATAAGCAGATATAAATGATTACAAGTTTAAACAGTTCTTTAATAATTAGTATGAACTACAGTCATTAGTGAGTGACAGTGATGCAAATAGGCAGAGGCTCAGCAGTGTTTTTGCCTTAATAGACAAAATGGTGATTTTCAGCAACTGCCCGTAGGAAGCGCGAGGATGTAGGTACCCTACAAAGCTGGCATTGTAATTCCCTAGTCCCACATACAATACACGAACATCATTTACTTCATTATTATTTTCCTAGCAATACTTGTTAATAAAATTTTGTTAATAATAATAAATAATAATATGTAAGTAATCATTAAAAAACAAAATTGTGTAGACAATATTAAATAAATATTTGTAAGTAATAATATTTTATTTAATTTGAATGACAAAATGATTGAATGCTAGCTAACAGAAGAACCTCCACCAAAACGACAATTAGTGCGTATGCATAAACTAATTCAAAAAGCAAATTCAGTAAGGCTAATTTAACTTGCTTTTTTAAAGTGATCAAACATAAATACTGCAAAATGCACATGCCTGCGTGACTCCATATTCAATAATAAGGCATTATTAAGAAATGGTCACACATGGGTCCCACCTTGAGGGATATTAAAACAAAACGACCACAAGCATTTTGAACTCGCTGGATAAACATTTTAGTACTAGAAAGCAAACGAGGACCATATACTAGATCCCCATAATTCAGTACTGATAAAACCAGTGACTCACATAAAATGATCCATGTTTGTTCTGTAAGGAAATTCCGAATTTTATATGAAGTTTTTAACCAATTTAATTTAATTCAAAATTTCTTTCAATCAACAGACAAAAGCAGTCACAAAATATAGAAAAGGTGCTTGTGAAAACTGTGGAGCCATGACGCACAAAAAGAAGGACTGCTTGGACAGGCCAAGAAAGGTAAAGAACTTTATTTACTTGTGATTGATTTATTGTTCAATACAAAAATTATAATATGTAATTAAAATTACATAGAGAAGTGATAGTTCAGGATACATGAGAAACCCTTTTATGAACTGAGTATTATCATAATAACCATAAAACTTAACTTAATTACTCTTGATTGCTTATTGGGTGGTTACAATCAGTGAACAATGCTTTTCTTATACAAGAAGTATGCCACTTATGGTTAATATAGCCCTTCAATTTCAATCTAGATTTAAAGCTCATATCTTTTTTATTATCTAATATAAACAAATCTCTACAGATTGGTGCGAAATTCACAAATGCAGGCATAGCAGCTGATGAGTTTGAACAGCCAAACCTGAATCTGAGCTATGATGGTAAAAGAGACAGGTGGAATGGCTACGACCCCTCGCAGCATAAAGCTATAATTGAAGAATATCAAAAAGTGGAGGAAGCAAAAAGGGAATTACGTGCAAAGAAATTGGAACAAGGTATTACTTAACTTTTCCTTTTTGTTTGTCCTAGTCTTTTTAAATTTAATAAATCAGCTAATTGCCACAAATCTATATATATAAAATCAAAGGTGACTGACTGACTGTCATCAACGCACAGCCCAAACCACTGGACGGATCGGGCTGAAATTTGACATGCAGGTAGATGTTAGTAGACGTAGGCATCCGCTAAGAAAGGATTTTGATCAATTCTACCCCCAAGGGGATAAAATAGGGAATGAAAGTTTGTATGATATTTTTTCAATTTTAAACTGATCGGGCTGAGACTTTGCATGCAGGTTTATGAAGAATCATAGATGAATGTCATTGTGTATAATACAAGCCTGAGAACACAAACTGTAGTCTACACTCTCTACACCGAAGCGAAGCGAGGGCGGGCCGCTAGTTGTTCATATAAGTATTTTTTACGTTAGTGAATAATTTTAAACACAAGTTTGCTCTTATCTGTAGATCCATCAGCTATGGAAGACGATGATAATGGTGGTGAAGATGAAGACAAGTACGTGGATGAAGTCGACATGCCTGGTACAAAGGTTTGTTACTGTTTTTATTAATTCTATTTTATATCATCTTCCCAAAATTCGCATTTTACGATAACAAACCCTTAAAAGTAAATCCATATACTACACCAATAGATACAATAGAAAGCTGTAGACCATTTTTCATAAAATATTAAATACTAACTGTAACATCTTTATATATCCGGGAAGCATGTAAGCTAGTAAAAAAGAACCAAAATATTTTTGTAAATAGTAAGATAATTATACTGGATCGACACAATTTAGAAATAGATATAAATTTGTACTAGCAAAGTCTATGCTATCAATAGTTGGATCAGGGCCATATGTTCAATGGGGATTAAATTGTACAATGAGTTACCAAAGCATATTAGGCAGATAGACAAATACGATACATTTGTTACAACCTTCAATGATTACCTTGTTAATAAATGTTTTTTATAAATTAGGTGAATACTATAGGACTATTAAAAAATTTCAAATATCAAAGATACCTGGACATGATTATTATTCTTAATTCTATATATGGTAAAACCCGTTTATGACGATTTCACAGGGACTCAAACAAAACCGCGTCTTAAGCGGGATTGCGGGATAGGGAAATTTCGAATGTAGGTATTGAGGTATTAAATATAGGTACAATATTTAAGAATTATGTACGTTATATAAAAAATAATGTATTATTATTACGTTTGTATTAAAATAATTAAAAATTAATCACTTATTTTACTTTAACAAAAAGATTTTGAGGCATTAGCAATTACAAAATTTTCACATTAATTAACTTTTGCTTTGATTCAAAGAATTTACATAGCGTCTTAAATTATATGTACTGAAAATGCCTGGGAGTTGATTCATCTTCTTCTTGATCATTATCACTTAGGGCCTTGTGTGTTTTTCACATTCTCGATAAAATCTTGAATAGATTAAATTTGGTGCGGTGCCACATTGTCATCAATGGAAGAATATCCAGGAAAACCCTGGGAGTCGCTTAGCGTGCGTCGCTCGACAGTCGTCACGGCAATCGCTGGCCGCTGCCGCAAGAGGTAATATGTGTGGTACGTGTTGGCGATTTAGGCGTATTAAACGGGATGACGAATCGTATTAAGCGTTAAGAATTGTATGAAAATATGTCTCAAGTTGCAGGGACCGACGCAAAATGGCATATTAAGCGAGAAATCGTATTAAGCGTAATCGTATTAAACGGGTTCTACTGTATTGTTAAAATTTACTTGATATTTATTCGATAATTGTTAATATACTACTACTTATAATGTTAATATGAATTTAATTTCAGCTATAAGCTCAACATTGTTATGTCCTAACAGGACTCATGTGTTTGTACCTTATAATAATGTTAGACCTTCTTTACCACATGAAACGCAATAAAATTTCTGATTACTGATAGATATAATAAATGAGAAGTCTTTATTAACCATATTAAATTTTAATATAATAATTAACCTAATTAATTAACGCGCTGACCATGTCATCTGTGGAGTATTCAGTCTATATAATATAAACAATATAAATACTTAGCATCCCAAAAATATAGATAATAATTATTATACTTCTTTCATTAGGTGGATTCTAAACAGCGCATCACAGTGAGAAATTTGCGTATTAGAGAAGATACGGCCAAGTATCTACGCAATCTAGATCCTAATTCGGCGTACTACGACCCCAAGACGAGATCTATGAGGGACAACCCTGATCCAGCTGCCAATGAGTAAGTTATTTTTTTTTTAATAATTTTTAAGGTTTTCTTTATTGCTTCTGGCATAAAATAAATTTTGTGTAGTTTATTGTATTACTCTTTATGGCTGGTTCACATTATCCCAGTATTTCGAGTCCGGTGATTTTATCCAACACTGCAATAATTTATTGATTGGAACTAAGTACACGCCTTAAATCCGGCCCTGATTGCAGCTTACTCCAATATGAAAAAAAAAATAAAGAAAGAAAAGAAACAATAGCTATAAAGTTTTATTAATTCATCGTTCAGATACGTGTCCCAAACTTCCTGTTACACACTTCCGTCCTACTTCACGTAATCACTCCCACAAATTGCACGAAAGCGAGAGGAAATATGTTACACATCAAAAATCACAGTCATCACTATTTTCAATATTTTATTCAGATCGGATTATGCGGGCGAGAACTTTGTACGTTTCACGGGGGACACGCGGAATCATGCCGCGGCACAAATGTTCGCGTGGGAGGCTCAAGCTAGGGGATTGGACGTGCATTTATTGGCGGAACCCACTAAACTGCAACTATTGCAACGACAATACCAGGAGAAGAAGGACCAGTTTAAGACACAGGTACGTAGTACGTACAATACCAGAGAAGAAGCATCAATTAAGGACATAGGTAAGTACAATACTAGAAGAAGAAGGACCAGCTTAAGCACAGGTACGTAAAATATCAGCAAAAGAACTGGTTGAAGGTAATAGGTATTAACATAGAAAGCACAGATACCGCCAAATCGCTTGGGAGACTCAGGCTAGAGGATTGGACTTGCTTTTATTGGCGGAACCCACCAAACTACAACTAGTGCAACGAGAATACCAGGAGAAGAAGGACCAGTTTAAGACACAGGTATGTGCAATACCAGAGAAGAAGGATCCATTAAGGACATAGGTAAGTACAATACCAGAAGAAGAAGGACCAGTTTAAGACAGGTACGTCAGATACCAGCAAAATAACTGGTTCAAGATAACAGGTATTAACATAAAAATCACAGATTCCGCCAAATATTCGCGTGGGAGGCTCAGGCTAGAGGATTGGACGTGCATATATTGGCGGAACCCACTAAACTGCAACTAGTGCAACGACAATACCAGGAGAAGAAGGACCAGTTTAAGACACAGGTATGTGCAATACCAGAGAAGAAGGATCAATTTAGAATATAGGTAAGTACAATACCAGAAGAAGAAGGACCAGTTTAAGACACAGGTACGTAAAATATCAGCAAAAGAACTGGTTGAAGGTAATAGGTATTAACATAGAAAGCACAGATCCCGCCAAATCGCTTAGGAGACTGGCTAGAGGATTGGACTTGCTTTTATTGGCGGAACCCACCAAACTACAACTAGTGCAACGAGAATACCAGGAGAAGAAGGACCAGTTTAAGACACAGGTATGTGCAATACCAGAGAAGAAGGATCCATTAAGGACATAGGTAAGTACAATACCAGAAGAAGAAGGACCAGTTTAAGACAGGTACGTCAGATACCAGCAAAATAACTGGTTCAAGATAACAGGTATTAACATAAAAATCACAGATTCCGCCAAATATTCGCGTGGGAGGCTCAGGCTAGAGGATTGGACGTGCATATATTGGCGGAACCCACTAAACTGCAACTAGTGCAACGACAATACCAGGAGAAGAAGGACCAGTTTAAGACACAGGTATGTGCAATACCAGAGAAGAAGGATCAATTTAGAATATAGGTAAGTACAATACCAGAAGAAGAAGGACCAGTTTAAGACACAGGTACGTAAAATATCAGCAAAAGAACTGGTTGAAGGTAATAGGTATTAACATAGAAAGCACAGATCCCGCCAAATCGCTTAGGAGACTGGCTAGAGGATTGGACTTGCTTTTATTGGCGGAACCCACCAAACTATGACTAGTGCTACGACAATACCAGGAGAAGAAGAACCAGTTTGAGACACAGCTATAAATAAATGTTTCTAACACACATACACCAATTAGCCTAGCCCCAAAACAAGCACTGTGTGGCCTGTTTCATGGGATTCTAGGATAACGGATACGTCCAGAGAAACCTTTTCGCGACAACTTGAAAATTGCATTTTTGATTAAGTTTTTTTTTTTCACTGAAATACAAAACAGAATAATGAATATCCACATCCTCTTTATGGACTCGATAAACATTAGGAATTAACGGTAAGATCGTTTTCTAGGACTTATCAAATACATTCATCGTTTTTTCTCTGTCAGGTGAAACAATCGGTCTTAGAGAAATACGGTGGCGAGGAACATCTCCAGGCGCCACCTAAGGAACTGTTACTGGCTCAGACGGAAGTGTTTACGCGATACAACCGCGATGGAACTCTTGCCGAGGGACCGGAGAAACAGCTAGCCAAGTCAGTATACAACTATCATCATCAACATCAGCTATTAATGTCCCCACTGCTGGGGCACAGGTCTTCCCTATGAATCGAATAGGGAGATTGGGCCATGACCATCAATGTTGGAGTGTTGGCCATAAGACTGATATGAGAGAGAAACAAAATCTTAGGGTTTAACCATCGTCATCATCAGCCTATTTTAGTGTCCCCACGTTTAGGGGCCAGGCCTTCCCTATGATTGGAATAGGGAGATTGGGCCATGACTCACCGCGCGGGCCCAGTGCGGATTGGTGCTTGCTAATGACTGCAGATGCAGCCGGGACCAACGGCTTAACGTGCCTTCCGAAGCACGGAGGAGCTCGAGATAGTATATTTTTGGTCACCCATCCAATGACAGACCATTGTGAAAATTGCTTATCATGATTGCAGCCGAACGTGCTAACCATCGAGTTCCTCATTAAATTTTACCGCATCAACAAGTTTATGCTTTTAAATGTTAAATACTTTTACTGTACACATATCAAACAGGCAAATTATGACATACAGTAAAGGCCCCTTATTCACGCTTACTTTATTCGCGTTTTCACCATTCGTAAATTAAAATTTTTGACAGTATTATAATAATGTACCTTCTAACTGTGAGCATCTATATTTAATATGAATATTTGCAGCGATTTAAATATTCTGAAAGAACATATAATTAATAACTAATTTATAAAAACATTATATAGAAATGATTTTTTTTGCTCCTTGGTCACGTGACCTCAAACGCCTGGGATTGGCGAAGACTAAAATGAGGTCACACGCTAGTAAACTTCCAACTAAAATAACATTACATTGTATCGTTTGAAGTTTTAATGACAGCCGTATGACGTCACACACTAGTGAGACGCCATAATGTACAGTGAAACGTATTCGCGGCAACTTGAAAATTGAATTTTTAATTTATCCTTCTTACCGTATTACACAACAGAATTAAAAATATCGACTTTTTATGGACTCCATACAAACATTAGTAAATAACTTGAGATCGTTTTCTAACACTTGTCATTAATGCCCTATTCGACTCCCTAATATTGAGAAACAGGAAGGAAGCTATTTACAGTGCGACAAGGATAGTATTCAGTACAACAGTACTGAATTTAGTATAAGGCCCGTATTATAGAAAGATTCTCAGTGATTGATCTAGTCTTGAGCATAGTTAGAAAAGGATGTCGCTATATATAGCACATAGCGACATCTCTTTCTAACTATACTCAAGTAAAGATCAACACTTAGTTGTCATTCTGTAATACGGGCCTTAATGTTGGTAGTTTTATAATAATTTTGTAATTTATACAGTTAGGATATGATGGGGCTGGCATATCTTTTTCATCCCACCACCTCGGAAAGTGTAATTTTGCGCTTCGAAATCTGGCTGGAAAATTCTATTTTATTCGCTTGAGCGGCAAAGTAGATTTGAATTTAGAACATCACATATAATGAGTACTCAATATAATTGTAAATTCAAAACGTCATTAAACCTATTTAATGTAACCTCTATGGTGCCAAATTTATGATTAGAACTTTTTAAATTGTGAAAAAATTTAAATTTGGAACCTTCTTGGTTTCTTTGTTTTATTTGCGTGCTTCGCGCCATTCTAGTTTTTCACGTTTTATTGCTTAAATATTTTGTCATTATAAATTGTTTTCTTTTTCATTTTGTCATTTCCTCGCTGAGGTGGGATGAAAAGTTACGTATTGCACTCGAGTGGAAAGATTTTTCACCTTGTGCTCGTTTGTTTCCCTCGCTGACGCTCAGGATTCTAATTTAGAATCACTCGCTGCGCTCGTGATTCAACTTTAGAATCCTTCGCTTGCTCGGTCATCCAAATCGAGCACGCGGTTAAAAAGGAACTTTCCACTCTTGTATAATAAATAACTATTATATCAGGTCTAGGCCTCTAAATAAATAAGATTGAAAAAAAAAGGATCTTTATGAATGTCACTAACGTTTCAAGGAGGGCGCCACTAGTGTCGTTTCGGGCATGATTCTCTTACCTTAGAACTAAACCTAACATCAGTCTCTCCTTTTCATTATGTTCTATGTTCCTATTTATTAAAATAAAATATAGAGAATGACGAGAATACCTCCTTGTCAAATTTCAGTTTAGGTATAGAGAGTCATGTCAGAACCGACACCACTGTCTACGTCAATGACTGTAAATGTCATACAAAATATGACGTTTAGAAAGATGGCGGCATTAGTTCCAATTTTCGCCGCATTCATACAGATCCTTGTCGCACTATACGTCGAATAAACAATTTCTGACCAACAAACTTTTTATTGTACACGTATTTATTAGTATTTTTATGGCGCTATTACACCTGATCATTAGCCCGAATACGAGTTCCAATGGAATTCGGGTAAACGACTAAATGGAAATGAACGGAGTCGAATACGCCATTGGTTATCCCACACCGTCTTTCAGTCTGTATACCAGTGTAAATTTTTATGTAGTATAATAATGAATATCTGATGGATAAGGACTTAAATAAATGATAAGAAGTTTAATCAAGATTACTGACAATTATTATTATTATGATGACATTTTATTTTGAATTTTAATTTAATTTTAATTGTTTTTTTTTATGTAGTTTAATTTAAAGTACCGTTATTAATTCTATATTTGTATGCCTGATGGCTGGTCGTAGTTGGACTGCATATTTAAGCATAATAACCACGTATTACCTATGGACCACAAAAAAAAAATGCTTTAGGTGCTCGAATTAGAGTAATGTCTGTCGTGCACCCGAATACGGGCTAACGACCAAGTGTAATTGAGCCATTAGTGTGATCATTTAACATTTTATTACGACAGGAGTAAATATGAGGAAGACGTGATGATTAACAACCACACCAGTGTTTGGGGCTCCTACTGGCACGAGGGACAATGGGGATACAAGTGCTGTCACTCTTTCATTAAGGTAAATAATACATTTATTATTATACTCATAATCTGATCCAGCCATGTATTATTATGCAGTTGGATGAATGTTCTATTATTGTAAGATGTTATAAAATATAATGCGATTCAAATTAGAATAGGAAAGCCAATGACCTCTATCTGTCAAATGTCGCTTGAAAAGTACGGTTTGCAAAAAAAAAAGCTTGGAACCCTTTTTTAGCACTCCGCTAATTCTAGAATAAAAACCAAACATTTGTAAATGAAACAATAACAAATATTGATAATTAATATCGGTAGATATTTTTTTTTTACTTATTGAGTTTTGGCCATGATTGGTTGTTAACCTAAATCGTCAACCAAGTGTCACTTTAAGTTGCGTTCAAACTCGATTTTAAACTTTCGTTCACATAAAGAATGCATGTTCGTATGTGACCTAGTAATAGTGCATGATTATTCATAACTACTCCGGCGGTAATGCAGAGATGAGCGGAATAGAAGAGCTAGATTCTGATTAATGTTTTTTCTCACAGTCTCAATAAATAAATATGTATTATTAAAAATCGGTGTTTTTTTTTCTCAATCTTAGTAAATAAATGTTATTAAATAAAATCTTTTTTTTGCTCACTCTACCTATTTGGTTTGAATTGACAGCTATGACATCACAATATGGCGCCCAGTCAGTCCTATTCTTAGTTGAATCGTATTATATTGTGTACAATTTTTATGGTGCTAATTAATTATTTACTGATCCGACAGTTTCGAGAAGAATGACACTTTATATTACATTGTTTTAGAGGGTGAATCAACTTTGATGACAATTTTTATTTTACTTTATTTTGTACCATATTTTAACATGTTATTACAAAGATAATTTTCTCCTGTTTACGATTGTATTTAGAGCAGAGCTGATTTTTTAAGAATTTTGTGAATTTTACTCTAAAAACTTCACTAGAATAAGAATAGTGGTTACTATTCAAATGTATTTTTAAATGAAATATATGTATTGTAAAGTGCCATTTTCTCAAAACTGCGAGTCAGATTTTGATGCCCCCTTTTAGTAGTTTGAGTACCCTCTACATAAATAAAAAACACAACGGTATCGGTGTTTGTACCTGGACGACTTTAGCCCTGTCTTCTTTTCTGGTCTATTTGTAAAAATAAGATAACTAATTATTATGAGTCGGCTTGAATTTAAACTCTCCCTATGTTCAAGTTTTTATTCTTAGATTTCTACTTATTTTCCTTCTAAAAAAAAATATATTATAGATGTCATACTGTGTGGGTGAAGCCGGAAAATCCGTAGTGTTGGAAGTGCAAGACGCGGATAAAACCACCACCAGCGCAACTATTACCAAAGATGTTACAAAGAAGAAGGAAAAAGGTAAATATATAATTGATCTAAAGCACACACGGGACTCGAACCCGCACCCTTCGCTATCCGGGCGGATGCACCATTTACCGGACATTAGGACCCATTACGCTACACTGGCCAATTCTCGGCTTGGGGTCCTCTTTGGACCTCGCCGTCCCCAAACCCGGTGACGCTGTAAAGGTCATCTGCGACCAACATCATACACACTCAAAAAAAACGCTACCGCGGCCCTAATGGTCGTGTCGAATTCTTTCTAGTATTTCTTAGGCTGCAAGGCAGCACAATCTCTTCACAATTTAGATAACCCACAATGTCAAACAAAAGAAAGTTTCAAAGCTTAGCACTTTCGGCTGCGGCCGTTAAAGTTAAGCAACTTTCGCAACGGTCGGTCATTGAATGGGTGACCAAAAATTAATTCTCTCAGGCTCCTTCGTGATTCGGAAGGCACGTTTAGCCGTTGGTCCCGGTTGCATCAGCAGTCGTTAGCATCCACCAATCCGCACTGGGCCCGCGTGGTGGGTCATGGCCCAATCTCACTATTGCTTCCATAGGAAAGCCCTGTGCCCCAGCAGTGGGGACATTAATAGGCTGATTATGATGAAGATTATAATCCGAACGATCCACAATCCGTACGAACGGGGAGTAAATTTCCAAAGTTCGCCTTAGAGGTCCTGCGGTAAATATAAAAATTTGTGACCGGTTCGGAAAGTGGGTTTTAAAGAATGCACAAGCAACCGGAACGTGCTTTTGAAGCATGGAAGAGCTAGATGTGATAATTTTTTGGTCACCCATCCTATTGGTCGTTGCGGTCAGTTGCTATACTTCCACGATCGCATACTCGTATTGGTAAGGTTAACTCCTGAGCAGTCAAGTACTTTGTAACATTATCATCATCAGCCTATTAATGTCCCCACTGCTGGGGTCCAGGCCTTCCCCATGGATGGAATAGGGAGATTGGGCCATGACCCACCACGCGGGCCAAGTGAGGATTGGCGGGTAACATTATACCGGCAAAATAATTTCGTACAGAAAAGGTAGTTCGTGATGAAGGTGTTTAGGAAAATTTACATCACCAGCACCCTTAGTACGAGTTTTACAATTACGAAAACTATGATAGTTTTCGTGAGCTCGCACTCGTACTAAGAGTACTAATTTTATTGTTTTCGTTTCAATACAAATAAACAGTGTTAAAATTCTATCACTAAATCATTTGCGTCTTCTTAAATTTTAAGTATACTTATTTGGTTACTTTTCACCAAAATGGACATAGAAACATAATTTACAATTAAGAAAACTATGATAGTTTTCGTAGGCTCAAACTCGTACTAAGGGTACAGTTGGCGTTATTGGGAAATGAGGTATTTTGGATCAAGTTTTAGCGCGAATCAATCGAACAAGCATTTATAATGCTCCATAGACTATGACGACGTGATGTGACAGATGAGTAACCTTTCGTCACAGTACTGCCACCTGGCGCCCGTCGTTCCAGAAAACTCTAATTGACATTTATTTTCTAGATAAAAGCGAAGAATCGTCGTCATCCTCTTCGGAAGCCAGCTCATCTGACAGCAGTTCATCAGAATCCGAAGAGGATCACAGAAGCAAAACAGAGAAAACGAGCAAGAAGAAGAAGAACAAGAAGAAGTCCAAAAAGAAGAAGAATAAAAACGTAAAGAAAGAAAAGAAGGAAGAGGACAAGCTAAAGAAGGTATAATTTATCTAATTTTGTGTCTCTCATTTTTCAGTTTTAAATTTATTAGGGCCAATAAAATTATGTTGTTATTTATTTATTTATTTATTCATTCATTGCATATCACATTCACAAAAATAAGGTGGTACATAACAAATACAGTAACTATGTGACGCCCTGCAAGGGCACAGCAACTTTAGAGGGTTATAATCTATTTAAAATATATTATTATACAATTGCACAATATAATTTATAAACTAAGTTTTAATCATTCTTTACATACATTGGTGTTTGGTGTCAATTCTAGCATGACACTCCAACCCAAACCTAAATTTGACGACAGTGTATCCTTATCATTCCCAATACATAAGTAAAAAAGTTTAGAGAATCATGCTAGAATCGACACCATAAATTCATTAAAATATTGTTATTTATTCTTCATTTAAATACATTCATTATAAATTAAATTCTTAAGAGTCTGAAGCATTCCATTGGCTGGGTGATTTGTCATTGAAAAATTCATTTAAGTCATAATAACACTTGGCAATAAGAAAGGCTTTTAAATGTTTGATAAATTGTGTCGGTGTGTTATAGTTTTTTAAATAGTTAGGGACATGGTTATATATTTTAATCATCATTATATGGGGGCTAGATGCTACTAATTTCATTTTCGATATCGGTAATCTAAATTTATTTAAGTTTCTATTATTCCTTTTATTATTTTTTAGTGGCGAATAAAATTCTGGATGTTTTATAATAAATTTACAAGACTCCAGAATATAGATGGAAGCTAAAGTTAATATATTATACTTTACAAAAAAAGATCTACAGGATTCCATTTGGTCAATGTTAGCCAGTATTCGTATACATTTTTTCTGCAAAACAAACACCTTCCCAACGTTACATGAGTTTCCCCACAATACAATTCCATACGAAAGTATTGAATACGCGTACGCATAATAAGCTACAATAGCGGACTGAAAATCGCTAGCACGTTTTAACTGATGGAGTGCGTATATAAAAGATGATAGTTTATTTGTTATTTTTTGGATGTGCTGTTTCCAATTCAAATGTGTGTCTAATTCAATACCCAATAGAGTAGCGGAGCTTACTACATCCGATTTCGTGTCATTGTAACTGTATGATATTTCTAATCCAGACCTTTGATATGGTTTAAATTGGATGATTTTGGTCTTATTAAGGTTAAGTTGCAGGTTATGGGATTCTAGCCAGTTAGTTATTTTGTTATTATTATTAATGAATCTCACTGTTTATACACTTTGTATACACATATTTTCTACACCCATACATGACTACATAGAAACAACCAATTCAGATTCAGACTAAGTTTGAATAAAACCGTAAAATATAAATTGTAAACTGGAATTAGCTAAAACTCTATTTTAGAATACTTAAGAAGAATACTATAAGGTGACTTAATAGTAATATCAAATCATCGTTTATACTTAGCTGATTATCCATAATCTTTTCTGTACCCCAATAAATTATTTTACTGTCCAAAATATGATACTAGAACCATAGACTAAAATTACTTGTTATCAAATTAATAAGATTGAGAGCAATCTAATAAAGACGGTTTTCGTCGATTTCCATATCCAGTTTGGTCAATATTAGCTACTATTAGCTAATATTGACCAAACAAGGCACTTGAAAGTATTCCCGCTAATTACTGTAATCTTAGTGACCATGAAAGTTTAACCCGGCGTCAGCACAGTCAAAATATGCAACAGCGACAGTAGGGTTGGGTCGAGAGGACCCGTATAAGAAAACGCCATAATCACAAAAGTTAAAATAAATTTGGTTTGTGGTTGTACTGTCTGCATAAAACGATTATCATTATAGGTTTTGAATAATAAAAAACACAACATGATACGAAACTATCTTTTTAATGTCATTTTCATAAAAGTGTCACAAAATATTAACAAAATGGACAACCTCTGTCTTAAACTAATAAAACTTAAACAAAACAAACTTTTTTCTATAACATAAACTAATTTGTTACCTGTTAATCAAATCTTTAGTAGAATAATAATATTATACTATTTGTATCAGTCTCATACGTCAGTCATAGTATCCTTATCATCTGCGCAATCTCGGCAGTACAACATTGCATGCTCACTGCAGATGTATTTGCTACAGCTCCGAAAAGTATTATTAGTTTTTCTATCTTTTTTGGCAGAACAGTCTTGGCATCTCTTTCTTACATAAAGTATCTTCACAGGTGGCTCCTCATCAGGAACCTACTCCTAAAAACTCTCTTATTCTTTTGCGCATAAGTCTTGGCAACTGAATGACATCTTTACGATTGCGCAAATGCTCACGAACCAGTATAAGGCTGAAGTTTCTTTAGAAATTGGCGTTGCTTTGACATAGTGTTGTTATTCTTGTTATGGTATATGTACGCATTTATTCCAGACATATTTAGCATGCCAAAAATAACAAAATAAACAATATAAAACAACAAAAAAAAATTTTTTTTAATGGCGCAAAATTACGACACCAATAGTATGGTTGGGTCATATTTACCTTTTTCGTGTTTGGCCGTGTCTATCACTCGCTGGGGCCGCAACACGACTGAATGGCGATATCCCACGTGGAGGGGGGATCATTAGCCCCAGCTACTGAGAAGTTTGGCAAAGTCGCACAAACATTTTAAGAAACACGCTCATTTGAAAACTGCTCGGGTCAAATTGACCCAACTGTGCGAACGCCGGGTTAAAACAATTAAATAATTGCACCACCGCAATATTTTATTTTCTCACTCTTACTGTCCGGCTGGTAGAGAATGCCTCATGGTTAGTCTGCCATTTGCAAGTGTAAATAAATAAATGAAATAATTACTTGCAGGCATTGGAAGAGGAAGAGAGGCAACAACGTCATGCCAAATATCTGCTATCCATAGACGAGCGGAAACGATCATACAACAGTATGGTGGAAGTTAAAGCCCCCACTGAAGAACAAATGGAGGCCTACATGATGAAGAGACGCCGCGAAGAAGACCCTATGAGCCAATTTTTATAATGTACATAATGTAATAAATGATATTATTTAAGTTGTGTTGTATTTTTATTGGCTTTATCATCATATCAGGTTCGACATAGACATTTATTTGAATCTGTTCGTTAGAGAAATACATTCTTACATAACAAAATCATACCGTGATTATTAGTCCAGTCAATACACGGAAACAATTTAAATTATACATAATATGTAGTGTTCAAAAATAAAAACAAAAATTAACCCCGGATAAACTGAAAAGCAAAAAATAATAAACCTCTTTTATCTTTAGTCAAATTAATGTTTGAAGTTCATGCCATGCTTGTCTGAAAGATCTGTTCTCATTCACTACTTGGGTTGGCATGGCACCAACTCCAAATATTAATTTGACTAAAGATAAAGGTTTATAATTTTTTGCTTTTCAGCTTTTTCGGTGGTTTCATTTTTTTTAAGGCACTTTGCAGACGACGGGGCGGGGCGGGCCGGTCAATTTCGCCGCGAATAATAGAACAAAGTGAATCCTATACTTCAAACGCACACAGAGGGCAAAAAGACCGCGCCGCAGGTGCCCGGCGGGCAGTGGCGGCGCGGCATGTCCGCGGCTGCCCGCCGTGGATCATACAAACCAGTTTATAGCAGTAACGCAGACGGCGGCGCGGGGCGGTCAGCTCCGGCCGCACCACGCGCTTATTAGTAATGACTATTCACTAGAACGAACGTCCTGAACTGACCGCCTCTGCCCGTCGTGTGCTTTGTGTACGCGGCGCGGGCAGCCGCAGACATCGGCGGGCAGACGCGGTCTTTATTGCTTCGCGGACAAAATGCCCGCCCCGCCCCGTCGTCTGCTCAACGCCTAAAAGTTTTAATTTTATAATTTTTCATGCCTTAAATTTTAGTAATATACAACTCAGCATCAAAATCTATATATGAATAGATAATTTTGCCACCCTTAGGATTTTTGTTTTCAATTTATTTAGGACCAACTTCAAGGTATATTCTATCCAATAAAAAAATACTACTCTGTAAATGGTTAAATGCGGTGATACATTACTATCAGTGAGTGAACAATCAATCTTCCACGGTTTTCCTACCAACATTTGGAGTTAAAAAAAGAATCATAAAAATTGGACTACCCATGATGTTTTATATTAGGTTGGAGAAAAAGTTTCTATGCATTTTATATGAAACTTCAAAACATTTTACAAAAATGTTTATTTAAATTTAACTAAAGTATGTAGATGCCATTTGTTTGATAACTTTTTCCATCTTGTAGGTAGCAGGGACATGATCTCATTGCTATTGAAATTTTGAGGCTTCTCATCAAAACACCGCGTCAAGTGGTTGTGCCAGTCCTCTCGTGATTTAACCTGACACTGCCTAGAGAATTCTGAAGAGACCAAAACAGGTGGAAATTTGAAGGTTCAAGGTTGGGACTATAGGGCGGATGCGTTAATACCTCTGAATCAAACCCTCTTAATTTTTTCGAGTGGCTAAAGATGTAGGAGTTCTAACATTATCATAATAATCACACCAGCTGTAGATCCATTCTTGTCATTGTTTTTTGAAGAAGCTGATAACTGGTGATGAAAAGTGGATATGAGATCCACTTTTCATCACCAGTTATCAGCTTCTTCAAAAAAAGTTGTTTCATTACGTCGTATCCAGTGTTTCCACAATGAGGGGAAATTCCCCTTTAAAGGGGAAATTAGGGTCCAGAGGGGAAGAAAAAGGGGAAATTATGGGTAAAGCCCAGCCTAAAATAATACGGCACGGAACAAATTTTTTATGGATTATACCGTGGACTAGTGTTGCCGTATAAAAGAAACTGTGGCAACACGTGCAGATTTTATATATTTTATTTATCTGTTATATAATAAGATAAATTAAAACCTTTTTTTTTATTTAGTTACTAATACTAGTGCCAAATCTAAAAACTACAGCAGATTATTTTTGAGGGGAAAAATGTCCTAAGTAGGGGAAATCTGAATTGAGGCGTGGGGAAAGGAAATCATTAAAGTGGAAACACTGGTCGTATCAAAGAATCACAAATGAGTACACGGTTCATTAGTTTTTTTTAGTGAGCTCTTAAGGCAACTAAATATCGAGCTTTTTTGTGTACCCAGCTTTCTTCAAGTGCGCCAAAACTGTTTTGTGGTCAATTCCCAGTTCTTCAGCTACGTCATAACTACTGATATACCGATCTCGCTCCACTTTTTCAAAAATTTCATCGATTTTATCCGTAACAGGCGACGAGAGCGAGGTGCATCTTTGACATCAAAATTTCCGGATTGAAAACGCTTAAACCAAATTTGTGCTACTCTCACAGACACTGCATTAGGTCCATAAACATCACAAATTTGTTTTCGCGGCTTGAATTGCATTTTTACCTTTTTTCAGTGTTACCAACCCTTACCAAAATTTTGCCCTAAGTATTTTTTAAATTCCCCTAAAATACCCTAAATATAGAAATTTATATGTACCTACTTATCTTATTACCTAAATTCTTTCGTTGCTCATAAATTAAAACATTACATATTTAGTTACAGTAAATTATTTTATTGAATAAATACATTTTCCGGATGGAAAATCAAACGAAAATGAGCTGGCAGGCTGTTAAATCTTATTTAGCTGTTTTGATTGGTGGAAGGCAAAGAACTTTAGTCCATATAGCCTTAGGGAACAACCTGCCACACAGTGAGTTCAGTCATTTCATATCGTGGTGCGTTCCATTCTACGCACAAAACTGAAAGAAAACACACGCTTTGTTTTTCGATTTGATTGAAAATTTTGTTAAAATCGCTTAAAAGAACCCCCAAAAAATTCCAGCCCCTAAAAAAGTCCGTTTTAACCCTTCTAGCCCCTAAATCTGGGGGCAAAACCCCTAAGTTGGGAACCCTGCCTTTTTTGTAGTAAAATTTTAAAATGTATCGAATTTCTTCTTTAGATTCACTCATTTTGTAGGGCTGGCGATCTGAGATCGATTAATCGAATAATCGATTTTTTGAGCCAAAAAGATCAATTTTATTAATCGATATATAGTACAGAATCGATTCACTGAATCGATATTTCGCCCTTGAAAATCGACATTCGTTTTTATTTTATTTATTTGGTATAAACTAAAAAAGTATTCACAATTATTTGAACGTACCCGTTATAAGGGTGCTGCCGGTAAAGGGGTTAATTATAAATAAATGCTAAATGCTTGGATTCCTTCTCCCCTTTTTAATAAAAAAAAATACGTTTGTTTGTAATCTTTGAATAAAAATATTTTTTATCATCGAATCACCTGATTTTACTGATAAGAGATCGTTAAATTGTAATATGTATCTTGTTTTTAATAAAATAGACTTATATTACATTATAAACAAAAACTTAAAAAAGAGATCGATTTTTCAGAAATCGATCTTATTGGCCCCGATTTTTTTGTGGATCGATTCATTAGGTTACGATTCGAATCGATTTAAAAATTGATCTTTTTCGGAAAGAATCGCCATCCCTATCATTTTGGCAGCTTTCATTTTTTTAACGTTCACCCTTTTTAGGTAAGGCAAAAAGAACAATGCCCATACAGCCTAGCCAGTTTTTTTACATTAGTATTTGGATATGACGCATTCTAATGTTTCTTGGAATGTTTGGCACAAAATGTATCGAGTCAGCTTTCTCGATAAGCTTCAACAAAAAACTAAATTTTACATCAGTCTATCCTTTTTATTCTGTATGGAGGATGACAAAGATACACTGTTGTCAAATTTAAGTTTAGCTCAATTATAGAATCATGCCAGAATCGACACCAGTATTTTTATTTTGCGTACAGAGGGTAGTCTACTATTTGAAGAGTTCGAAAGATAAATCGATCACGAAGATATTGGCAACGATAACTTAACGGTGGTTCAGCACATTCTACTTGTAGGGCGTGAGTTGGACTAAATTTCGTAGATCCTATTTTATATTCCATCTAACTTTTCAGGACGAACATACTAGACATTGATGTCGATTCTGGCATGATTCTCTAAAGCTAAACTTAAAATTGACAACAGTGCATCCCTGTCATTCTCTACACAGAATGAAAAGGAGAGACTGATGTTAAATTTAGTTTTAAGTTTAGAGAATCACGCCAGAATCGATACCAGTATATTGTTTTAAACTTCCATGGTCACTAACATTATAGCTATTAACGGGATTGTAACCATGTACCTTGTTTTTTATGAGTCTCCGATACTTCGGCACTGTTTTCGGTGGCAAATTTCATAGATCCTGTTATAATTCGGAGCGCTTTGGATTGTATTCCATCTAACTTTTTCAGAAAAAACATACTACACGGTTCATTATTTTAAACTTTCATGGTCACTAACATTATAGCTATTAACAGGATTGTTACCATGTACCTTATTTTTTATGAGTCTCAGGTTCAGGTCTTCGGCACTGTTGCAAGCACCATGATCACGGAGTAACTGAAGTTATTGGCAGACATATCGGTTTACCCTCTGACGTCGTCTTTTACTGCGTTTGATACCCCTACCACTGGTCATATTCTCAGTTTTCACTCGCACCTGTTTCCGACACACAATACTCACAATATCAGATCGTGGAAGGACACTTTTTCGATTTTTGCGGTTTTTAGATGTACGAACCACTGGATTCCAGATACTTTAAACCCATCCTCACAATTGAAATTCATGTGTTTGGTAATTTCAATCGCTTTCCTGACCAATCTTGTTATGTAGTTGCGTTCTGTCGAGATAATTTGTGGATTATGTAGCTCAATCCAGTGATTAGGACCCAAACCTTCTCGATGATACACAAAAATCAGTCATCGCGGAACATTTAATTGATTCGGGTCCTAATCACTGGATTGCACCATAATTAACAAATTCCCCAACATATTATTATACGTCATTGCGCTCTGCCTACTTTGTAAAAATTATGCGTGATCATACATAAAAAAAAGGTTGAAAACAGTAACGACATTTTTTATGACTATTAATTGTTTGAATTCCTAAAATAAATGCCTTTATTATTAGAAAAGGGTAAAAGAAGTCCGTTTTATATCTGTCAGTTATCCCGGTTTATCATTATCAGTACATGAACAGTACTCAGTCCCAAGCTCAGTCTGTCTTTTTTGATACATCTGTATTGACAAGGTATTGACTGATGATTGACAGCTCGAATAAACTGACACATCGCCATTTTTTATACGTCAAACGAATGTTTCATTTCGTTGATTCGTTCATGTCATAGTTTCTTTTTGATTAGTGGGCCGTCTAAATCCTATCTGATTGTTTTAATTAAATTAGGCGTTATGATGGCTGAGGACACAACAGCCGATGCAACTAGAAGATTAAACGTTAAGAAACAAACACTCGATGACGCTTACGCTGCGCCGGCAAACTTCTTGGAGATCGATGTAGTAAATCCAGTGACAACGATGGGTGTAGGGAAAAAACGCTATACGGATTACGAAGTTCGCATGAGGGTAAGTCATTTTATTATTACAAATGTCTCGTAATTAGATTAAACACCACCACGATGTTTATTAGTATCAGTTTAGTGGGCGTATCGTTGTGATGTCAAATGTCCTTTCGATGCGTTGTTAATTATTCCTGTGCCTGAATTCTTCTAACGGACGTTTCCCTGTTATTGCAGACCAATCTCCCTGTATTCAAAGTTAAAGACTCGAGTGTTAGACGGCGATACAGTGACTTTGAATGGCTCAGAAACGAATTGGAAAGAGACAGCAAGGTGAGTACAATGCTGTTAGTCATCAATTGTTTTTGATAGTGGTTTGTGTGTTATCAGAAACGCTGGGAGATGTCCCTTTCCTTTGATAAACCAAAATATTGTTAAATATTATAGTTGAAATTGGTAGTTAAAAAAAAAGGTTCCTGATATGTTACATTTTATCTCTTTTACTGTGCACAAGAATGTCTCGTATAAAATAGCCTTCCAATACAGAAGCTGGTGTTAAATATTCAATAATAAAATATTTGTTACAAGTTTCACTTCAAGATAGAAGAACTTTATTATATATTTTCAGATTGTAGTCCCTCCATTGCCAGGAAAAGCTTTAAAGAGACAACTTCCCTTCCGTGGGGATGATGGTATATTTGAAGAAGAGTTTATTGAAGATCGTAGAAAAGGTAATATTTAAAAACATTTGTTGCCCTATTACAAAACATAGACTAAAGTTAAGCCCGTTCTTAAAATGATGCTGTCACCTATGTTTCATAAAAAGAGGCAGCCTTTGGTTTAAACTAAGACTAATTTTAGTCCACGTTTTGGAATAAAGCAGAATAAGTATGATTAAAATATAAAGTAGTATAGAGAATAATCAAGAAGTGTTCTTGATTTGCAGTTTATCAAGAAAGAACTTTTTTACGTGTCTTTTGCATAATAACATAGATTTTAATATTTTTGCAGTCAAGGTGGCATTGAATTTTATTGAATATAAATATTGTCTGATTGACAGCTCTTGTTCTTATTTTTCATTTGTAAATTGCAGCTGTAGGTGTCCTCACTTGATAAATTTGTTATCATTTTGTTTACTGCTACAATCTTTGTGAACTTTAATTTTAGTGATATTCTATAATATTTTTATTTGATAAACAAAGATACTGCTAAAGCAAATATCTGAATGTTTAGTTAAATTTGCTAGTTCATACTAAAGTATTTTTCCAGCAAAATCATCTCAGTATGTGCAATTATGACGAATTACATTGTAAATATTTCAGGTTTAGAAGTATTTATCAACAAGATTGCCGGCCACCCTTTGGCACAAAACGAAAGGTGTCTTCACATGTTCCTCCAAGAGCCAACAATCGACAAAAATTATGTACCAGGCAAGATTCGGAACACATAATAAATAAAATTGTCTCCATTCTGATGGAAATTTGAAACAATTCTCGTCCAATGTCCACTTTAGTTTTTGTAAAGTGGTTAGTTAATAACCCTAATGAGATGTAAATAATTTGACAAAGAAGGTTCTTTTCAAATATTGATAAATATAAATAAATAATTATGAAAACAATAAAAAAAATGTGGCCAGTGTTAGTGAACATTGTTTATCTTGTTTCATGGAGCATATTAGGAGAATTGTTTTAAATTTCAAGAAGCAGAATCTTACTGCATCTTGCAGATAGTCAATGTTTACTTTTGGGGTTTGACTATATCACATTATAATCTCAACGCAATTTGCAGTGATATTCTAACTGTAACCCATTCATTTCAAACTAAGAAACAAATGAAATATTTTACACACAGCACAGCATTCCACAGATTATATTTTTTAAAAGGTTTTTGTAAACAGAGTAAAAATAACATCTGTCATTTTGTAAAAATGGAAATGTAATGGCGCTAAAATGGTAGAAAACTGTCTCCCATTGATAAGAACAAAAATCGATTGTATAAATTTAGATAATGTTATTGTTTATTACTAAAGCAATATTATTGGCATTGTTAAATTGTTTAAACTTATTTACGTCATCATTATATATCCAATTCTGTTAAGTGTGGATTGCCAGTTAAATATTTAAGACATACATGCTCTTTAATTAATAATATTATATAATATCATATATTATTACAGCAAACAAATTGTATGTTTCAAATCTCATATTTTTAATTTATGATTTTTGCAATTTCATTAAGAAATTGTATATATTTATTGCATATTATTTTATTGGATGTAGATATAAATATTAACATCGTGGTAGAAAGGGATACGAGTGATGTACTAGATATTTATTAATTTGTAATTTTAATAAAAATAGGGCAAATTTTTTTCATACTAATATGATAGAGTGGTATTTGATCACTTTAATTTTTGTCACATATCTCGGTTCCCTTTATAGGACATAAAAAAAGGAAGTACCATAATTCATTGTTGAAGTGATGTCAGATTGAGCCCTACAATATAAGAGTTTAATGATCTAATATACATCAAGTTTTTCATTTCCCAATAAAAGCATTAATGCATAGGTCCTTCATCAAGAGACTATGTACATTTGTGAAAAGTTGAGTTTTTTTTATAATCTTCAGTTTTTTGAGTGTCTCAAATTAAGGTCTAAATTGGATTGTAATGTTTTGTTTATTAGATTAATTATATTATTATGATTAAATATTTGTTGTACTAATCACTGATTTATGGACATGAAAATAGTGGTTGAATTATAGTACTGGGAATTCAATTATGCTTTGATGATAAAAAATAATTTACCTACAAACTTGACAAAATCAATTTGTAACATAATAAAATTATGTAAATGGTTTTCCAGAAAGTTGATATTATTAAACGCTTTATCCACCTTACAGTGAATATAAATTTTCTGGTGCACCATAATGGGTGGAAATGTTGAATAGTATTGTCATCACTAGGTGATAAAATTGACTGTTTAGTTAGGCAGTCTTATAATGTGGATATTTGTTTGAACATCAGTTAATGTTTGTTTACATTGTATGTATTACGTCGTTCATAATAGTTTAATAAAGTAAATTTGCTATCATATTTGTGTGTTTTTCTGAATATGTTATGGGTAGCTTTTCATGCGTCGGACTCTATTGGCCAAATAGTTACTCATGATAAAAGTTTTCACGGAAATTCATAGTAATATTATAATCTGTCTGTTATCTCTTCACGCTTAAACTGCTGAACCGATTCCGATGAAATTTGGTTAAAGGAAATCTAAATTTTCTACGCAGGCGAAGTCGCGGGCACTCAAATAAGTTCAATTTGCTGCGTCGTTCAAACTTGATTTTTAAACGAACTTAAGTAATCTGTGATTTAGTCCTTCATAGAAAAACTTCCCCCTTATTAATAAACGGAAAATAAGCTTCAATTAGTTATGTACTTGATGTTATGCATTGTCTCTGTTCATTGTTCTAACAAAACACTGTCAAAGCTTAATCCTCGTTTATTAATATTAATAAATTTTACTAGTAAATCTTCCTCGCGGTCGCGTCATTTTGTAGTAAAATTTTCTTTAGATTTAAACATTACCAGTTAAATGAATAAAAAATAAAAATATACGAAAGTATCAAGTAATTGTCAATATATTTTATATTTAATCGAATGATTAAATCAAGTGAGGTCTGAACGCGATTTGGTGGAGTATCGACTACGCGACAGATTCCCCAGCGAGTCGTCCTGCCGCCACAGCCTTTGGCCCCTGATCTCTATCTCCTCTCGCCAGGCGTCTTGAGTTTTCCTAGAACAACACAAAAGAATATACCGATCGAATTGAGAATCTCTTTTTAAAAACGGATAATAAAGTCATCAATCAACAGATGATTTTGGAGCATCCAGCATCATACAAAATTGTAGGCAAAGGCCTACCGACTAAAACCCTCACGTACCCTCCAATTCTGGCAGTAGGCGTCGCTATTGGACCGAAACGCACACATAGCTAGCCGGTGCCAGTTGCCTGCCACATGAAGGCGAAATTTCTTTCCCGCCTCTGGAAAGGGGGCTAGGTTGCACCCTCCCCCATCACTTCGATAACGCGCCGCGGGACATATTGGCGCAACATCTTCCCTCAAGTACCTATCTTTTGTACAGCCACCAGACAACCCTCGTGCCTGGTGTATAAGGTCCCTACTGCGGAGGCTAAATACGGGCGTTCGGTAATCTATTAAACAAGCTGTCAATGACTTGAACTGTTTAATATGTAGTTTTTTTATTCAAGTTGTTGATCGAAGCCTGAAGAACTAGGTATTATACATGTATACATACATAAGATGATATATTAGTGTAAAAATAACCAATCACCTTGAATATACTCAACTGGTTGTATGCGTGTTAACTGTTAATTTGAATGTTCGATAGTTACTACCACGCTATTAATTACCTACTTATTAATGCATTCGAGATTTTATATGCGATTGAATCTTATTATCTTGATTTTTCTTGATGTTTGGTAGCATTGTAGATAGGAATGCACCTACTAGCGGAATGTCATTAACTATACAAACTGCTTCATCTAGCAACCCATTAAATATATACAGCTATTACCAAAGAGGAGCTAGACAGTGCAAGTGGTTAGCGCGTTCAGCTGCGATCGTTGTAGTTTAAGCAACTTTCGCAGGGTCATTTATTGGATGGGTGAACAAAACTTTACTATGTCGAGTTCGTCCGCGCTTCGGAAGGCAAGTTAAGCCGATGGTCCCGACTGCATCTGTCATTAGCGCTTACCAATCTGCACCGGGCCCAGGTGGTGGGTCATGGCTATAGACCTGTGCGGCTGTGCCCCAGCGGTTGGGACATGAATAGGCGGATGACGACTTATATAATAAAAATATCACAGGCACTAAGCTGTTATAGGTCTAAGCTGCCTCTTATTGGATTATTAAAACTGGCTGTAAATAGTAAGTTTAGTGAATTAATTTGGAGATGGCGTCCTTCTCGCTACTATCTAGGTATTTTGTGTTACAATAAAACAGTTAAGAAACCTGCAGTTGTCAGTGAGTGGCGACGTATTGGGGAACACAGTCTGTAGTAGCAGCACACAAGGCAACACTACTACGGAGAGGAATTGTATCTGTTCCGCGGGCTGGTTGATGCTGCGCCGCCGGTCCATCATGCTTAGAGGGGTGTAGCCCATTGCGCGCTCTTTGTCACCCTAGAAGGGGATAATAAAGGTCCGTACACATTATGTCAGGCCTCTCCGTTACTACCGCTGCGTAGCGCAAATCTCCAGCAAAAGTTTTATGCAAACATTCAACAAAAACACGTACACAAAACTGAAACATGTTTCTCTACACACGACGTCTGCTGCTCACTTTCAACAAAGACGATCCAGGTGCAACAAAAGTCAAATTTATCAAAATGTAGGAACATTTTACGCAACATTGAAACGTCAGAGTGAAAAGTTGTACTTGAAGCGTAGATTTGAAACGGAGCGATTTCTCAAAAAAGTGGCCGATGAAACAATACCATGCCCCTCGACCGCGCGGAGGCGGGGAGATACGTGTACGTGTTTTCCATCGGGCTCCGAAAGCAAAAACATTGTTGATGCAAACAAATATGTGTATTTTGTTGAATGTTGATGTTTTTGTTGATTGTGTAAGGCAAAATAAGTGTTGGAGACCCGGCTTTACTTAACACATTAGTGACGGGCCGGGTCGCAGCGCATTGACGGATTTTGGGTAGGTACAGTGTACTGCCAGCAGACGTCTGTGCAGACTATAGGTACGGCCAGAGTGCACTCAGATTCAGATTCAGATTCCGAAAACAAGCGCGAGAAATAAACAGTGTAGTCTAAGCAGGTTGCCTGCTTTTTCTCGCGCTTGTTTTCTGAGTCTGAATCTGAATCAGGAGTGCACTCTGGCTTCCCTTCGACTACACTGTTTATTTCTCGCGCTTGTTTTCGGAATCTGAATCTGAGTGCACTCTGGCCGTACCCTATGTCGGGGTATCGCACGCAACCAAAATCCGTGGTGGATTTTATCCGGCAGAGTACAATGATACTTAGTTCATATAAAATAAATACTTTTATTTTTGATTTGCGCGGATTTTTCGCTGCGGCCAGACCCATTGCGGCCTGACATAATGGCCGCGTACCATAGACCATACCAGCAAAAATATAAAGTAATTTTAAAGGCCATACACTCTATCCCGGGCACTCTATCCCGTGATAATATAAAAGTCTTTTATGACAAAACTAGTGGCCCGCCCTAGCTTCGCTTCGGGGTAGAATTGATCAAAATCCTTTCTTAGCGGATGCCTACGTCATAACATCTACCTGCATGCCAAATTTGAACCCGATCCGTCCAGTGGTTTGGGCTGTGCGTTGATAGATCACTATGTCAGTCAGTCACCATTGAGTTTTATATATATAGATAGATGTTTCTTTAAAAAGTACATTCCTAGAGAAGTTTTATTTATTTATTGGAAGATTAACAGACTAATATCATCCATAACTATTCATATTGAATTAAACAATGCTGTTAGTAAATCTCCACAAATAGGATTTAAAACCCTATACATCCTACTAGAAATTTATAATGCGGTAGCTACATAAATTGATAAAATGTCCAGAAAGTTATAAAGTTGATGGAATACTAGTTACCGACATCGTCCGCGTTTTAGCTGGATGGATTTTTAACATTCCCACAGGTACCTTAATTTTTTCACGGAACAAGAAGTATCTCATGTTCCAAACAAGGTATTTAATAAACTTCATCCTAATCCGTTCAGCCGTTTTTGCGTGATTGAGTAATGTAATCAGCCCAATAGGAATAGCCATGTAAAGTGCTGGCATAACACACAAATATACAAACTTTTACATTATAATAATATGTAGGATCTATCTATAGTCTCAGGTACCTGTGAATAGAATTCTTCATACACATTTTCCGCTATCGTCTTGGCTACGCCGAATGGCTTGCAACAACCGGAAAGATCGCTCGTCGTCATCAGAATACCCTGCATAAACAACACGCGTTTTTTTGGGAAACCATAATTTTTCTTGAAGTTAAGGAAATATTTGAGTTAAATCACAGAAAAATGGTCTATCGGCGCTGTTATACAGGATGTTACAGAATTCCGTAATAAAATTTGTAGGTATGTATTCCGAAATAAAAATTTTTAGGTATCTGAGCGGGGCGCAGGGGCGCCTGGGGGAGAGAGGGGGTCTGTTTAGGTAGTAGTAATCGTACGCATTTACAGGGTTGTCATAGGCAGGTGTGAAACGATATTTTTATTAATTTAATTCGAAAATAAAAGAGGTCTGAAAGGCGTCAAACTTTCGTAGGTAATTCTATACAAGGAACTCAACCAAACGCTAAAGTTTGATTTCGGACTTTTGTCACACCCTGTATATGGATAAAGTAGATTCCCTGCACGGCTATTGGTGTATTTCTAGTGTTTAGGGTACAAATGGCTTCACCTTCAATACAATACAATACAAAACTCTTTATTTTTACACCACAGAAAACATAAAACATGAAGTACATAATTAAAGAATATAGTGTAATAATGGGCGGTCTTATCGCTAAGAGCGATCTCTTCCAGACAACATTAGGATGGAGAGGACAAGAAGAGACGGCGGTGTAATTAACTACAAAACAATATAAAATCATTCTAACAAATATAATCGAAATAAGTATATAGAACAATACATACATATAATTATATACCTACAAGAATACATATATTATAGCCATTTAAATAAATATATATACATACATATATATATAAATATATACACAAATACATACATACCTATGTCTAATTCATTCAGCTTAGATCAACAAAAATGGAAGGGTTACAAGAACATATAGTGAGATCTAACAAGGTTTTTGAAAATGTGGAGTGATTTTGCACGTCTTATGGAAACTGGAAGAGCATTCCATAGACGAACGGCTTGTACTGCGAAAGAACGGCCATAAAAAGTTGTAGAGTCAACAGGAGTAATGAGAGCGAGATTTTCTGATGACCTTAGGGACAATGTGTTCGAAGTGTGAAGGAAATTAAAACATTCCTTAAGATAGCGTGGGGACAACAGATTGAACAGTATGTTATACAGAAGAGTAAGGATGTGTGTATTCCGGCGAAGGCGAATAGGTAGCCACTTGAGCTGTAAACGAAATTGAGATACATGATCATATTTGCGCAGGCCAAATATGAATCACCTAGTATGAAAAAATAGGGTCACCTATTATATTTCTGGTAACGGTAACACCTCCCCACCTTCACCATCTTCCTATGAGCGTTGTCTATGTTTACTCACCAAATGTAAGGTTAGATCCAGAAGAATACCCAGGTCCGTGGACTTCTGGTACTGTCGCGTTTCTGAGTGGCTAAGATAACAAACTAAGGCTCCACATTTGCAGGGGGGTTAGTTTTCAGATAGGAATGGTGAAGAAGGCTTCTCTGCATCAGCTATCTTCGAGAACGTCACTCATACTACATCATCACTGGTAGAGATTGCTACCTTAGCAATAAGGCCGCCTTTTGTGTTTGCGTTCCTGTTTTTTTTGTTTTTTGTATTTTGTGTAATAGTGCAATAAAGAATATTCATTAATTCATTCATCACATGTTTGGAGGATTTCGCTGTAAAAAATTCTAACTAAAATAATGAGCTACCATCACAATTGTAGTGACATCTTCCCACCTTCACCATCTTCCTGTGCGCGTTGTCTGCCCAGTCGAAGCTGTGTTCTCCCACCAGGGGGGTGAGGTGTGCGCGTATCTGGAAGTATACCGCCAGGTCCGTGCACAGGATGTTGTACTGCATCTCCTCTAATATGCGCTCCCGGTCCACCAATGGCAACTTGCCTAGTATATTCTTATCCTGTTCAAACGAAATTAATTACGAGTAAGATATTAGAATATAAAAGAAAATGGAATAAATAAAATTTCTTTTTCCCCAGATATTCCTATCCTTTTATTAAGTTATAAGAGTGGCATACAAGCATATAGCGCGCCTGAGGCCGGGACTCCACCAAAGCAGAGATGTGTGCGGTGTGCTGTGCGAGAAGAGATGTTTTTCAGTTCGGGGGACTCCACCAAAGCGGAGATGTGTGCTGTGTGCTATGCGAGAAGAGATGTTTTTCAGCTCGGGTGCGATGCGTTGAGTACTCAGCGGGGCTCTGGGGGGTGCTGGCGGGCTAGAGGGGGGAGGGTGATACCGCTCACAACTCTCGTCTCCACTGCGCGTCGTCCGCGCACAGCTCACATCTCCGCTTCCATCGCGCCATACAAATATTACACATCTCCGCACAGCGATCTCCACTGAAGCTGAGCGGAGAGGAGTTGTGTCAATAACACAAATGCTATTGGTTGTTTAAAAAACATCTCTCCGCTCGTCTCGTCTCCGCTTTGGTGGAGCCCCGGCCTGATGGTACGCGGCCACCATACCTTATAGACAGTTCCGATACCAAAAACCACTCGCGCCGTTGCCTACGCTCTGACCCAATCCCGTACCCCGTGGAGCGCTGGAACCTTACCCACCGGCAGAAACACGACCCCACCGCTAGTGTTATTTTACTGTGAGCTTCTGTAAGGTGGAGTTTACTTCCCCAAATGGGGACTTGACTTCATCCTGTCTTAAAGGGGCTTTTGATTTATAATAATATTGGTAGTGGTAAATTTTTTGCACTACTGTATTAATGAAACGAAGTTTGCTAATAAAATAAATGATTAAATAACGCATCCAAAATCATTCATTTATAGAAAAATGGGCTGCCAAGTATGGCAAAAGCAGGATTTGGTATTCTCCAAGATGGAGAATCAGCGCCTGGAAGTTGTTATATCGAATTTAAGTGATGGTTTTTTGAACGGTGATAACCTCAATCTTCTTGGCAAGGTAGAAGTGGTGGTTCTCCAGGATGGAGGAGCGAGAGGGGGTGTTTACACAGCGTCAGGAAGTTGTTATATCAAATTTGAGAGATGTTTTTTTGAAAGTTGCTAACCTCAATCTTCTTGGCGAGGTAGAAGTGGTGGTTCTCCAAGATGGAGGAGCGAGAGGGGGTGTTTACACAGCGCCAGGATGTTGTTATATCAAATTTAAGAGATGTTTTTTTAAACGTTGCTAACCTCAATCTTCTTGGCGAGGTAGAAGTGGTGGTTCTCCAGGATGGAGGAGCTAGAGGGGGTGTTTACACAGCGCCAGGAAGTTGTTATATCAAATTTAAGAGATGTTATTTGAACGTTGCTAACCTCAATGATCTTCTTGGCGAGGTAGAAGTGGTGGTTTTCGAGTATGGATGAGCGGTACATCTGCGAAAGAGGGTGCTTGCACAGCGCCAGGAAGTTGTTGTTGAACCCTGGGTGGTCGATGTCGTGGCAGAGGCCGGCCAACATCAACGCCGCCGTCTGTATGTCATCATCATCATCAGTCTATTAATGTCACCGCTGTTAGGGCACAGGCCTTCCCTATGGAGGGAATAGGGAGATTAGGCCGTGAGCCACCATACAGCCCCGGTCCGGATTGGTGGGTGCTAACGACTGCATCTGGGACTAACGGCTTCATGTGTCTTCCGGAGCACGGAGGAGTTTGAGATAGTATCTATTTGGTCCAATGACCGAATGCCAAATTCATGATTCATTTCTGACTGGACCACTTAACATCAAGTAAATAGGTCAGAAACCACCTTTACCTAAATTAAAAAAGTGGAATCCATTGGAATTCCTTTGGTGGAATCAAAGACATAAGGTTTAGTCATGTATCAGTGAAGAGAAAACACTAATAGTATTGTCGTTTATTACTGCGAAACCTCAACGATATCCACGAAGGTATATATCGCTTAAGTACACTTACTATATCTACCAAATAAAAAGTACGATCATTATCTATTTTTTCATTTTGTGTCACAGCCATACCTCTACGTAGTCGAAGCAGCCAGGATTGCTGGTCAACACGAGGTACAACGTGTGCGTGAAACAGAACGCGTGCTCCGCATTGTGATACGGATTATTTCGATAGCAGCTGTTGACAAAGGTTCCTATGAAGACTATTATTAAATTTTTACATAATAGAAATACCAATGGAATGGACCTTTCCAATAAAATCAACAAAACTAGTGAAATTTGAAGGGATAACTTGACACTACTCGTCTATCAGTAGATAAGTATAATCATATCAGCATCTAACAGCTACAGACAGAAACGTAAATTCAATGAAAAACTTGTCAATGTAATATTAGTCGTCTTCTTCTTCTCTTTTAGATGGGTAAGTATCTTGTTTTAAACTTTCATGGTCACTAACATTATAGTAATATAAGTTATTTACGGGATTGTCTGGAATCCTGTGGTTCGTATGTGTAAAACCGGAAATAATCAAAAATGTGTCGTGTCGCGATGCGATACTGTAAGTGTTGTGTGTCGAGAACAGTTTCGAGCGAATAGTGAGAATGTGAACAGTGGTACGGGTATCGAACGCAATAAAAGACTTCGTCGGAGGGTTGACCGATATGTCCGCCAATAAACAGCCTACCCGCAATTACTTCAGTTACTCCGTGATCATGGCGCTTGCAACAGTGCCGAAATATCGGAAACTCGCTAAAAACAAGGTACATGGTAACAATCCCGTAAATAACTTATATTACTATAAGGGTAGGTATCTGTCGTGTTGTCTCTTTTAATTACAATTGCCGAGAAACTAACATCATCAACAGCCTATCTTAGTCCACTGCTGGACATAGGCCTCTCCAAATGCACGCCACTTAGATCGATCTTGGGCTACTCGCATCCAGCTCCTGCCAGCCACCTTGCGCAAATCGTCACTCCATCGCGCCTGAGGACGTCCTACACTACGTTTGCCTAGACGCGGTCTCCACTCCAGAACTCGTCTACCCCAACGGTTATCGGTTCTTCGACAAATATGGCCAGCCCACTGCCACTTCAACTTGCTAATCCGGTGGGCTATGTCGGTTCTCTGTCGGATTACCTCATTTCTGATGCGATCCTTCAGAGAAACGCCGAGCATAGCCCTTTCCATAGCGCGTTGAGCGACTTTGAACCTGTGGACCAGCCGTACCGTCAGTGTCCACGTCTCGGCTCCGTATGTCATCACAGGTAGGACGCACTGATTGAAGACTTTCGTCTTTAGACACTGTGGGATCGACGATGTCAGGACTTGACGTAACTTCCCAAACGCTGCCCAACCTAGCTGAATTCTTCTATTCACCTCGTCCTCAAAGTTGTTTCTACCTAACTGCAATGTCTGCCCGAGGTACACATATTTTTGAACAACTTCGAGAACGGCACCGTGTATTGCAATCGGTTCCGGTAGAACATGTTCATTGAACATGACCTTGGTTTTATCCAAGTTCATCCGTAGGCCGATGCGTATAGAAGAGTCAGCCAGGTCATTCAGCATCTGTTGTAGGTCCTGCAGGGTTTCTGCCATGATGACGATGTCGTCTGCAAATCGCAAGTGAGAGATGCGTTCGCCATTTATGTTGATGCCACGTCCTTTCCAGTTCAGCGTCTTGAACATATCCTCCATTGCATTAGTGAACAATTTCGGGGAAATAACGTCCCCTTGTCTCACTCCACGATGCAATGGTATGGGACTTGTTTGCTGATTCTGTACTTGGACAGACATGGTGGCGGCTTCGTACAGACATCTAATCACTTGGATGTATCGCCAGTCGACTTGGCAACGCTGCAGGGACTCCAGAACAGACCAGATTTCAATCGAGTCAAAGGCCTTCTCATAGTCCACATATGCTAGGCACAGGGGCTGATTGTACTCTTCAGTCTTCTGTATAATCTGCCGCACTGTGTGAATGTGGTCTATGGTGCCGTATCCGCTCCGAAACCCAGCCTGTTCCGGTGGTTGGAAGTCATCAAGTCTTCGCGCAAGACGGTTCGCGATCACTCTTGAGAACAGCTTATAGACGTGGCTTAGAAGGGATATGGGTCGATAGTTCTTAAGTTGGGTCTTGTCCCCCTTTTTAAAGAACAAGACAACCATACTCCTACTCCACGCCTCCGGAGTTCTCCCTTCGAACAGGACAGTGTTGAAAAGCTTTTGGAGCTCCCTCAGTACGGGTTTACCTCCAGCCTTTAAGAGTTCTGTTGAAACACCATCCTCCCCAGGGGCTTTTCCATTTTTAAGCTGTCCAAGAGCAATTTCGATTTCGCCAATACTGACTTCTGGCAGGTCTTCGGTGAAGTGGCGTGTGAATGTGGCTCTAGAATCCTCATTTCCGGGATCGGGTCGAGATGCATGTGATGCGTACAACTGGCTGTAGAAGTCTTCCACTTCCGAAAGGACTGCCGGCTTTGAAGCAACAACTTCCCCACTTGCTGTGGTCAACTTCGTCAGATGGCTTCTTCCAAGAGATTGTACGAACACTTTGGATCCTCGATTCTGCTCGATCGCTCTCTCGATCGAGAGAGTATTGGAGCACCGGAGGTCGTGTCGTACGTGCTTACTGATCTCTTGGTTTAGAGTCCGCTTTGCCGACGAAGTGACGGGTGGATTTTCACGTCGTTCCTTCATTAGCCCTAAAGTCTCTTCCGAAAGCTTTGACTTCCTGCCCTTACGCTGCGTTGCACATAATCTCGTACCCTCTTCCCTGAGGATCCGAACCACATTTTCGAGGTTTTGGTTTACGTCTGTTGTGGTTTCCACGGCAGCAAATCGGTTCTCCAGATTTGACTGGAACGTTTCAGACCCTGTTATAGATTGGAGCAGAGTAGGTTGGAGCCTGGATTTCATCAAACGCCCGCTTGGCCTTAAAGTTGATATTCAAAGAGCCCCGGACGAGTCGGTGATCACTACCGGTATTGAACCTGTTGATCACTGAGACGTCTCTGAATATGTACCTCTTGTCCGTCATGATGAAATCGATCTCATTTTTAGTCATAGTGTCGGGGCTTTGCCACGTCCACTTCCTTTGGCGCTGTTTCTTAAAGAAAGAGTTCATCAAGAAGAGCCCCTCCCGTTCGAGGAAGTTGATTTCTGCTTCCAAATCCATGGGATCCTACTACCGATTTGCTGCAATTCTGTACTCCCACTTTAGCGTTGAAGTCCCCCATAACAACGTTGTAGTGGGTCTTAGTAGTGGAGTGGAGGGCCCTCGATATATCATCGAACATATCCTCCACTTCGTCGTCCGAGTGTGTCGAGGTCGGTGCGTACACTTGCACCACCTTGAGGCTATACCTCTCGGTGAGCTTTATAATAAGGTACACTACCCTGTTCGACACGCTGGACATTTCCACAACGTTATCGGCAAGGGACTTATTCACCAAAAACCCAACGCCACCTTGGGACTGTTGGTCTCCCCCGCGGAAGTACATTAGGTGGCCCGATTCGAGCGTTATGGTGTCCTCCCCCTCTCTTCGGACTTCACTTAACCCTAAAATGTGCCACCTAACCTTCCCAAGTTCCACCTCGAGTTGCGCCAGATGCGAGTCAAGCCGTAGCGTGCGTCCGCTGTACGTCGCCAGGGTCAGTCTATTGTGGTGGCCTCCCGTAGCCCGGAGATTCTTCGCACCCCCCCCCGCCCCGCCGTTACCATGGTCGCCACCATGACCAGGAATAGCGGGGCTACCGGGAACTGGGGGCCGTGGCTTTTCGTTTGTGTGCATTCAAGGTATTGCCCATAATCGCCACGCTGGGCAGGCGGGTTGGCGATCGCAGAACGTAGGTTATTTCACTGATGACGCTGCTGCCCGTCACCAATGAGATTTTCCTCCCCTACGTCGTTGGATGGTTATACCGCCATCGGTCGGTTTGCCAGAGCCTCGTCTGTTGGTCAACAGGGTGCACCACGTGAAGGTGAGCTTGGCTTGGGTTCTTGCAGGTATATTAAGAACCCCTTACACCCCGAGAAACTAACAACTGCCGAGAAAATTTGTGATAGATTTGTCGTTCCTGCCTGAGTGAGATCGTAAGCTACTTTTAAATTCAACCAGTTACAATCAGGACCAAAATACTACACAAATTAATAGCTACCTGAGAACAGTGAGACAGAAGTTTGCAATCCGACTCCTATCGAAATTGCGATCAGCGAAAGTCTCCATATACATGAAGCACACAAGCCCCGGCATGTCCTCTTTGCTACCTTCGCTTATGTGATAATCGTAGCTGTAAGATTTGTTAGTATTATTAATAGTAAATTAGGTAGCTGAAGGATTAGACCTTACGAATTTTCAGCGGTGATTTATATCATCAATAGAAGGCAGGGCCGGACTTGAAGAGTGGTGGCCCTGGGGCAACGAAGGAGTGCCGCTTAGGATTTGCAGATTTGCCTCCCCTCGTAAAGTAATATTTAAGAAATTGGAATAGCGTTAGTTAGCCGTACCACCAGCTTTTAAAAATACAAATGTGGTATGGAAAAAGGCAGTAAAATTGGTGACGCTGAATTTTCTTTATTTTCCTTTTGTGGGAGGTGCCCCTGATCCCTGTCTTAAATACGGCCCTGATAGTAGGAAATGCAAAAAAAAATTGCTTACTTTACGAAGACCATTATTCTGCCGAGTTTTAAGACTAACCTTTTGAAATTATTCGGCGGTAAGACAATGCCGTTAGTTTCCATAAGCTCCTCAAAAACGTGCCGACAAGGATTCAGATGTAGGCTCATCAGTTCATTGTAGACGTCATTTAGATTTTGCTAGAACATAATATCATAATTAATTTGCCTATCAGTACCTAATTTTTATCCATTACGTATCTTTAACAGCTCTTACAACACAAGTATTGAATCACTTCCACCATCTTCAACAGACATTGGCCTTCAACATTGGTTGATTTGAGATATCCTCACTTTGTAATATTAAGACTTTCCTTATCATAAATAGAAAAGAATTACCTTATATTTTTGATAGATATTTCTTCGAATTTTCAATGGGATCGCGAAAAGTGTTATTTAGTTTCCCCAATTTTCAACTTCGTGCTGTACTTTAATAGTTTATTGCTATTTCTGTTCAGAAAGGAATGATAAATGCTATGGAGCACGTCACAACTCCTTCATTCACCATTATTATCTTTCACACTGTATTTTCGTAACTACTTACATGATAGATCTTCTGATGTTGCATGTTATAGAAGTGGACGATCAGAGAGCAGTAGCTCACGAAAACTTCGAATATCATCTCGTCTTCCACGGAGAACGGCCGGGCGTTGCTTTTATTAGTCAGCTGAACGATTCCTACGTGATGAGTTTGTGTAAGGAATAAAAAGCAAGGGTGTTACTGCTATCAGTATCAGGAATCAAACCATATTTATCACATTTTTTACCACCAGCCCATTACAATATCCACACTTTTGGGGCACATGCCTTCCCTACTGATGGGACAGAGAGATTGGGCCACCCTGACTCTCAACGTTAGTCCAATGAGGATACGAGGGTCCCAAGACCAAAAATGAAATCGGGAACATCGGCTTAAGGAGCCATCCGAAGCAAGGGAGAACTCGTGTTATAAATTGTTGGGCACCCATCAAACCCATCCAATGATCGGCCATTGAGAGAGTTGCTTTACTTCTACGATCCTTACCAAACACGCCAACTCCTCTATTTAGATTATACTCTGTTATAGTTGTACTTTTCAACAATTACGTACAGAATTGTACAGGCGTACAGAATTTGGCGTTGTGTCTGCTATCATGGCATGGAAGGCTTTTGCAATAATGACCGATCATTACCCACCGTTAGCACCCACCAATTCGCGTGGAGCTTACTATTGTTGGCATACTTTTACATTGTTCTTATTCCATTCATAACGGAAACCTGCGCACCAGCAGAGCTGAAATTATATACTGATGATGTTGAATTGATGATTTATGTAAGATCAATGACCTTATAATTTGCTCAATGTGCAGGGAGGGAGAGTCCTGGTGCTCTGAGATACAGGCGTTCTGCCTAGTTCAGGCACCAGTCTCTCACAATCTATTTTACTGTTCTTATATAAAAATTATAGTATAATAAGTTGTCATGGGATTTGTAGATTGTGGAAGAAGAAATAAAGATTATTATTATTGTTATTATTATTATTTATAGGTAGGTCATTAAGACACTCCAGTGAGCTCCATGGCGCTAGTGGTTAACGCGTTTAGCTGCAATAGATGAAGTTAATCAACTTTCGCAGTGGTTGGTCATTAATGGGTGACCAAAAATTTACTAATTATCTCGAGCTCCTCCATGCTTCTGAAGGCGCGTTAAGCCGTTGGTCCCGACTGCATCTGCAGTCCTTAGCACCCACCAATTCGCACTGGGCCGCTGTTGCTGTAGTAGGTCATGGTCTAATCTCCCAATTCCACAGATGGCAGCAAACTGGAGCCGCCTTGACCTGTTGGAAAGGGCAGGCAGAAGTCCTTTCCCGAAAGTTCAAGCTGGAGCCATACTGTACAGTTTTCCTAGCCGAGCTGTATGCTATCCTCCAAGTCACGGAGAGTGTATTAGGGAAGGGATGGAAAGAGACCGCCGTGCTCAGCGTCTCGAGGTCCTCTCTCCAGTCGCTAACAGATCCAGACTCCTCGAATCCGATCACCAAGGCGATTCAGGGTAACCTGGCTCGACTTAGGGACAACTGGCAAACCGTGTCCCTATTTTGGATCAGGGCCCACGTCGGGGTGATCGGAAACGAGAGAGCGGATCAGTTGGCGAAGGAGGCAGCCCTCGGGTTGAAGTGTAAATCGCACTATCGCAAGCGACATGTAAGCGCAATGACGAAAGCGAAATGGGACAGCAGGTATAGGAGCGAGGACAAGGCGGCCACAACGAAGGCATTCTTCCCTTGCGGGGAGAGTGCCTTCGGTGTCGTGAGAAAGATAGAGAGGGATAGAATAGCTGCACAAATCTTTACCGGGCATGGAGGTTTTTCCGCCTACCTCCATAGGTTTAAAAAGAAGGACACCCCGAGATGCATTTGTGACCCAGACACCGAAGAGGACATCTTTCATGTCCTTTTAGAATACCCCCTATACAACGGTGAAAGACACGACGCACAAACAGCATTACACACAAAACTTAGTAAGGAAAACCTAAGGGAAATTATGGTAGAAAATAAAGATAGGGAAACATTTATTAAATTTAGTAAGAGTATAGTAAGAAGGGTCATTGAAAGAAACAAAGATGATTAACATAGGTAAATTACCTATAACTATATACACTGTAAATATGTAAGATCACGGTTCCCAACTTAGGGGTTTTGCCCCCAGATTTAGGGGCTAGAAGGGTTAAAACGGACTTTTTTAGGGGCTGGAATTTTTTGGGGGTTCTTTTAGGGGCTTTTCACAAAACTTGCAATTAAATCGAAAAACAAAGCGTGTGTTTTCTTTCAGTTTTGTGCGTAGAATAGAACGCACCACGATATGAAACGACTGAACTCACTGTGTGACAGGTTGTCTCCTAAGGCTGTGTGGACTAAAGTTCTTTGCCTTCCACCAATCAAAACAACTAAATAAGATCGTTCATTTTCGTTTGATTTTCCATTCGGAAAATGTATTTATTCAATAAAATAATTTACTGTAACTAAATATGTAACGTTTTAATTTATGAGCAACGAAAGAATTTAGGTAATAAGATAAGTAGGTACATATAAATTTCTAAAAGGGGATTTTAGGGGAATTAAAAAAATACTTGGGGTAAAATTTTGGTAAGGGTTGGTAACACTGAACAAGAGCCAAATAGGATATAGAAATAATAAGAAACCCGGAAAGGGAACAATGTAAAATAGAAGATGGAAATATATAAAATATGTATAAGGCAAACTGTAAAAAATAAGAAAATATTGTAATAAGATAAGAAAGATAGAAATAGTAAATCAGTGTGTGTAAATAAGTTAAATATATGAAAATGTAAACAAAACAAGAAAACAAGTATGTATTAGAAAGTAAGAATGAAACAAACAAAAAACATGCAAAAGAGCAAGCATGACATAAAAAATCAAAATATAGTAACAAACAAAACAAAAAAGAAAAACAAAGACCTGACACAAATCGGGGATACCGCTTAAAAAAAATAAAAAATCTCCCAATTCCATCCCATATATATCCTGTTATTTACAGGGCAGGCCTGTGCTTCAGCAGCAGGGACATTAATGGACTGATGATGATGCATTACCAATGACTCCATGTTTATCCTTAATGGGTGAGACGAGGCAGGACCTGACAACGGTGCCGGTGGTGGGGTCAATCTCCTTCACAAATCTAGTGTCCTTGTACGCGTCTCGGACGTTCAGAGCTTGTCCGGTGCGTGCCACTAGTCCAGCTGGTGTTTGATCTTGGTTTAGGCTAAAAGGTAATCACTAATTCGGGTGAACCAATATCGATTTCGATAAGTTGAATTTGATCTTGAGTCAAGATCAAGATTCTTGATATGCTAATGTCAAATAGGTAGTTATGTATGAGAATTTGAAGTATTATCTCGCGTATCGAGATCGAATTCAACTATTCGAATGAGTGCTATCGCGTATGAATCCGCCGCTAGTGTAGCGTGAGGCTTGTGCTTATGGTTTGACTACGCGGGTTTATTTCTAATTAAAATAATATTTTGAATATTTAGTAATAACTCAGATTAATTATGGCAAATATGAGTTACAAAAAATATTGCCCTCCTTCTATCCGAACAAAACGGATCTGCGCATCACTGTGGCATGGCCAATTATATTTACGATGTGATTCTCTTGTATTAAATTTATGATCTAAATATAAACTTTCCTGTCACGTGCGTATTAACAAACTTTAAAAGCTACACACGTCACTCAACAGTGGCGCCATCTGGTGAGACAAAAAACGGTAGCCCTCATTCGATATTGGTTTGTGCTAAGGGTACAGATGTCAGAGCACCCATAAGAGTAAGAAAAAGAATATCCAAGAAGTCTGACGTTGTGTCGTTGTTTGTTGCACTATCGCATTCTGTTATCGATTCGATATACATACTTGATGGCGCGGCGTAGTGGTTAGCGTATTCCCCTATTGTGGCAATTAAGCAACTTATATAACCAAACATCCCGACATCCTCCGTGCCAAGGAATATTGGTCCTCCGAGCCGGGACCAGCGGATTGACGGTCCCGGTTCCATCTCCAGTCATAGCGTCTTTTATCAATTCGGACAGGCCTATTTGGTCTGAGATGGATCTTTCGATCTCATATAATTCTGAAGCATCGCGTCGGTCATGTTGCTCCATGTTCTGAGACCCAACCACGAACTTTGACAACTACCGGACGTAAGAACAAACTGGCAACTTCCATACAAAAGACGGTAACGTTACGATTACGGAGCTGTCAAAATTCGTGATTGGGACTCGAAGACGTACCACGGCAGTGTTGATAAAGCATACGCTCGAACATTTGATTGTGTCATTTGTCGTTGTTGCGGAGTTCGATGGCGTATTGGTTAGCGCGTTCGGCTGCGATCGTTAAAGTTAAGCAACTTTCGCAGTGGTCGGTCATTGGATGAGTGACTAAAAATTCGACTCGAGCTCCTCCGTGCTTCGGAAGGCACGATAAGCCGTTGGTCCCGGCTACATCTGCAGTCGTTATAGCACCCACCCAACAATGGGCATTGGGCCGCGTGGTGGGTCATTGCCCAATCTCCCTATTCCATACATGTGAAGGCCTGTTCCCCAGCAGTGGGAACATTAATAGGCTGATGATGATGAGGGTCGTTGTTTCCATAATATGTCTTCACAAGCTTACTTGACTTTGGTCTTCTTCTTGGGCATGGTGGTCTTCTCGGCGTGCCAGCCGTCGTCCCACATGTCGGCCAGCAGGTGTCCGCTCACCACGTTGTCCCGGTCCAGGATATAGAAGCTGCTGCGCATCGCACCCATAAATGACTTCACCACAGCCTGATTACAACTCGCATCGCATTAAGCAGTTGAATTATTTCAATTATTAATAGACTTTTGAGAGTTTTGTACCTCATAAAATAAAGGACCGCTTATAGGATCACTTCGTTGTCCGTCTGCCTGTCTGTCAAGATCCTTTATCACGGGAACGCGTTGAGGTATCGAGTTGAAATTTCAACTTACTCAGTAGATCCTCGGTCGGTTTTTGATGGGTATCCACAACAGTACATTTGTACAGAACCTTTGGGGGGCGAACCCTACTCGCAATTGTTTGAGCAGGGATAAGCAAATCAGTTCTTATTTTGGCCACTTACGATTCTATTAAAATACGTATAAAATAATTATACGAAAAATAAACGATAGCTCAGTAACGAATGCTCCTGCAGCTTCGCAGCACTTTGCTGCGTGTAAAGTTAATATGTATGGATGATGGTGGTAAGTATTTAAGTATTTTTTGATAAGAGAAACCTTGATTTTTGTGGGATGGTCGCTGGCCAGATATTCGTAGTTTGCCCATCCCAGTCCTAGAGCTTTAATGCATGGAAAAAGTAAAGGCACGGTAATATTTTAGATAATATTACCGTGGTAAAGGGACGGAGGAAGGTCGGAGAGACGGACATGACAGGTACTGTAAGTATTCGCACTTACCAAAACTTATAAGCGATCTGCCGTTTTCCTGGCTGTATTCAGACAAGAATTTTTTTCCTAAGCAAAATATAACAAATTATCTTTAGAATGTGCATAAAAATGTGTTTAAATAAGGTAGTTAACGGTTAAGGTAGTTAGTTATCATAAATCAAGCAGTTTAATGCTTATAATAAAAAAAATAACTTTATACAGATGAAAACTTTAGATCCAATTTACGACAATGCGTACGGGAAGCTAGGAAGAACAGTTTACAGGTCTGTGTTTACATGGAAAATTTTATATGAGTTTTTACTATTTTTTCGCATTGTTCCTGAACTACGACAAACATTTTAAAACAAAAACTCATTTCATTTCCAAATTCACGTAGCCATGTACCACGCGGGCTCATTGCGGATTGGTGGTACAGTGGATTTTTATTCGAATTGAGCGCCAGCCTGTTTAAGTAGCTTTGTCTAAAGAATTTTGATTATAGTAAAAATGTTCTTTACATTTAAACAACTAGAAGTTAAATATGCTTAAAGAATAAAAATACTTATAAGTTGTAACCTTTACCTTAAAGAATAAAAATACTTATAATCTTTATTTTACAGAAGTCGCCAAATAACATTCTTTACTGTGTAGTATGATGTTTCTGTAGGGCGGAAAGGTGGTAGCACTCCATTGGACAGAGTAATTGGGTTCAGGCCAGTATAGAAGAGGGTCTGAACCTTGAATCCCAAAAGTTCCGAATGCCTATTCTACAATAATGAGGAGCTCGCGAACAAAACGGTATAATTACGCATATGGTTTTGACAATATAACATTTTATTTTTACAGCCTGGAGGTTTTGGGTCAGCTGAATTTGAATTTCAACTCATGTCAATGAAAACAGCCTAAAACAGTGTTAAAATTACTAAATTAAAAAGCCAATAGCTCACTGCAGGTACCTATGTCATTCACTTTTTTACTTCGAATCCCGGTGGGGGCAGATGTTTGTGTGATGAATACGAGCATTTGTACTCCAGTCACGGATGTTAAATATGTATTTCTATATACATATACTTATATATGTACAGTTTATGTATTCAATCCGTTACCCTAGTATTCCATAACACAAGCCTTACAGAGCTTACTTTGGGGCTAGGCTAATTGGTGTGAGTGTTGGAAATATTTATTTATTTATTTACTGCTCCTGTAAAATTTAATGTTATGTAATTATACCGTTTTGTTTGCCAGCTCCTCAATAATACTACACGCACCAACATATCAGTGATCATCGTGTCCAGCGAGGCCAGGTCACAGAAGTAGCTGTGTAGGAGAGCCCGCAGTTCGTTGTTGAGGTGCGCGGTTTTCTGTAGAGTGATGCGAGCCTGCGCCTGGTGCACAGCAGCGCCCGCCCAACAGGCCACGCTCACCGCTGTGTACACTACACTCTGTTGATTTATTTACTTATTTAGAGTGTTCGATAGCTTAATGTCTTCTATATGTGGATTTCTCAATAAAAATCGGATATTCAGATTATAGAATATTATTCATAGTAAAATACAGATCTATTAAAATTATGTGCGTACGTTGTCTTTTTTGAATTCGAATTGCAAGAGGGAGAGTGAATCTATATAAATCAAAATGAGTGAATGTAGTAACGAATGGGTACGAAATAAATGTATGAATGGACGATGACGATGGACCGATTGCAGTTTCTCTCTTCGAAGGATAGATGGCGTTAACATAGAGAAAACCAACAGTGGTACAAATAGTACTTCTATAAATAATATAACTTACGGTAAGGGGTGTAGTGCCGTTCAAGTATTACGTAAGCAGATTAATTACAATTATTTACCCGCTCCTCCCCCTTGTCAGCTAAAGTAAGCAAAGCTCTTACCTCCCCCTCCCGTGCTTACGTAAACATTGGTATCTTTATGCATTTTCCTTTTAATATATTCTGTTTTTTTATTGATTCATGAGCTATCATGAGCTTCATGAGCAGCAATACTTAAATAGGTTTAGGATAGAGGACTTTAACGCACATAATATTCATTTAAACATACTTGATTGACACAGTATTCAGCATAGGGTAAGGTACAAATAGGATAACCTTATTAAGTACTATTACGAATAAAACAAACTTTTTGGTATATGTATACCATTACCAATTAACAGTCTTCAGTCCATGACACCCGAATCCATGATGCTGATGTAATCACTATCTCGACCCCCCCAACCGCCCCATGTCATCAAAAATACGCAAAGCAAAGACCCCCCCGCCCCCCTAGAGTGCTTACATAATACTTGAACGGCCCCTAAGACCAATTACAGGTTTTCTTTTATAATCAATAATAGATGTGACATTAAACAAAACAACAACTGCACAAAAACATCAGCATCGCCAAGTCCTTTAGTTTAACAGAGACAACGTAACAAATATAAATAAAATAGCAGCATACGGACAGACAGAATGACAACAAAAGGTTTAAATTTTTAAGTCTATAGTAGGTAATAACAGCGAGCCATTGCAAGAACCCATAAAGCGACCTGGAGGCCATTCGCCTAACGGGATTGCTTTGGAAAACGCAATCGCTTACGATTTCATTTTGTTATATCTGACCGCCGAAGGTTTTCAAATACCTCACGCTCATTTTCTTTCATAATGTTATTAAAAATGAAAGAGAAAAAAAAGAGCGCGCGGTATTTGAAAACCTCAGGTGGCTAGAAAAACCAAAATGAAATCGTAAGCGATAGCGTTTTCCAAAGCAATCCCGTTAGGCGGATGGCCCCCTGGGCCGGGCGATGAGAAACCAAACACACATTTGTAATATAATTATAATTGATCTCTATATACAAACGGAACTAGAATTCGGTCACTAGCTATCACAGTGCATCAGATAGGCATCAATTCGGAAGTTATTGCCCTCTTAAAAGCTGTCTTAGAGAGTAAAAAAATATCATATTCCTATAATGATGAATACCATTGAAAGAAAACTAGTTTCTATGTTGTTTGGTGAACACATTTAAACCACGAAGTTCGTAATTGTTAATCGATCGATGTTCTTCTGCTTGTACATAAATATAAATGAATAGCAAAAATGTATGTACGCGTATAGACTCTACCAATATGGATAGGTATGGTACGTTTTGTTTTCTGTTCTTTATTGTCAGCGCAAGGTTTGTATAAAAGAAAACTTTAAATAATGGCGATACAAAGATCGGCGGGAACTCTACCGGCTACCAAGCTGTAATTTAAAGCCGGGTACTCATCAGCGAGCTGTAACCGTAACATGCGATACAGTACGAGGTCCTAGTGTGTACGCTTGTTACAGTATAAGCTCACGACGTCGCCGAAACGCTTTCAACGAGCGTACTCATTTTTAAAACTGTAACTGTATCCAAACAGATACAGTAACGAGGTTCTAGTGTGTACGAGAAGGCCACTCACAAGCCGGTTCTGCGCAGCGTTGTTTTGTAGGTCCACGATGTCGGACGAAGTATCTCTCGCTCGTGCAACATACATACTTATAGATGTCTTACTCGATGATCATAAACGGCCACGAATATGGCGGAATCGCTTTCCTTTGATTCGCGGCAAAAACCGACAAGCGTCGGCTCGCTGCGAGTCGCTCGTGTAGCGTTCGTTGCAGGCCCGCGAACCACGTACACAATATGTTTTTGGTAACAGTTACGTGCAATGTTACGGGTTCAGAAGTGAGTACGTTGTAAACGTCCGTCGGCTCGCTACAAATCCACGATCCACGTACACACTATGCATTTTGGTTACAGTGCATGCAATGGTTACGGTTACAGCTCGCCAATGAGTACCCGGCTTAATTAAAACCTTGGACCGTTACTCACATCGTCGTAAGATTCAGTGTTCGTCCTATACAACTTGAGCACAGCGTGGCAGTTGCCATCCGGCTTCACGATGGGCATGCACAGTGCAACCTTGGCGTCTATCCACTTCAAACCTTCAGAGAAACGTCGATCGCGTTGCACGTCTTGTATCAGAAGAAACTCCTTCGTAGCTGCTGCGTGAGCGGCTGCTATTTTACCCTCACCTTTTTATAAAACAAGTTTGTTTAAATGTCGTCTGTGGTTTTAATCACACCCTTGTTGATAAATTAGAAAAGAGTAGCCGAAAAAAAAACACTCATGGACACAGAACAAAGTTGGTCCTAAAAGGAATCCCCGTGGAACTCCAACACGCAACTTTTATTCTGTAAATTAATAACGTGTACTAACCGATCGGAATGTTGACTTCGTGTCGTTCTGGCATCTTTGTATTGTGAGGCATTAATATTATTTCATTTCTTACATCATCTACGACGTATAAGAATACACCTGGAATAAACATGTGAAATACATCTACAGACATCTCAATTATCCTAGTCTAGTCATTGCACACAAGTCCCGTAGCATTGATTTATATCTGTATTGGCATTTTTTCAATAATGGAAAAAAAAGTGAATGGCCTTAGAAATCATACATCTTAGGGTGGCGATATGAGCAGAAATCAGATATCAATATATCTTTATTCAAATTGGATGTATAATACAACACTTTTGAATCGTCCAAACATTTTTTTCCCTACCACTCGTTATTGGACATATTTTTTAGTTGCGGAGAAAAACGAGCGAAAAAAACTCCACAATATTAAAAGCATAATGTAACAACATTTACAAATCATTATGTTGTTACAACGTCAATACAATCATGATTTATTTAATATAGAAAACCTGTTGGAATGATTGGAACAGTTCAAACCCAAGAATTTTTGTCTGTAATATAATGAGACACTTTGTAATAAGCTTTTTTAATAAGTGCTTTTTTATACTATCTTTGATTTTATTTATGGTTATTTCTTGGATATTGCTTGGGACTTAATTGTATAAGCCAATTAATACTATTGTCGCGCGTTCGATCTGCTATCGTAGAAGTTAAACAACTTTCGTATAGTTGCTCAATGGATGGGTAGCCAAAAATTTAATATCGTGCGCTCATTTGGGCTTCGGAAGGCACGTAAAACCTTTAGTCTCGGTTGCACCTCCAGTCGCTAGCACGCACCAATCCGCACTGGCCCGCTGCAGTTAGAGTGTAGGCTGAAGATGCCTAGTATATTTACTATCTTAATTTCTCCTTCCTACGTACCAGAGCTATTAGTGATAGTTTTCAATACCATAGCAGTCTCATATAATAAAGAGTCGAGATCTACTGTATCCTCCAAGAAGACGTTGAATCTGTTCATATCCAGATACCGGCCTTCTTTCGCCTCCTCCTCCTTGAGGCCTTTCCTCTCTATCTGTGCGTAGGGAGCAATGACCCTTCGAGTCACTTTGTCCAGCTTCTCAGAAGGCACCAAGAAATGGGACTGTACTTTCGACATGGACCTATTGTCATTCTCCGCATCCTTGGTAGCATTAGCGTTTTCTTCATTTTTTTCGATGGATTTCTTTACATTCATATCTTTTGGTGTGGATACGCTCATGGCTTATATAAAAAATAAAAAATCTAATAGTTTCAAAATGTCCTTTTTATTTTGTATTTTGACACTTAAGTTTTAAAGGACATTGTCGTTTTGTAAGTCATATTGATTTATTATTTCTTAATTACAAAAATTATTACATAGTCTATGGATAGTGCCTATTGTCTCTTGAAAATTGATCAGAATAAATTACTACGTGATGTTTTACTTATAACTCGGAGGAGAATCCAACAGTAACACAGAAGCTTATATAAGAAATAATATGTAAGGGCAACTATAGAGTATTCACTTGTTACGGGGAAGAGCCGCTTCAAGGTGCGATTTCAGAGAAGCTGTGCGGAATGGAACTGAACGTAACCGAGTAAATAGGCAAGTGATTCCATTGAAGCTGTGCGAAGATGAGCCGTGCAGAACTAACCTGTGTAGCTGCCTGAATTGAGCCGAGCAGAGCGGAGTGGAACAGAGTAAAGATGAGTTGGGCGGAGCTGGACCTTAGTCTTAGTAGAACGGCGGGCTATTTTGCGTGGGGATTGGCATCAGTCCTGCCATCCCAGCTCCTCCAAAAAGCTCAGCAGTCCCCGGATGTTGCTGGACCTTTTATTTGCAGCCAGTTAAACAATTGACCTAATTTAGTACTACTACGCAGAGGAGCTCGATGGCGTAAGTGGTTAGCGCGTTCCGCAGCGATCGTTGAATTTAAGCAACTTTCGCAGTGGTCGGTCATTGGATGGGTGACCGAAAATTTGCTATCTCGAGCTCCTCCGTGCTTCGGAAGGCACGTTAAGCCGCTGGTCCCGGCTGCATCTGCAGTCGTTAGCACCCACCAACCCGCACTGGGCCCGCGTGGTGGGTCATGGCCCAATCTCCCTATTCCATCCATAGGGAAGCCTGTGCCCCAGCAGTGGGGACATTAATAGGCTGATGATTACAAATTTACGCAAGAAGCCCCACCCGTTTCAGCTAAACTCCGCCCCGCGCCGCTGTACCTCCCTCAGCATGACAACGACCCGCTGTGCTGTGCAGGGCCCTATCTAGAAATTTTGCCACTCGGGGCAACATTTTTTTGACGCCCTTTACGGCTGACCCTAAGGCAATTTTGCCGCCTCTAATTTTTGCCGCTCTGGGCAAATGCCCGGCTCGCCGCCCCTTGGATAGGGCCCTGGTGGTGCTGTGCCCAGCTTAACTCCGCGCACCACACATTTTAATATTATTCTGCTCAGCTCACTAATTCTGTTTCCACTGTAGTGTATTTTGACCAATGCTTTTGGTCATTTTTAAGACTGCTCATCTCCGTGGAAACGTACCGTAAAACGCCTCATGCACTAGACGGCCACGACCACGCCCAGTGGCCGCAACGATCAGATTGACTATAGAAACCATACGAAATACAAAAAAAGGGGGGGGTTGTTAATGCAAAATGGAAAAAAAAAGTTTCAGCTAAAGACTCACTTGTCGCTATCATTAAAACTTGCAAATTCCGTACATGACATTCAGAATTGTAAAAAATGTTACAGTTTAAGGGGAAAATTCCCTATTGTGTGGTATTACTTAAATTCTTTTAGTTGCCTGTACAATTCTTGTTTGTATTTACAAATAGTTAAATCTATAGGGTGCAATATTAATAATCTCATTATTTATATGACTTACATTTCATTAGACCCCACATAAAATAAATAATAAATAAAACATTTTCAGTCCACAGATTTTTCATAAAAAGTTATTATTATCAAAACAAAACTTGCAAAAAAATATTATATCCTGAAAACAGTTTACACTAATAATAAATGAGAATGGAAAGCCATAGAACGTTACTTAACAACATAAACGCAACACTTACAACAAATTGTGTAATTTTACAAAATTGATCGCACTCTCTTAATATGTAGGTTTACAATAATACAATGGATTAAGGCAATTAGTACAGTAGAAAATATTTTATTTACTTTTTTCATGTACTAAAATTGTATTTATAGTTGTGAAAAGTATAAATATATATAATTGTGAGTCATTATAGAAACCCAGTTGTAAAGTGGTGCTATAGTCTAGTCAAGGAAGTACTTTTCATGGGAGGTCTGAATAAAGGTGTGGCAAAATTTGCCTCAAACTTGTGGTGACTAAAACCTCACACAACAGCAACGCTATTGTAGAAAGTATGATTACAATAATACTTACTTACTAATTAAACTTTATTAATATAATACAATAAGTCATTATGTCCCGTTTGCTGCCAGGTCTGCATGGATTTATTTATGGTAAAATTTTCTTTACATTTAAACATCTAGAAGTTAATGCTTAAGAAATAAAAAAGAATACAATTATTATCATAAAAAATTAGTGTAAAATTATTTGATATCAACTATGAACAATTGATAGCAGTCAAGTACAGGTTATTTAAACACGTACATAATGATTGGTAGCACCACACCACTTTCTAGCAAATTAAAATTATATTGTTTGCAAAAATGACATATCAATATTGTTGTCCTTATTTATTTCTAATTTCATACATTATAAAATTACATTGTTGTTATGCGCATAAAATATAAATATCACTACAAATGTTTTATGTTATGTGTTAACAAAAATGTTTGTGACAAATAAAAAATCAAGCAAAACTACTAAGCAATTGGTTGATTCTCAGTGGAAGAGAGAAAGGTAATAAAGTGCAGGGTTTGATGCAGCAATTCCTAAATTGTAAGATCCTACTGATGCAAATTTGGCCCATGACTTTGTCTGCATGGAAATATTGATTCTTCTATATATTGAAACGCAATTCCTTTTCACCCCCTTAAAGGATTATTTTCTGGGATGAAAACCAATTCTCTTTACCAAATTTTATCTAAATCGGTTCATCGGTTTTAAAATTCAAAATCAGTTATTCAGTCTAGGCTGTTACAAGCACTTGTGAAGGTCAAGAAGCCAGGCCATATTTAATGTGATGAGGTAACAAACAGATACAATATTTATTCTTGTATGGATTCTACTGTGGAGCTTACAACATTCTTTGTAGGTCTAAATTTTTACCTAGATAGTATACTTTGAGTTCCCACTTCAACAGCACAAATATCCACAGAACCTTAATACAATCCAATTAATTGGATTCAATTTGTATAGAATACAAATCTCAATATCACGATTGTTTCCATATAACCTATCTAAAATCTTACTATCTATCCCGATAAAGGTAATTAAGGCCAAGTTATAGCCTTCTTCTCTTTTTTTGGTGGCGGGCTGTCTGTAGCTGGTGTTGCCTGTAAATTAAATAATAAGACATTGTATATATTCCAAAGAGAAATTAATTATACAGGTTTCACTAAATCAAGATTATGGTTATATAAATAAATGAATGAATTAATAAATAAATAAATATTTCCAACACTCACACAAATTAGCCTAGCACGAAAGCACTACTAGGATAAGATACTAGGGTAACGGATAGAATACATAATTATATTGTACATATAAAAGTATATTTATATAGAAATACATATTTAACATCCATGACTGAAGTTCAGCAATTTTAAAGACGCTATGGGAAAAAATCTGACTTTAGCACTATCGGATCACGAAAAAGCTCAATTACTTGTCATTCCACTTCTAGAAAAATATGTGCCACACAAAAAAATATTTCATAAGAAACGGGCTTTTACTAAAGAAAATGTAAAAAAATATGAATGTTGTCTAAAGCAATTGCCCTGGCATAACATTCACCAGATAACTGATACAAACGAAGCATTTAATCAATTTCATGAATATTTAGTTTTACTCTTTGATTTATGTTTCCCATATTATTTGACAAAACAAAACATTAACACAAACAAAAAGCTTGCATGGTTAACTAAGGGTATAAGAATTGCAAGCAAGACTAAACGTAAATTAAGGCTCAGATTTTATAAATCAAAAAGGGATATTGACAAACTAGAATATAAAAAATACAATAAACTTTTTAAGAACTGTATTGAAACTGCTAAGAGAATTTCTAACATAGCATTTATTGATAGTGCAGATAACATATGTAGAGCTTCGTGGAAAGTTATTAAAGACAACATGGTTTCGACTAATAATTCATTCCAACAAATAAGCCATATAACATTTGATGGTATTATCTATAAAAGCCCAAAGGACATATGCGAAATTCTAAATAAATATTTTATAAATTCATGTAACATTGACTTGACTAACATAAGATATGATAATTATATAAAACAAAATGACTCTAGTATGTATTTATTTCCAACTGATCCGGACGAAATTATAAAAATAATAAACAACCTTAAAAATACTAATTCAGTTGGTTTTGATAGTTTGTCTACTAAAGTAATCAAACAATGTAGACAAATAATAGCACCAACTCTTGCACACATCATAAACGTATCTTTTAAACAAGGTATCTTTCCTGAAAATTTAAAAATCACAAACATTAAGCCTATATACAAAAAAGGAGATAAGGATAATCCAGCGAACTACCGGCCCATAGCCTTAATATCGGTTCTGTCAAAAGTTTTTGAAAAATGCATGCATACAAGAATAATGAAATTTATAGGAAAATTTAATATAATTGACGCCAATCAATACGGCTTCCAAAAAGGAAAATCTACTACTTTAGCAACGTACAAGCTGGTAAATGAAGTTGTGAAGAATGTCGATAAGAAGGTTGAGACAGTTGCCATCCTTTTTGACTTAAAGAGGGCATTTGATTTAGTTTCGCACGAAATACTTTTAAGGAAATGTGAAGCATATGGTATACGTGGTGTTTGCCTTGATTGGATCAGAAGTTATTTGGAAAATAGAGCACAATATGTCACATCTCAGTATTTAAATTCTGATTCATTCGTAGAATCAGCTTGTTCTAATTTGGCATATAAAAACACAGGCGTCCCACAGGGGAGTATCCTGGGTCCTCTTTTCTTTTTACTCTTTTCGAATGATCTTACAAAAGTTACTGATTTCCCATGTATAACGTATGCAGATGACATATGTGTAATAATAAGTAATAAATCACATGACTCATTTAATAATGTAATAAATAATACAGTCTATGACATAATGAATTGGATAAATCAAAATAATTTAATAGTAAATAAGGACAAAACAAAATATATTCAGTTTATAAACAAAGGGGGTACTAAATGCAAGCTATCAATTTTATGTAATGACAAGATACTAAAAAAGGTTGACTGTGCTACTTTTTTGGGCATTGAAATTGACGATAAATGTTCTTGGAAACCCCACATCGATAACTTATGCAGTAAGCTAAATAAATTTTCATATGTACTATGGCGACTGTCGAAAGTTACTAATAGACAAACTGCTTTAAAGGCTTATTATGGGTATGTGGCTTCTAATATTAGGTACGGTATTTTAGTATGGGGCAATTCAGTCAAAGTACAAAGAGTTTTTATAGCACAAAAACAGTGTGTTAGAGCCATTATTGATGCTAGTCCCTGGTCCTCCTGTAAACCTATATTTATAGAACTTGGAATATTAACTGTGGCGTGTTTATATATTTTTGATATTTGCGTATTTGTGAAAACTAATATGAATCTCTTTACAACTAAAAAGACTGTATGTAATTTCATGACAAGATTTCCTAATAAGTTGGAATTACCTATTGCGAGAACTAATATTTACAAAAACAGTACGTATGTTATGTCTGTGAAAATATTTAATAACATACCAGAGGACATAAAAATGTTTCCACTAAAATTATTTAAGTCTCGGTTACGAAAATGGCTACAGGACAAATGCTTTTATTCAGTGGGAGAATTTTTAGCAAAAAAGCATATTTAATTTGTAATTATCTTTGGTACTTTACGCGATTTTCAATTTTATAAACATTGACTATTAAGTATAAGAAATGAACATTTGGATTTGATATGAATATGTAATATATTGTTTGAATGATTTTTTTTTTTTTAATTAATAATATGATGTAGATTTATCAAGGACATAATTTTGAATTTTTTGAGGTTATTTGGATTGTTTTATTTTATATGTTTTCTGTATTGCATGCTGTGTGACAGTAAAATATGTGATACTTTATTTATACTGAATGTGTAAAATAACATCAAACACATATGTAACATCTTATGTACACCATATTTAATGCAAATAAAGACTTCTTCTTAAAAGACTTCTTCTTCTTAAAGTCACAAATGCTCGTATTCATCACACAAACATCTGTCCCCACCGAAATTCGAACCCGGGATCTCTCAAGTCGGTATCACCATGACACCTGGCGTATAAACTGCTCGGCCACAGAGGTCGTCAAAAAGATTGATGCCATATTATTTCATTACTAAAATTATTTTACGTGACTGCCATTGAGAAATCTGATATTTATCAAAATATTTACACCCTTTAATGCTACAACCTCTAGATTAGAGGGCTATGCAGTGGTGTTATTGTTTTTTCTATAAAGTATGTTAGTACAAATTTAGATGGGTAACAATTGTGATGTATTCTTGACGGAATGATAACTAGATAGTTATTGCAAAGAAAGAGCAAAGATTGGCTGATTAGTATTTTATAATAAATTAAATAACAACTTACCGAGTCAATAGACATTTTTCTTTTAGAATTATTGACGTCGGAAACGGGCCTTATATCTAATTTGATTCTCTTCAAATGCCCGGATAACAAATCAGGTGGGGGCTTTAGTCTATCACATCTTTCTGGATATGGTATTTTTCTGCTTTGACTATCATTAAACACATTTAGTTTTACTGGAGGCTCGGAGCACATGTTTCTTGTCTGATTTAACAGTTTCCCTCTACCGGTGTCTTTGTATTTTCTCTGGCCGTATGGGACGCAAAAGTTGTGGAAAAGTTCTAACAACTCGTCTCTCTGCATTCGTTCCACATTAGGGATATGCAAATGTCTCTGTAAGCATAAAGGCAATATAGTATAAATAAAATGTTAATTGTGAATAGAGAGCATTCTATAAGAAGAGGTAGATAGAACCTGTTGGATGATATTTATAAGTTGATCATTACTCAAAAGCTCTGGGTGTAGTAACATATCACACGGAACTGACATTTTTATTTATGATTATAGCTTTTCATTACATTATATAAACCAAATTTCTTGTATAAAATTATTAATTTCATTATAAATTAACCACAAAACATTGTAACTAACGGTACAATACGAGATGCCTATTGCAATAATGTCAATTGTCAAAAATGACAATCAAAAAGGTATCATGTTTTTTGTTATGTTCTTCCATTAAGAAAGCACGGGCAATTCAGTACAGCCTCATTTTAAGTGCATTGTCTGCGTCAATTGCGTTTAAAAAACATGCCGTGGAATCGCCGCAGAATAAAGTGCCGAAAGATGAGAGCCATGCGATTTATGCCTGTGCCCTAAGAATTAATATTATCATTCATGTTTTCCACGCTCAATACGAATTAAATGTAAAATATTATTTTTTATACGACGTCAAGTAAACCATAAATCACGTCAAAACTCCATTATATTTTATTACGATATGCCTTCTGCCTTCGATATACCTACTTCTTCTTCAACCGAGAGCCAAATAACAGCCAAATACTCAAAGAAATATTATGATAAAAACAGAATAAACTGTAAAAGTAAAGGTTGTATAAACTCAAAATCCTTAGCTATCTATCGAAAACAAGGTTTTTGAAAAAAAAAGGAAGTTGGCTATGTCAAGCTGTCAATTTTCTCACTGTCATTTGTGTGCTTCGTTCGATTGTTTGCTTTTCTATTTTCTCAATGTTTTATTTGGGCTCTCGTGAACTATAATAATCGCGTTGTGTTTTTATTACCAAATTCTGTTCTCCCTACCTGCGCTTTGCATTTGCCAGTAGTTCTGTGATAGTGCGTTTGATTTTTTAGTTTTATTTTTGAATTTATTAAATAGTGTTTTATTTAAAATTATGTTTTTGCATAATAAATGTAAAAAGCACTGTTTTTGAGTGATCAGACTGTAAATAGTGCATAAATGCTTAAAGCCTGTGAAGCATCGATGACAAAATTTTATCGGAGAAGCGTGAGACAGAGGTGGGACTATGTTGTTTCTCAGTGTCTTAGCAGTCGGCATGATAACTGGGCTGCAGAATGTCACCACGGAGGTGGGAAGTACGGGCAGTGACGACACAGAAGCGGCTGCTACTGAGAAAAGCACAGGAGCAATGGGACTACTGGAGACGACGAAATTATCGGGCTCCCAGGGCGGGGATTTCGTGAACGTGACATTGCACGAGCAGCCGTCGATGTGGGACCTGTATTTGAACCATTGCCCGAAGTGGAGGCCGATAAACCATGTGTTTTTCCAAGTGGCTAATGTGTTTTTCCTGCTATCGTTTTTGGCGCCACACACGCCCTCTGGGCTGGTGTGGCTGCGCGTGGGCCTGGTGCTGGGGTGCGCCTTCTCCGCTTTGTGGGCGTGGAGCATAGAGTGCTTCCTTGATGCTGTGCTGTGGAATTCAACCTTTGTGCTCATTAACTTGGTTTATTTCTCTGTGCATTTTTATCTGATGAGGCCAATCAAATTCCACAAGGATATTGAGGAGGTGAGTGCATACATTCAATTGTTTTTGGTACTGTGATTTTTTTCAATCTCATTGTTCTCATAATAATGATTATAAAAATATTTATAAATAGTGGGCCAAAAAAACAACAAAAAAAAGCAAACATATTTGTTTCATATATTTTTTCAAATAAAATGCAATAGAAATAGGTAATCCTATAAGATAAATTCATAAAGCTATCCAAAATTACTAATTTCAGAATGTCCAGGTAGGTTTTTTAAGTTTTAACTGGATCTATTAACCAGTAGGTAATTAAATATAAAAACTAAATTAGTTACCATTTTTTTTGTGCTATCACTACTATAATCTGTTACCATAATTTTCCAACCATAAATGGTATTATACAAATTGTTGGCTTAAAATAAATTATGGTGTTTCATGGGCCTAATAAATTACTGAATTAATTCTATTAATGATAATAAATGTTTAGTTTATACATTAGGTATTTTTTTCATAATAAGGATTATGTTGAATAATTAGTAATTTATTAAAGTGGGTACATTAAACTATAAATCTAGTATATTTATTTGATTGAAGGGCTTAAGTCACAGCAAAAAATATTATGTTTATAATTCTTAAATACTTCTGACATGATTTGGATGTATCACACAGACATAATATATATTTGAATTATAAAGATTGGAGGACATAGTTAGGAGAGTAGGTTAAATATCATGGTAATCATTTAAAGCTGAAGTAGGTTAGTTACAACAAAAAAGTTAGACATGTGTTCAACACGAGTTGTAAAAAAAATGACATACAAGATTTGCCAAAATAAGGTTTGAAATCATGACTCACTTTTATGTAATAAGACCAGAAAAGCTTATTTTAATAGCACACAATTGGTTAAAATGTGACAATATTTTAAATAAAATTGCGGGTCTGCATGTTTGAAGTTGAAGGAACTGATAATAATAACATACCCTTTTTATGGAAACACTTACTTTTATTACTTACAGCATACTTATTAAGTGGATGAAAAAAATATTTAATGTTTGCTCAGTTATTTCTGAAACTTGTTGTGGTACTATTGCGGAATTTTGCGCTCTGTCACTTGGCGAACAAAATCCTTTGAACGGTTTTCTACAGTAGTTTTTACTACGCCCCGCCTTCGCGTCGGACGCGCCAATCCGGGCCGCCGCACAAAAGTAAGACAGAGAGCATTTCATTGATTGAATAATGAATTGAATTGCATTTGTTTTAGTTGCAATTTGTCATCCGCATCGTGATCGCGACAGCGCTATACGAAAAAGTAAGACAGCGATAATTACATGTCCATGAATGAATTTTTACTACGCCGCTACCGCAAGCGATTATGGCATTATGGGTGACAGAGCGGGTCTTACCGCGAGTGTACCTTTGCAGATTGCATACAGTAATTAATGATAATGTCTTGGCCCGTGCACTCAACACAAGCACGATAATACGGCGCCGACTACGCATTCGATTCGAGCCAAGGAGTTCTCAAGTCATAAGTTAAACAGCAGCTTGAGTAGTAAAGAGTAAGGGTTTTACATTTTATGAACAAGCGAAAAGGTGCGTCATCAATAGGCCATAATCTATTGCAGTACATCTCGTTACATTATCGAGTTTCTTCCATGTGGTTTTCACATAATGTCGTTATGTTTGGCGTTATAATAATGGAGCTACGAGCGTTTAACGGCGATACAACTTTCGCACGCGGCTCAGTTGTCAATGTGAAATAAAGCTAGCACATCGCATTGATATTCGTATTTTCTATTTGTGCATTTAACATCAGTATATCTTAATCGGGAAAGGAGAGACTGCTCTCAAATTTATTAATGGCAAATATGAATGGCCATGTGAAGTGCCAGGATAATTAAAAGAGTTTCTCATATAATCTTTAGTATATACAAGCAACGCACTCAATTATAACAACGGATATCGCTCCGTTGTAGGTTTGCAGTTCCATCCCGCAATATAGTTATAGAAAATCAGCTGCTATCTCTTAAAGTTGGCAAACTGTAAACTTTGATTACACGTGGACAAAAGCCCAAGGGTTCGAAACCCCGTGGTTTCAAATAGTCCGCAGATATCGTGCAAACGAATCAGGGAAGGGAACCGTATAATACCACTTTTTCATCGGAGACTACGAAGCAGATAAGGGGATAAAATCCAACTATAGGATTTAGGATTATCCTTATATTTGAGAACTCGCTCGGCTTAGAAATGCAATTCGTGGATATTTCTAAAACCTATCATAACAACTGATAGAAAATAAGAATGTCATAAAAGTACAGAATATTTCAATCAAAGTCCACGTTTATTTTCGCAGCTTTCTGTGCAAATGCCATGTTTGTCAACTTTTTATCATAAAACTACAAATTATGCAATGAGATCTAAAGACCCACTAGATTTTCTGCATAAAGTTGTACCTAGCACTGTTAAGCATTTGTTTTAACGTTAGTTGGTCATGATCACTTACTAAAACACTCATTTTGTATGATCATTGTGGTCACGTTCACCTCATATCGTACAATTCGCACTACTTTCGATCCGACCTTTACTTTATCATAATATGATTGATTCGAAGCGAAGAAAATATTTACTTTGAGAACGCTAGTTTCTTGGACCAACACCGGTACCGCATTCGAATCGTGATTGAATAATAAATCAGCTTGGGCACAATCAAACAGACAAAATATATACGTGTGTATCAAATCTGTTCCTTGGCAAAATAACACAAATTAACAATTTTTCATCTTATGCTTTATTAAGGACCAATTGAAAATAACATTAGGGAATTTATTTTGAGAAAAGCATCAATAATAGTGTTTCCATATGTTGAACCAAAAAATCTGAAGCGCGAATTGTAAAAATCTGTAACTGAGCGTACGGCGTTTTAGCGGTTCAACAAAGTTCAAAGGACGTGTATAAAATGAATAATATTTAATACATTGCCTTGACGTTTTTGGCATTCTATACATTGCTTGCGGAGCTTGATGTCAGCGCGTTCGGCTGCGATTCTTGAAGTTAAGCAACTTTCGCGGTGGTCGGTCATTGGATGGGTGACCAAAAATCTTCTCTCTCGAGTTCCTCCGCGCTTCGGAAGGCACGTTAAGCCGATGGTCTCGACTGCATCTGCAGTCGTTAGCACCCGCTAATCTGCAATGGGTCCGCGTGGTGGGTCATGGCCCAATCTCCCTATTCCATCCATAGGGAAGGCCTGTGCCCCAGCAGACAAGGCAGGAATGCCGAATTATACAGATTGCTGGTAACCTATACAAAATAAATTACACGACATTATGTTTATTAAACATTCAATGATGTGCGTTTTTGCTACAATCTTATTTCCTATGTTGCCATGTCGCTTACGCCTTCCACAATACGTACAGACGTACAGTACCCTTAGTACGAGTTTTACAATTACGAAAACTATGATAGTTTTCGTGAGCTCGCACTCCTACTAAGGGTACTGATTTTATTGTTTTCGTTTCAATACAAATAAACAGTGTTTATATTCTATCCTTAAATCATTTGCGTCTTCATAAATTTTAAGTATATTTGATTACTTTTCACCAAAATGGACATAGAAACATAATTTACAATTCGAAAACTATGATAGTTTTCGTGAGCTCAAACTCGTACTAAGGGTACAGGTCTTTTTAGGTGCTTTGCTGCCGTAAATTACACAAAGTTATTAGCAAAAGTAAACCTTTATAATTTTCTCTTTTAGGAACCTCTGTTTCCTCAATGAAAGCCAATGACCTCCATCTGTCAAATGTCGCTTGAAAAGTACAGTTTGCAAAAAAATCTCGGAACACTTGAACATTTTTAAAGAAACAATAACAAATATTGATAATTAATATTGGTTGATATTTTTTTTCATTTATTTAGCTTTGGCTATGAATGGTTGATAACCTAAATGGTCAACCAAATGTCACTTTATGTTGCGTTCAAATACTTTCGTTTACATATAGGATGCATGTTCGTATGTGACCTGCATGATTATTCATAACTACTCCGGCGGTAATGCAGAGATGAGCGCAATTGAAGAACTAGATTCTGATTAATGTTTTTTCTCACACAGTCTTAGTAAAGAAATATTATTAAAAATCCGTTGTTTTTTCTCTCAATCTTAGTAAATGAATTTTATTAAAAAATCTGATGTTTTTTCTCACTTAATCTAAGTAAATAAGTTTTATTAAATAGAAGCTTTTTTTTGCTCACTCTACCTATTTGGTTTGAATTGACAGCTATGACTTCAAAATATGGCGCCCAGTCGGTCCTATTCTTAGTTGAATGGCACTATATTTTGGATAGTGTTTTTACCTAGTTGTGTTAATTGTTTTTACCTACCTATTCCATAATTCATAAAATAAAGTGGTTCAAAAAGTTGAAAAGGTTTTCGTGTTTGTTTATTTCAATTTTGAATGATGCCAAAGTTAATTCTAAATTATATAATGTAAAACCTGTTTCAATGTTCTCTTTATCTTATTGAGTCTAACCTTATTCATTGTAATTAATAACATTGCTGATAAGAATAATGAAGTTTGATTCGATAATTAATTAAAACAGACAGGTCATTTACGTCACTTTAGTGTCACCAAATATTACAAAAACATGCAATCAGTCACCATAGAGACACGAAAAAAGATAACTAGGGCTATTTTTTTATTTCCCAGACTTTGATTATTATTACCAAGGTCCCCAGAATAAATAAAAATTTAATGTAATTTTATTGTACACTAATTTTTTCGTCATTAGTGTAAGTTTTGGTATTGCATTTTTTTTTTATAAATAGATCCAAAATACCAGTTCACTTGATGTTAAACAATGGTGGAGTTCAGCAAATTTTACTTTTGAGTAATAATGTACAGTCGCCATCAGATATATCTGAGCATACAAGGTGACCAAATACATCTGAACAGTTAAAATGTCATTAAGTTCTATACGCTACAAGTGACCATAAATATCTGAACATTCATTACTTCAATAATATCTGAGCAGATGCCTGTCAA